GTTGGATACAGAGTCTCGCTCGACGAACTTAATATTTTTAAATCCAGCATTAAAAACTAGTCTAGAATACCAAATTTTATGTCCTTATCTCAATACGTTTCGAAAATATCTTCAGGGGAGCCCCTTTAAAAGACCGTAACGCCCTTAGGGGACGTTTTTCGACCTATGTTTATATACGAGGGTGGTCCCAGAAGTACCCGACCCAACAAAGAAAACAAAAATTTTGTAAAAATGTGTTTATTTTTCAATATAATCTCCTTTGAGCTCTATACACTTTTCCCAGCGATGTTCAGTAAGTTCGATACCCTTTTAATAATAAGAACTGTCTTGCTCCTCAAAATAGCCATTAACTGCCGACATCACTTCTTCATCGTTGGAAAATCCTTGACCACTGAGCTATTTTGTCAAGTTGGGAAACAGAAAATAATCCGCGGGGGCTAAATCTGGTGAATAGGGTGCAAATTATATGTCTTAATCTCAACACGTTTCGGAAATATTAAGGAAAAACCATCTTCAGGGGAGCCTCTTTAAAAGACCGTAGCGCCCTTAGGGGACGTTTGTCGACCTATGTTTGTATAAACTATTCTTCCTATGTTAAGCTCTAGAAACCGCTGGTAGCATATTGCACACTTTTTTATATACATATACAGGTATATTGTATATAATTTATAATTGTTATAATATTTTCTGATCATTTCCATGAGTTGATTAATTTTTTGTGTAGGGTAAAATATTTCTAAAATTGTTTTCTACATTATACAAAATATTTTTTGTCTTGTAAGCAATATGGCGGATATTGGGTTATTCACAATATCATTTATAGCGCCGCCATCTTAAAACGAAAATGTCACTTGTGACACATCGTTGGAAAGGGAGTTTTGCATGGATTACGATTATGGAAGAAAATATACCGCTTTATATCTGAAAAACGAAAGTCAATGTCACTTCCGGTTAATCCGGAAGGGAGAGATAACCCATTATTCAACTTTCCAGAAAAGCCTATTAATGACTAACTGAACATGTCCCAAAAATTACACCGTGTTTCCAATTTTTATTGTCACCCGGTATATGTATCCGCACTGAAGCGCAAAAAACATACAGGTCTTACACGAAACGGTAGGTAAATCGCTGCAGTGATGCCGCGCATATGTAAAAAGGGACAACGTTGCCACACGATCGGTAGCTACCGGTAAGGGTAGAGAAAAGTGTCTACGGACTAGTTGTATGGACCTGTTTAACTGTCTTAATACATGTAATTTCTCTGTTGTACATGTCAGTAACTGAATTTATTCTCAGAGGATTCAAATTGCGCTGTACTGAATCCTTTATGAACTGATGACGGCGGTGTGTAGAAAGTGCAGAGTTAACCCACTTGATTCCATTTTTCGGTAATGCTGCATCAAACCCATCAAGAAGAAAATGTTTCATCAAGTTTCATTTATTGTTTGTACCTTGGCATCGACAGCTGCGTGGTATAGATACAATAAACAAAATCGAAGAAGGTTTTGTACGTCCTGATTTCAATATTCCAAAATTCGTTGCTTCAATATTGTTCGTATTTATGAATACTTCCGTAACAGGTCTATCATCGAAAAAACAAACACCATCCCCAAATTCACTCTAGGGCGGAAGAAACAACCTCAGAATTTTTAAACTGGGATAGAAAGTCCATAATTTAATAGGTAGAGATATCTTTATAGCTTTTAATTTTATTTTTTTATTTATGCTACCTGTAAGTCGAACTGTATGTGGTTTTAAAAACCAGCAAATGTAAAAGGTTCATCCATATTGAGCATCAAACAAATTAGCCTACTAGTCGATCCATTTACACAAAAAAACTTTTGCAACAATCTGGCATTTGCCAAATCCACTAACTCTCTCCGTGAACATCCGGTTTCGATGGTGGCCGAAGACTTGATCTGACATGAACACATCTCGTCAACAGCGGCAGATGCTAGGCTATTTGTTTAGGGCTAAGAAGTACTTTTCTCCTCATAACTTCCTGACTCTGTACAAGGCCCAGATAACACTTAGGCTCGAGTACTGCTTACATGTTTGGGATGCTGCCGCCCCAACTACATTATCCACGCTCGATGCTGTTTAGAGGAGTTCTCTCTGACTGATTGATGACAAATTACTAACAAACAATCTGGGGACCCTTTCGTACCGACGGGCCGTCGCTGATTTAGCTCTCTTCTACCGCTATGCCAACGGGCTTTGCTACAGACGTCTCTAACTTCGACCTCCCATCCTAACCATGTCTTACTTCGTACATCCCGAACTGGCCAATACGACCGCGTCTTTGCCCCTAGGGTATCAAGATTGTCGAGCAATCTGCATGAAGAGGATTTTCTCAGTTCTACTAGACTTAGGTAGTTCAAAGATCGGATCAACAAGGTATCTTTAAGCCGCGGTGCCCTCGCATTTAGTAGAGTAAAAAATTGTCTTACGTTTCCACGGTAGAACTACTATCGTGGTCTTGAATACGTGTTTCTTCTATTGATAGATTTGATAGATAATTTTCAGGTTAACAATATTTTAGTGCTTTACAATGTATTTATTGAAGCCATAGATACAATTTCGCTGCCAGCGACCGTTCTATGGTCACGTGCCGATCAGCTATAAACTGATTCTGTCTGCGTTTGTTGCAGTAAAGTGTTGTAAAATCTCGTTATCTATTTATATCGAAGCTGGAGCTGGAATAGCCCGTGCACGGTGGGAAGTTTATAGCTTCAGACGGAACGAAATTGATTTGATAGCAGGTAGCTGTGCTCAATTTACGAATTATATCAGAGATGTATTCAGTTATCCGTTTATATAAATATAAAATACCTACCACCATTTCCAAACCACGGGCTTCAGCAAGAAGTGCATTACTTTTGATTCCATAGTGCACTAAATTTTTAAAACGTAGATCCTTATAATCTTCGATCTCAAGAGATCGGTGTTATAGTTTCAAAAGTTATAGGTATTGACCTCACCATCAGCTCTTCCAAATGGATGAAGCGAGTATATTTAATTTGAGCTATTTGTTAGGGAAAAATCCTGGAACTGAATTTTGAACCAGTTAACCTTAACCAATTGAGCTGAAATTTTGTACACACGTTTGGTCCACGTGACTACAAAATGAACAAGCTGTAGCCATTATGAATCGAATATGGGAATATGCTACAAGACGATTTATCATTTCCATAGTATGATATGGGTATTAAACGATTAAACCAAGGACTGGATGAGAGAAATGCAGTAAGCAAAGTTATGTGATGCTAAATCAAATATGGCGGCCACCGCAAAATGGCGATTTACATCTTTCATGGTCACCCATATGATATGGGTACCAAATGGAAGGGCTTGATAAGAGAAACACAATAAGCAAGGTTACGAGATTTATAATTTCTATAGTCGCCGCTATGCTACGGGTATCAAATGAGAGAGCTTGAGGGTAACATAAAGCAAAGCGACATATTCAAAACAATATGGTGAACATCATAAGATGGCGATTTATTATTTTCATAGTTACCCCTATACTATGGGTATCAAATGACAGGGCTTGATAAGGAAAACATAATAAGCAAAGTAAAGTCATTCTAAATCCAATATGGCGACCGAGTAAAAAATAAATAAAAAAGAATATTTGTTGAAAACAAGCTAATCGACTTTTTTCATCCTACTTCTTTTCATCATACTTTTATTTGAAAACTTGAGATGATGGAGCTCCATTATCGTTTCAATATTTCAAATCAGAAAAAATATTTTTCATATCACTAAGTTTGCTTACTCAGTGCAGTTCGACAGGCAACACCAATGACATGTTTTCGTGTTGGATGAACGTATATCGCAGTATGCCGTTTCAAGATACGACATACGGATTAACGTCATATCAGCTGTAATGTGTCAGTACTGTAATTGTACTTGTATGTTCACTTGTTTATATTTAAAATTAAGGTGCTGTCAATTTTAGATGTCGAAATATCGATTCACTGGATCGATTCAGTACGAGATATAGATTTAAAAAACTGATTCTTCGCCTCGAGATATTGACTCTTCGATTAATAGATCTCAGATCAACATTCCAAGTCGATTTCTCTTGAAGCGTGCCGAATGTTCGAGATGGCAACGCGAACGTTCCCATATACGGTCGCGTATTCCTGGTTGCCTAAGCGTCCATATTACGAGGCCGTCTCATTGTTACTCAATGTCTCAGTTTCGAAGGCGTTACGCTATTGATGATGATAAGTAATAATATGTCTTAATAATAATAATATGTCTTTATTTTTTAGATAAATTGTAACAAACAAAAAAAAACTCATTTGATGAGGGAGGCGGCATTCAACATAGTTGCTCTTCCATGCAACCCCCGTAAATAATACAATTCTAACAATTAGATGATAATGAGCGAATAATGATGGGTGTAATTAATACAACAAAAATAAAACTAACTATTGTGCTCTTTTCACATGGGATTTGACTCTATTTCGGAAGCTGCTAAGTGAGATCGAATCTTTTACTGCATCTGGCAATGAGTTATACATGGTAGATGCAACATAAGTAAATGAGTTTTTAAACTGTTCAGTACTATGTAACGGAACATCATAGAGATTACAAGAACGAGTTTCCCTATCATGAAGATCCGATCTCTTAACAAGTTTGGTATATAGGTAAAGTGGCAGCTGGGTTTTGTTAATATTGTAAGTTAAGTATCGCGGCCAGATGCCAGATGAGGCAAACTGTCCCACCATATCCATGTTTTAGAGATAAACCTTTTTTGAATAAAAATTCTTAGGGGTCGGCCAACGTAAATTCATTTTATTTCATTGGTACAACGTTTTGGTTATCTAGGCACCCTCAGATACATAAAGTATTCTGGAAAATATTAGAAGCTTTACAAACAGTATTTTTCATGAAATTATAGAATACAATTATATATACGTATAATACACCCACATATACCCATACACATATATACGTATATTGCACAAGAATTGCCTTTTTTGTTTCAGATTAAATTTAAGCTGAACAATTTAGAAGAGCAGGCTGACTCCTTCATACCAGAAAGAGCATTACTGGAAAGCAACTGCCAAAATGAGGATGTTGCTTCGCTAAGGATTTCATGGACGGGATACAGCTTAGTGATAAGTTTTGCAAAGGTAATTATCACATTACACTTTTTCAGTTGAGCTTTTTACCCGCGGCTTCGCACACGCAGATTTCGTTTTTAGGGTGAAAAATGAGTAACAGGTTCCCTTTGTGCTTGTCATCCAGAAGGGAAGTTGCGACAAAATTTTGACTTAGGGGCCGTTCAAGTATTACGTAAGCAGATTTTTTAAGATTATCATTATTTCCGTCGTGTCAGTGAAAGTAAGCAAATCCCTTACCGTCCTCCCATGCTTACGTACACATTGTGGTGTGTTTACAATTTGAAGTTAGTATTGGCTTCCAAAAACATGTTTTAAATACCATTTAATATCTGGAAATGAGGAAGATCCGGCTTCGCTCAACCCGACTTACGTTAACATGCTAACTATCAATAATTGAACAAATCCTTTTCTAGTAACCGGCGATAATTTCAATTATTCCAGCACAGACTTTTACTGAAAATTGTTCTTGATTGCAAGTTTTACAACTGCGTGGCCATTTCTGCCGACCCAATTACTGGTTGTCTCGAAAGTTAGGACTTTCGTTTTCAGAAACTACTACGTTCGAAATAACAAAGCAGTAAAACAGCACCGAAAACGTAAAAGAAAATAAAAATACTCACTATTCATTTGTTAAGGAATTTCAAGTACTGCCCAACCACATATCTTGTTTGAAAATACAGCTGGAAGTTGTTGCTGTTCGATTAAAAGACACGAGTTTGTTCACTTTTTTTAAATTTGCAACATTTGGGGCTTATGTCGAGGTCTTCCACCGTATCCACCCAAACAGCTTTTGCACGATGTAAAAAAACTTACGCAGGTCTGGTGGTAACATCGAGGACGACGTTTTGATCTCTGTGACTACACTCGCGGGGTATCAATAGGATCTTGAAGATTGATAGTAAACATTAAGCCGATACCTACGGTATAGTTCTAGCAATGTCCCAATTTCAGTTTTTCAAAGTCAACATGTAAACTAACTAACTATGCACTGCGCCGCACCTGATTTGGATACTGACTCACATAGTACCACAAAACATCATACCTTTTCACAGGATGAGGATGAGAAGGAGGAGGGGGTGGAGGAGGATTAAGAGGGTGGGAGGCAGGTATATGAGTTAATAGAGAAACTTCTTCATTATTGCCTTACCTACACGCTCTCTAAAGAAAAATCCCAACTTTGAGGACACCCTGTATGATTATTTATTAATTTATTTTAAGAATTATTTTCATTTTAAGAGAAATCAGTGACGTAGCATCAATGTCTGCAAAAATAGGCAGGTGAAATTCTGTACGAAAGCCACTGGGGGTAATTAAAAAAAATATAGCACCTTTAAAAATATCTCCTTAATCATCGTGCATGTATGCCAGATTTCATTAAAATACCTAAAGCGGTATTAATGATTTATTTTTGGAAACTTGACCAACATGTATGTCAAAACTTAAGACGTTTAGGACATACCTTCATATACAGTTTATTCTTAAACTGGATCCAAAAATCGCCACCTCAAATATTGGCATTCAATTAGGAAACAACCATACAGATTTCACACAATTATCAAAAATGTTGAATAAAATATTTTTTATGTGTATTGTACTCGTAGAGTATTTATAGATAGTTTTAAGTAAGACAAAAGAATAATAAACATTTTCATACAAACTGCCACCCCCCAGCATTTTCCCCTCTTAGGGAATGAATTTCCAAAAATCTTTTCTTAGTGCTCTTTATGAACGACATGAAGGGCCTCTCCGCAAGATTTCATGCTTCTACTTCCATCGGTTTTGGCTGTACTTTGATTCGTCAGTCACTCAGGGTCCTCTTTTATATATACTGCTTTTAACGTTTTATGACAGGTATTGTTTCTTTCAGTATCCTGGAGGGGAAAAGTGGTACATAAGCAACGTAGAACTGACCGTTAGCCCAGACTTGCCACAGCTTCGAGGAATTCCAGTTAAAGGTAGCTTTCTATAGTTACTTACTCTCAATCCTTCTCAACACAAATCTGTTACTTATTAAAAAATTACTTGATGCTTAGTTACCTAAAGTAAACCTTGATTTTCAAATGGCAATTTATTATCTTTATGCTCAACGATATGTGACTCTTTATAGCTTCTTGACAGCTAGCTAAAATTTTGACTTCAACTTTAAGGCCCGATTTTTTGGTACTACGAGGTCGGCAAAATGGGTCAAAGGTGACCTGGTTGCCAAGCTTCGTCTCCCTACCACTATTATTAAGGCCCGATTTTACTACCTACTACTACCACCTATAGGATGCAAATTCGACTAACAAGGGTTGTTTCAAGTAATAGATCTAATGAACATTGTAGATTTCTTTTAAAATGTTTCTCAAACTAGAGAAAAATTATACGATTTATGTAAGCTGGCGGCCCCTGATTTGACCATGGGCACAAAATTTGCAACTTAGTCGTTATTAAATGAGACCCTCTAATTCAAATAAAAGAATCGTGTACCGAATTAGATGCATGATAAAATTTAGAGAATATAAATAACTAAATTTATGAAATTGTTCTAAGTTTAAACACGATAACTTTTTATTCGAACTTGACATTGGACTTCAAAGTCGATTTAATATCATGTCTACTTTTCCAAATAAAGTTTTGTCCTGGAAGTATAGTGGAACACTTACCTTGAGATGCCTGGCAATACAGTAATAATTTGACATTGCAAGCAATATCCATCTTGATGAACATAAGGTCAAGGTTAAGAACAGAACACATTTGCAGTTCACGCAAAAAGTAAGAGGGAAATATCTGCTCTTTAGGGTCGTGACCAGGTCCAGATAGCGACTACTATACATAATACATACGGATTGGCATATCAAGATTTTTTCCTGGACTTATAGTTTTAGAAAAATCACACCGTATACTTACCCTTTCGATTCCTAATGGTCGTCTGCTTTAACAGATAAGTCAGCTATACGGCTCTATCATCGGACAATCCTGATTCCAACACCAGTGGGCAAGGCTTTCGAGTGTGATGAACTAGATGTGGATCTTGAGCCGGCTCCTGATGATAAAAGTACTCCTCCAGGAGTTAGAGGTTCTCTTTTACTAAGGCTAATCAAAATTCAACCATTCATGTACAAAGGAGAAGATTTTTCCACAGCGGTGCACTGTAGAAAGGGACAATCCTCATTCAGGTATGTTCTGCTACCCTAGTAAGCCGCTAGCTAGCTAGTCATTCCTAATTCATTGTTGTGAAAGCACCAAATGGAGTAACTTCGTTGTTTTGATTATTGAGCATTTTTATTGAAACCCCGTGGCTGCTATTCATTTTACTTATTTCATTTATTTAATTTATATTTATTTTATCTATTTTATTTATTTTATTTATATTATATATTTTAATTTATTGATTTTATTGATTTATTGATTTTATGATTTTTTTATTTATTTATATATTATATTATAATTAATTATATTTATTTATTATGTATTTATTTATTTATTTTATTTATTTATTTATTTTATTTCTTTTATTTATTTATTTATTTTATTTATTTATTCTTTTATTTACTTTTATTTATTTTATTTATTTTATTTATTTTATTTATTTTATTTATTTTTATTTATTTTATTTATTTTATTTATTTATTTATTTTATTTATTTATTTCTTTTATTTATTTTTATTATGTTATTTATTTTATTTATTTATTTCTTTTATTATTTTATTTATTTTATTTATTTTTATTTTTTCTTTATTTTTTATTTATTTTATTTATTTTATTTATTTCCTTTTATTTTTTATCTTTTTTATTTATTTATTCATTTTATTTTTTATTCATTTTATTTTTTATTTTTTATTTACATTATTCATTTTATTTATTTTATTTATTCATTTTATTTCCATTTTATTCATTTTATCAAAAGAAACCACACCGTTCCTACATTCTATAATGGAGATCTCAATAATGTAAATCTAGCATGAAAAGCTAGGCAAGTCACGTTTTTTAAAAGCAAATAAAAACACTTGTGTTGTGCTCATATGATCAAAAAAGTGCACCAGTATAAAAAATGAAAACATTTAAATATTAATTTTGAATATAAATTGATTGTAGTTTGCAAATGTATTTTGTGTATATAAATTAGTATGATAGAGCTGACCTTTTTGTGAATGTTTTTTAAAATGTAACTTTGAGTAAATTCAAGAGAATTTTTATAAATCCCTTCCCAAACTATAGTACCATAATGAAATAGAGACTCCATTGATGACTTATGAATAATCGAAATTATTCTCGGAGCTGTTAAATTTATTCACTAGTTCTAGTTTGATTGGAAAGATAATTAACACGATTACTCCATTTTAGATTTTGGTCAATGATTGTAGCTAAAACTTAATGTGATCAACTTCTTTTATAGGCTCTTTTAAACCTTATATTACAAATCTTCAGGTATATTGGTAATATGACATACTTTTTGGATGCATTTTTAATTTGTTTAATCACCCCCTACATATTAAATTATTTATTGAACATTTGATTTTTTGTCCAACAGAGATGAAACCGCATCAATAGCCGTAGGATCAACGTTAGCTGTTGCAGTAATAGCTATCCTCATAGGTTATTCTGCATATAAATACTTCAGGGTGAAGAATGTCCAATATAACACTATGGAGTAAATTTCGGGGCCATTCTTCGCAAGGTTATTAATATACTTCATGCCATAATGTGGAACTTTGTTGAGCATTTATGATGTATATCCCTTCTCAAGGTTGACATTTTAATTTGAAGGAAACTGGGTGATTAATTTACTTACACTGGCGTTGTGTCGATTCCACAGTATAGCAGAGATTCTACTCACTCTACTAAGTTCCACTTCTGATATTACTATTATATTGTTGTGGTTGATGACTAAATTCCACAATGTCAACCTTGTCTTTAATTAAGTGGCTTACAATCAGAGCCATATAGTGAGAAAATTACGAGATGCCAACAAAATTCATCAAAGATCACGTATTCTGGCAAATAACGTTTTTAGAACTATATTTATATGAATATATCTAGTCCTATATATTAGCTACGACAAAATTGTCATATCATTTTTGTTCGGTTCCTGAATGTTGCTTTTTTTTCCAATAGTACATTGATGCTTTCTTCATAAGAATAGGTAGATGAAAAGTTGTTGGACGTGAATAGGAATCTTACTGGTATCACCACATAATTTGTAGCTTGCGTAGATATCTTATGCTTACGAAGGTTGTATAGGCAGTGTCCAAGATTTTTCCTCATCTATTCTCCTGTGCGCATTATAGCATCCTATTAAAAAAACTGTCTTACAGTTCGCAAGACCATTGCATGCAAGCTCTTGCAGTTGCAAGACGGCATTGTTTTGTCTGCAAGACAATTGCAGCTAATCACTTGCAGTTGCTAGCCGGGCGTGTTTCTTCGATTCAAACGAGCAACGTTAGCCAATCTGTTTGCAACATTCCTTCTCTCATTCATAACCTATAATTTTGTTTCTGGTTTTTACCCTTCAGAAGATCAAGTTGGATTCCCGGCAGTTGTAAGAAAATGACAGAAAGAATCAGCTGTTTTGTTAGTGCGCATGCGTCTGTCAATATTTCTCTTGCTCTTGCTGGCTGTAAAATGAGTATAAGGAACGTTCCTAATAGAGAGGTTACACCTCAACTGTCTATTCTTTTGACTACGAAAAAAAAATTGGTTAAAAAAATGTGATTCAGAAATTTCAGCGCATCAAAATTATGTCACACTGCCTAGATTTTTATTGAAACAGTGGGGACAATGCACATCATACTTTTTTAATAGTTACCTCGTAAATTAGAAATCCTGGCAATACTTTAATAACTAAAAACTATTTCATTAGCTATAATGCAACCCAAATGTTGCGTAAATTCTGAAATAATGCTCCACTTGTTATTGGTAACTCTTTGAAAAATCTGTAAAGATGATATTGGTTACAAATAAGCTTCACTTTATAATCTATGCTAATACGCACGTGCAGTGTGGACAAATTATATCTTTTTCAATTTCGAGCATCATTGCGAATGTGTAACCATTTTTCATAAATGCTAAATGATTCAACTAACAAAACTTTGAAATACCTATAGGTACCTATGTTTGCGTATTGTATTAATTTTTTCTAGCGATAAGCATAATACTTAAAATGTACTTAGGATCATCCTCTCAATTCTAAGAAATGTAGAGTATAGAATATAATGTATTTACCTTTCCGAAAACCATGTTAATTATTTGTAGGATAAGGTTAAGTAACTAAGCATTCGAACCTAACCATATCTGAATAGAATCTTCCATAATATTAAAACGCATATCACATATTTTCCAATGTATATTTTTTATACTCATATCCTTGTATATTAATTGCAGAATTTTATGCCTTCCCCTTATAAGAAGATACACAGCCTGAATTGCCTGTAAACCCTGAAACAAACATGCATTCTTCAATACCGTCAATTTGCGTTATTTATCTATTTATTTAGAGACAGATACAATTTGCAGAATGTTCAGTGATGGGCGCTTACGCCTGTACATTGATTGTCTTCGTTACTATGTATGCAATGAAAATATTATTATTATTATCATTACAATGAATACAAAGTATTTAACATTTATATACATTGTATACATTACATATAAGTTTCGATGTATGCAATGTAAATATTATTATTATTATCATTACAATATATATAACATATTGTATACATTGTATACGTTGTATACATTGCATACACGTTTCGATGTATGCAATGTAAACATTATTATTATTATCATTACAATGTATACAATGTATTTAACACATTGTATACATTGCATATAAGCTTCGATGTTAGCAATGTGGACATTATTATTACTATTATCATTACAATGTATACAATGTATTTAACATATTGCTTATATTGTATACGTTGTATACATTGCATACAATGCAGCTAATGTCTGCATTTATGGTTGATATTTCAGGTTCTACTACTACTAAGAAGGCGTGGATCACTGAATAATTTGGTTGTTTGTTGAGTTTAGTGATGATTTTGTTGCAATTTATATTACTGGAAGTGCGGAGTATTGAAGATCAATTATTATTAATGTAGGCTGTATTTCTTATTTATGTTTAATGATAATAAAGTTAAATAATCATACATATGAAACACTAGCTATTTAGTTTTAATTGCTCTACAACTTTTTGGTAGAATCTACTTTTTGACAAAAGCTCACGACTTTCTTTTGTTTCGAAAGTGAATTTAAAGAGTTGGTGGCTCTGGAGCAACAACTTAAAGATGTGTTTCGGTGAACTAGTTAGATTCTGTAGAGATGATCAGCTTAGTCTTCTCTTCGATAATATGAAGAAGTTCATTCTAAAATGTGTATTACACTGTCACCAAAATCGTTGAAATGTGATAAAATGCACCTTCTGAACCTCGTCGGCCTTAGTGCTAGTTTTGAGCCTTTTTGCAATTTCACGAGAATCTTAATGCATAACACTGGTCCTACGGAGTTTACAACTTCAGATTTTATTACTAAAAGAGTCAGTGTGTCAACGAAATCGTTACACCCGATCTTCCTCCATTGCTATAAAATACAGGGTGGCCCATAAGTCCTTTGAGCTGGAAAAAAAGGAATAAAACCAAACTACTTACATTATGAAGAATTATTATATTTTGTTATCATCTTTATTGAATGGGAATTATGTTTTGAAAATCACATCGTCTAAATGCAATCCATTACGATCACGGCACTCATATAAACGACGTCTAAAATTGTCGATGACTGTGCGGCAAGTCAACACTGTAATGCTTGCCATTTCTCTTCGGATATTTTCTTTCAGGACATCAACTGATCGCGGAGTGGTGTCGCACACTTTACTCTTGAGGTAGCCCCATAAAAAGAAGTCCATTGGGGTCAAATCTGGACTACGTGGTGGCCAGGAAATGTCTCCTCTTCGAGAAATTACTTTGCTGGGAAAAAGTTGACAGACGACGGGCATAGAAGTGTTGGAGGTGTGGGCAGTTGCTCCGTCCTGTTGAAACCAGGTCTGCGTCTTATAGCCTGGAAAATTCTGCAACGCTGGTGTCAAAAACTCTTCTATCATTGCTACGTACCGCTCCGAAGTAACAGTTAATGCGCGACCTCTGTCGTCCTCAAAAAAATAAGGGCCTACGATGCCATGCGCTGACATAGCAGCCCAAACTGTAACTTTAGGGCTGTGTAAGGGCTTCTGATGCTTACGCCTTGGAACGGCAATTTTGTTTATTTACATGCCCGTTTAAATGGAAGTGAGCCTCGTCCGAGAACAACACATTATTGAGCGAAGAAAATCGATTCAACATTTCATTCGCAAAGTTTAGTCTCTGAATAGCGTCATTATCTTTTAATTCCTGCACTAAGTGAATTTTGTAAGCGTGCAGACGTAAATCTTTCCTTAAAATCCGCTGTAAAGATGTTCTGGGTACGTTTAGTGCACTGGAACGCTTACGAGTAGACTGGGTAGGATTTTGACGAACAGACTGTGCCACAATGTTGATGTTTTCTTCAATACGAGTTGTCCTTGGTCGACCCCACCGCTGTTTATCTAACGTCGAACCAGTCTCTTCGAACTTAGCAACACAGTTCTTAATCGTTTGAGCTGTTGGACACTTTGTAAAATTGTGTAAATTGTGGTATTCTCGATATTTACGCCGCGCAATGGTTGCCGAATCATTATTTTGATAAAACGCGCGCACACAAAAAGCACGATCCGCTCCAGTGAAACACTCCATGACGACTGAATTCCCAGACACTGAAGATACTGCCCCCACCTCGCCCGCGCCTCTCACGCTCACCCGTTAAATTTTATTCAAATTTGAAATTTCAAAGGACTTATGGACCACCCTGTATATTATATAAAAAATACATAAATAAGGTGTGAAAATTCGTCACCTTATAAGATATCACCTCCGCTTCACTGGAAAGGGGCCCAAGTCATTTTTTCATACGTGAAATCTATAGATTTTTATATACAGTCGAGTAGGATTTACATTTTTTAATCCATATATCACATTGATGGTGTAGTGCAAAAATGTTGTATTTGATAATAATCAGAAGATGAACATCCAATGGAGTAAGTGATAAATTCATTTATAACACGTCTGGATTTAGTTTTGTTCTTGCTACATTTGTGCGCTGCACGATCGGCAATATACCTCATTTCAAAATAGCAGCCATCACAAAGAGAGAAAAGCTATGTCCAGAACTTTCGTTCACATCCGGTAAATGAAAAAAATTTACATTAGTTTGAAATATAACTTAGCAAATAAATAGTGTTCATGCAAATTCATGTCTAACCATTCAGTGGAATAATTGAGCAGAAATCCTACAGGCATTGTATATGTGGAAAACGAAGCTCTACGTGAAAAGATATGTACTATGCCCTATTTCACGAGTATCCATCACGGTAGAATGACAGCTGATTTCCTAGTAATATCTCAAAATTCCCATATCGACACAAGACACATAATTCTGACGGATCCATGAACGCCAGGTAGACAGAGCCGAATTTTGTTTTGTTTTTCTGTACGCTACAGATTCATTTTGTACTTGCTAACAGCTATTTTATTTAGAAAAATTAACTTGCATACAGAAAAACGCCACAAACAAGTTTTACTAGATTTATACCCGATCCATTATTGCCAACGTTGCAGAATAACACAAAAATGTCACTTGTTGATCAGCTGTTCACCTCAGTAGACGTCAAAGCTTTATATATGCATACTCGTGAAACAGCGTATAGGTCATAGATGACTTATCATGAGGTTACGTCACTTAAGGAGTTTTATAGACATACATACATATTAATTTGGTATAAAAGATGTAAAGAGTGAGAACTCTATCTGTTGTAGTCTGAAGGAGACTTAACTAATAAGTCCGTAGTTCTACATAAAAATATACATAAATAATTTAATTTTATACAGTTAAGGATTCTTGAAGTTGCTGAAGGCTTAACTGCTACAGTTATTTACTTGATAAGAGGTAAATTGAGATCAGGTTCCTGATTAAATTAATTGAACTCAAGTTTGTGAGTGATGAATCTTTGAAAAAACTATAACAAATGTCTGTAATCAACGATCTGATAAATTGCAAATATAAATATTTGGATTATGTTGATTCGATCCGCCAAGAACTACTTGTTACGTAACATTAGTGTGCCATGACTCAATCCTTCTTGTATAGATTTCGCCGACCCCTTTGACCTCATCTAACTCGATTTGAACCCAACCCGTTCTCTCCGTAATAATAATTGCAAAAAACGACACCTGCTCTGTCTATTTCCTGACTTCATTTATGACATAATTCAATTCCCTCTCATCGATCGATTCCGCATTGAGTTCGTCGCTTGTAATTATCGTACCGCTTGTATTTGCACCGGGTGGGCCAGTAATAAAGGACGCTGACTGTATCTCGGCAACCGCTCCGCATAGAGCTATCAGTTCAAATATATTATAATAGAAGTGGCCAAAAGAATTGCTGGAAATTATTTTCAGATTCCTAAAGCGGCCGCTAGATGGTGTCATTCCAATATCAAAAACCCAAACGCCATTATTTTACAAAAATCGTAATTGAAATATTTAAAAGCCTCATCTTGTTGACCGCTCAATTACAGAACCTTTTGTCCTTGCCATTTTTTCAAATGTAGGTTAGTTGGTGGCATGGGAAGAGTACTATCATTTCAGAATGCACCATAACTTCTGATTGGGCTGTACCGATTTTGGTGATCTTGGTTTCGTTGTGAAAGTTTATCTACTCACCTGCGCTCCTAACGAATGCTTAACCCAGTCAGATTAGTTATAGCCACTAGAAGGTGCTTTGTTGACGTGACAGCGTCTTCTTGGATTTCTTCGGAAATTACTATTACGATATGATTTTTTTATACTGATTGGAAAGTATGTAACAAATCCTAAAGAATGGTTAAAAACGCAGATCAATACGTTTATTCGTTATGGAGATATATTAAGAGATAGGCTAATATCACAAGTTTCAAGTGATAATAAGAAGAAAGATTTATGTTATGAATGGTTGGATAAAAGGTACCAACATCACACGATTTTGAGATATTTTACTTTGTATGATATGTTATTAGTCAGTGCCAACGTTGGCCAGTCCCGGACAATGCGCATTGGTTTAGCGTTCACATATTGGTGTTGGCCCACCTTGGTCCAATATGCAACTACAACATAACGGACTGAAAGCTTAATGTTTCCATGTTTCCTGCGAAGGAATATATTTTTATTTTTACTAATAGCTGGCGTACCAACTATGTATTTCTGTGTACACTTTTCTCATGCTCCAGCTATAGATTTATCGTAATTTTAGGAAATTTGCACACACTGACTACTATAGTAGTAACTGAAGAACTCGTTGCACTGTTATAGCCGACTAGTACTTGAGATCATTTCAATCTTGGAATATTAAAAGGATTAAAATAGTCACAGATGTTTTCTATATCTTCTGAAGCAAAATCTATATATTTTTTTTGAGAGAAACATGCTTGAAAAAAATCATTGAAAATTCTATATATATCTGTTGTGTCGACCTGTATGAAGTTGTACCAACGCAATGATTACGGAAATACAAAATCCCAAAATTATCAGATCTAGAGACTTGACTAGGAAGAAAATAATGAATTAAGCACCAAACTGGATATTTTTAGAAAAATGTTGAAAACTTATTTGTCTCGGAAACAGTTGATTTTATATGGTGATGACCTCCACAACTTTCCTTCTAACCCCGCATACATTTCAAACTGCAATTATTTCTTAAATGTATTCTAGCTGTCGCTGATACATGAACATTTTTTCAGCTGAAATTGTGTCCAAGGTGAAAGATGGTTGACTCCAACTAGCAATCAACGAATTCTCTTTTCTTTTGATAATATAGCAAGGGACGAGGAATGAGCATGATGGTGTTCTTGTCGAAATAGGACAAACCGTGTGCTAAAATTGTTTATTGCAGAGACGATTTTTAAAATTTCTGTATTTCCTGCAACTACTGTAAATATGAATTTTTTGTGATCTTGTATAGATTATGTTTGTTGTAGTGAATATATCTGCACGTACTCCAAATCATCGCAATAAATATATTACCTACTCACATTACTGTTTAATTTTACGCACATTTTTCATTAATACGCGAATATCAGGAACATTAAGAAAAGATAGACGTTTGTTACTTTGACTTTTCGAAGATATAAATTTATATATACATATTCAGTGTATTTTTAATGAAGTAGTGAGAATTGTACGTACTATTTGAAACAGGTATGTTAATAGTGGCATATGAAGCATACAAAATATACGATATTTTGAAAACATGTTCCTTTTCTTTTCCCGCTTCGTGCTCGTCTAGCCTCAGGTCAACTCTTACTTTTAGAAAAATGCATTTTTTATTTTTAAGGCTATCTGTTGCTCCAAAATGCGAAAAAATACAGAACACCAAAACCAAAAATCTACCAGCATGGATTAGTCTAAGCTCAAGATAGACAACATAATACAATATTACGATATGAAATGCTGTGTTTCATGTTCATGCAATAGCTATGTTTCTTTTATCAGCAATAATTAGAAAACTACTTTGAAACGGTTAGTGTTTGCAGCGCCATCATGAGACACATTTGATCCTGAATGCGTAAGTACAGTCTGACTTAATCAATAGGTACTCTATCTTATTACTTGCAACAGCAGACTGAAGGTCGGTAACACTTGTCAAGCTTTTGCGGATTTTCTTCGGGGCTATTTCATGACACTGTATAAGTGACATGTGCATATGTTGTATGTAGCCGTTCCTTAGATCCCGTAAATCAAATAACGCATAAACGGTGATTTACAGAAAGTATAAATATTTGGGCAATCTTTTTATTGTATGCTACACAATTTTGGTGTAAGCTACTTTTGCGATTATTTATTCGTGCCGTTCCAGAGAACTGTCAAAATGGTAATCAGTGTAGTTAAGTGAACAGGATTTTCATGCACTTTTAGAATTATTAAAAATAATAAAACTATTTTATTACAAGTTTTCTAGGAAATTTAGAAAAATGGCGATTTTGTCAATGAGCGCCATCTAATGGAGGGAAAACGAACTAAGCCGACAAAGGCCTTTTTAATCAACCAATGGAAATCGGTAAACAATCAAAAGTTACACTACTTTTTCTGAAACGACCTTGAACCCTTCTCCACTCAAGCTAAAAGATACCAACGTTACTAAACACGAACGCTATTGAATGAAGCTACTTTAGATGTTAATAATGAATGTTGTCAAAGAAAGGCTTTTCTAATTTTGACACTATCGTTACACCCCCTAGCGGTCATTTTAGGACACTGAAAATATTTACTGTGACCACTATTAATTAATAATTTTTTGAACTATAGCTGTAAATTCAGTGGTTTCCGAGATTATTAATGGTCTACCTGGTACAATAACAACGCAACCTTTAAGCAAAATGCTTACGTCGTTTGCGTAAGAAATATAAGTATAAATGATACAAGATTACGTGATGGTTACAAGACACTCCTAGATCATCCAGCTATCGAATGCCAACTTCGCGAACAGTCAGCAGGTCAGCACGTGCTAACCCCTCCGTTACCCCCGCGACCCTTGGTTAAGCGCCGGCGTCAAAAACCAGACGAGGGGTGATATTGGAGTTGCCAGGTACATGTTTATCTTTTCCTGGGCAGTTAGGCTGTTAAGGGAGTTGGAGTTCCAAATTACTGAGTGCTTGATTTGACCTGTCCAAGCCGTAAACATACCTTCCGAAACACGTGCAAGTTGTCTCACTGAATTATCTCCATGTTACACATACTTATTACTAATAATAAAAACACAAGAAACACTGACGTTTCGGCCAGAATTTTTCCTTCTACGTCTGTGGTTGTATTCTACAGTATATTATGGAGATCGTCGTCCAGAACTAAATGAAGAAAGTAGTTCTTTTTATTCTTTCTTCACTTTAGTTGCGGATAAAAACAATGTATATTACCTCCGTCTAATCCATACGTGAGAAAAGTACTGCCATCACGAAATGAGTATTTTGGACATTTTATAAAACAAGCAACACAAAAAAACATGATACACACTTCTACCAGCCAATGACGAGTGCTACTTTCTTCACTGGTGCTTCGTCGTTCCTCAGCAGTCTGCTGAGCATGCGTCCTGTTCCGTATAGTACTGCCTCCCCTGGTTAACTCAGACCACGTTATTGTAGAGGTCATATTTCAGTCATAACTGTCTGTTACAGCAGAAACTCGCCCAGAAATGCTCAGGGCTCAGATATTTTTCTTCAGTTTAAGATATGTTTGTTTTACTGACTCGAATATGTTGGCTGTCTGTTCTTCATCAATTGAAGTTATCCACGTTAGGATATGGGTACATCCCTCATACAGTGAAAGTGCTCAAGCCAGGGTCCAACGGATGGTTCAAAAGATGCACACTGCTAGTCGACAGAAGAACAAGGCATCCTGAACCTTCTCAGAAAACCCCACCGATGAGAAAAGACAAGCCATTATGTGTATTGAAGACAATGATCCATATAATCGTTCGTATGGTACAATGCGTATGCAGTAGATGAGCTTACCTGTGTTCCAGTAAACGTAAATATACGAATACCGTTGTAATTTTCCGGTGCTTTTCCTGTTTTTCCGGGCGTTTGGCAACCTTAGTTGAGGTGCGCTACCCCTGCAGCAACGCCTAGCCATTACCAGGCAGTGCGTGTGCGACGGTGGCGTAATAAACACGTAGAGCAAGGGGCGGCCTACACGGGGCCAGACAAGCTCGCTGCTGTCCCACACCCCTTACCAAGGAACAGATGGTCCGGAGGCCTAACTCGTCTGGACCAAGTGTGACACCTTCATGGTGAGTTGCGACATTGTTCGGAAATGCTCTGACCTAGTGGCATGGTTATATTTTTGAAGGATACAGGGAAGTTTGAAATAACCTCATCAAGGCCAAATCACCACAGTATCCAATAAGTTTCGGAAATGATTTTTGAAGGTTGAAATAGCTATATGTTTTTTTCTCTCAAAGCTTCATTAATATTTTTATAATAAGTTACTGTATTAAATATGAATATGAGATAAATTTTATCATCTGTAATATTGCTTCCTTTATGGACTGACCTAGTGGCATAATTATTATTTTTGAAGCTATCAATAATGTTGATGTAAGCTAACTTGATAGATCATGCAAACTTCAGCCGTCGATCAAGCATTAGAAATTACAGTTGATAAGTTAACAGTATAATAGATTTGCAGCGTTACTGTTTTAGAATCACGTTGGTATTTCACACAATATTCTCTAAACTGTTCAAGATAACCGATAAAGGTAGACGACAAGCTGTTACCTAAAGCTTGATATTTGTTCGGAGCTTGATTGTTTTTACCTTGATTAACATTTAGACAAAATTATTGTACAAACTGTGATCTAGCGGCCAGTTAATAAGACTTTTTGGAGTAATCTGTACCACTAGTAAACAGATTCTTTGTCTGATATAATAATGTTGGAGTTGGAGTTTGCTTTTTTTTGTTTGATATGGTGATTTGAGTATAATACCGTCTTCTATACAAGAAGTATACTCTTTCAAGAAATAGTTTAATTTTTTTTAAGTAAATAAACCATTGATAGTTTTTTCTTAGGATTGTCTAGATGCCTTAATAAAATAAATTTTTGGGGAGCATGGGAGCCTCAGCTTTGCAGGCATTTTGAAGCACGATTTTGATTCATCCGGCAAGCCAGTATTCATTAGCTGCTTGAATTAATCAATAACGTTCTTAAACGGCAGACTTTCACGTTTTGCTTGATATTTAGAAGGGTCTCAATTTTTTGATGTTAGTAATATTCCTCCAACCCCGGTGAATATACGTTCCTAAACTTAAACATATTTCACACCTCATACACTTCCCAGTAATTTGGCTTTAAATGCCGACGGATTACGTACCTATCGGTCGCACTTGCTGTACGCTACAGGATCGTAAATATTGCAGTGGTTCCGAGGGACTTGTAACAGTAGGTAGCAGACGATGCGGTAATACGATATGCACATAGGAGATATTATCTATGTTTACGAGCAACATGCTTGGAGTGTAATTTTTTGAAGTTACATGATTTTGTGGGGGTCCATCATATAGTATATATGGATAGTATATACAGGGTGCGGCAGAGAGGATGGACGGTTTTAAAAAATCATAAAATAGTTAATTTTTACTCGAAAACAAATTTATTGATGGAATCAGGTTCACAAGGAACATTTGAGAGAGTCAAGTGTGGAAAATCACATCAGGCATGTGGTGGTCGAAATCGTTGATGCAGTGCTGGAGGCGTTCTTGGAAGTTTGCGTAGACTCTCACCAACATCGCTCTCTTAACTTGGGCGACTTCCACGCGAATTTCGCCCTTCAATTCGTCCAGAGTTCGGGGCTTGTTCGCGTATACTCTAGCCTTGAGGTGTCCCCATAAGAAAAAATCGCATATGGATAAATCTGGGGACCGAGGAGGCCAATGACCATCGCCAAACCTGGAAATAAGGCGACCAGGGAAACAATCATAGGCGAAAACACGGTTCTCCACCGTCCAAGGCTCCATAAAGACAACTGGTAAAATAATGCTAGGATCTCACTAGTCAAACGGCACCCTCCCCACCTCTCTCGTAGACGGAGTACTACCCATCCCAAAAACGTCCGTCCTCTCTGCCGCACCCTACACATATGTATAGTATCAAGAGCAATTATAATCAGTGGCGTTAAAATGATCATAGTCACTCCTATGGCATAGGTAGCGAATTAAATGCCTTTATGAGAGAAACATAACAAGCAAGGCGATGCTATTCTAAATCCAATATGTTGGCCACCGCAAAATGGCGATTTATAATTTCCATAGCCACCCCTATACTATGGGTATAAAATGAAATGGCTTGTACAGGGAAACATAGTAAGCAGTGACGACATTCTGGTCCATGGTCATCACTATAATATGGGTATCAAATGAAAGGGCTTAATGAGACAAACACGATAAGCAAATAACGTTATTCTTAATTCGATATGGTGATCACCGCAAAATATCTATTTTTCATTATATGATTTATGTTTATCGAAGTTTCTAATATAAATAAAGTAAGAAGTATTATGGAATCCTACTAATAAAACATTGTAAAGTTATATAGAAATTATCAGACTAGTAAAGGTAAAAAATAAAAAAGCTTTTGTTTAGCTTTTAAAAAGATGAAATAACTCTTAAAAATAATTTTTCCGATTGGAAATATTTAAACGGTAATAAAGGTTCTTCATCTAAAGTTTTACAAATAAAAGCGTGTTACGTTTCAACAGCAGGATATACGATTTTATTTAAAAACTTAATATGATCCTTCATTATCGTTTTGTATCTCCTCAATGAAAAATTAGTTTTAAATTTTTAGTTCATTTTCTGCATAGCTAAATAAAACCTTTCTTTTAAAAATGTAAAGGGTGTTTTTTAGAGGTATAGAACTTTAAATTTTAATAAAACAACGATGGATTATTCGACTGACATGAATTTTTTTTATTCGAAAGATAATCTTGTGGAATTACATTTCAAATATGATTTCTGGCATATGACTGCCACGGCTGGCTCGGATGTAGTCCAATCTGGACGTCCAATTTTCTATGATTTTTCTGACATTTGTGGCCGTATATCGGCAATAACATGGCATGTTGTCTTCCAAATGGTCAAGCGTTTGTGGCTTATCCGCATAGACCAATGACTTTACATAGCTCCACAGAAAATAGTCTAGCGGTATTAAATTACAAGATCTTGGAAGCCAATTCACAGGTCCAAGACGTGAAATTAGACGGTCACCAAACGTGTCTTTCAATAAATCGATTGTAGCACGAGCTGTGTGACATGTTGCGCCGTCTTGTTGGAACCACAGCTCCTGGACATCATGACTGTTCAATTCAGGAATGAAAAAGTTAGTAATCATGGCTCTATACCGATCACCATTGACTGTAACGTTCTGGCCATCATCGTTTTTGAAGAAGTACGGACCAGTGATTCCACCAGCCCATAAAGCGCACCAAACAGTCAATTTTTCTAGATGTAACGGTGTTTCGATATAGACTTGAGGATTAGCTTCACTCCAAATGCGGCAGTTTTGTTTGTTGAGGTAGCCATTCAACCAGAAGAGCGCTTCATCGCTAAACAAAATTCGCTTATGAAAATCGGGAACAACGGCAATCTCGTTTTGGGCCCATTCAACGAATCTACGCCTTGCGTGAGTCTATTCATGATGAATTGCCAAACCAAACTCAGTATATATCACTTGACAGCTGTTAAATCGGTCGCCATCTTCAAAAGTAATGCCAACTTAAAGTTCTACACGTCGAAAAAAAAACACCCGTTATTTTCTCATTTTATTTATTTGACTGTTAAGCTGACAGTAATAGTGAGTGGATATCGAGAATATACTCGTATTTATATGATCCACCTAGCACTTCCTAGCCTGAGCATAGAACTATCCTTGAAACCAATATTCTATTTAATTGGCCTAGGTATTTGGCTTCAGATCTCTCGAACTTTTCTAGTACATGCTCTCTTCCCCCCTCCCTCTCTCTCTCTCTCTCTCGTAGTGGATAAAAAAATCATACCCAGAATTCGTTATTGTGTGTTTTTATATGTTTGGATAGGACGTAGTCAGAAAAAATATGCTAAGGAAATATCTTTTCCTCTTTATCAGTGCTTTCACTTGAATAGGCAATCGCGTTTGCTGTTTGTCATTAGCAACTGTTTTACCTACTGAGAATACAAGCTCTTGAATAAAAACCTTATTTTTAGGTGAGATTATACAGGTATGGATATGAATCCACCACGTATAAGATATATACCTAGTCTTTCTGACTTTCCGTAATCCAGAATATATTACCTAGCTCCAGAGTTTTATTACACACCGAGCATATGGATTTGAATAAACAAATAATCGGGAAAGTTGCCAGTTGGAAGTTTAATATTGAAATCAACCGCGGACTTACCTAACTCCACAATACAGAGAAGTTCAAAATACTGCTCTGAAGAAAAAATCTATCCTGGTATCCAACATTTCAATAAATATCCCTATTTCATATGAATCTAAAGAATATCATTAACAACATTCTATATTTTTAAAACACAGTTAGCCTTCCTTAGGCTCAATCCAAATAAATTAGATGAAATACTTCGCAAAGATGGAAGAAATCTATAAATCTAAGCAAAATTTTGGAGCACTGGCTCATTGCTCCAGAAAAAATTGCAAAACTATGACATTTTAACTTTAGGGTGCTAAACATCATTTTTCTTTATGGGTTTAAAATTGGTGAAAAACTAGTCACCCTGTGCCACATGTGAATTTTACCGCCCCAAATTACCTGAATGTACAGAGCATCGTTCGCATATAGCTACGGTTAAAAGAAATATTTTTAGCACCCTAAAGTTGGAAATCTCGCATAGTTTTGCAATTATTCAATCAATAATAGGTTGTATATGACAAACAAGATCAGATACATGTGAAAAACCGCACTTGTAGTGTTTTGATTTTTAGTAACCATGTTAGGGGTAAACAAAGTGACCATCCTCATAACTACGTTTTTTGTGTTGCTGAAACCGAATCTGGTGCCCATTTAGTACGAAAATGCTCCGCTTTTGAGGTGCTGACAAGAATTCTACTTCTCAAAAGATGACTAATAAAAAGTCTCAAAAAAATGTGCAAGTCTCTGATCTGAATGGAAGCTTGTTTTCTACGTAAATCGGATGCGTAGATTTCGAATTAGATGTCAATTTAGTGCTGGAACTTACGGGTGGCCCGGTTACTGGCTTCTCACTTATTTTCTACCCCGAACACGCCATCATCGAGGTTTTTTTGAGTTTATATTCAAATTTAGCTTAACAAATTACCAGAATGTACAGAGCATCGTTCGCATATAGCTACCAATGAAAGAAAAATTGCTTTTCAGCACCCTAAGGTGGCAAATGACGCATACATATAAATGGGATTAGATATAATTATGTGAAATGACTTCGGTTTCGGTTTTAGCGACCCAAAATACGTACGACATAATATGTCATTTGAACACCATTTGAAGCACTTTAATTTATGGTAACCATGTATAGGGAAGAAAGGCCGAATAATCAGGAAGTAAGCCCAACCATTCTTATAACACGGTTTTGCGTCACTGAAACCGAATTCGGGGCCTCCAAAAATGCCCCATTTCCAAGATACTAGCAAAAATTATACTTTTAGAAAAACGAACAATAAAAAATGTCACTTAAAACAATAAATATTTTGAATAGAAATACATTTTTGTCGAGAGAATCGTATATGGAGTTCAAAATATTAGCTATGATTCTAGATAGACCATTTGGAAACCCGTGTTGCTTGTCTGATAAGATCTATGGTGATTAAGTAATTGAACCTTTCATGGACTATTTGGTCATATTGGATCTAGAATAACGTCCCTTTGCTAAATACGTTTCTCACATAAAGCCCTTTAGTTTGATACCTACTGTGATAGAATTATAAACTCGTACCCTTACTTATTGCGTTTCTCTCATCGGGCCCGTTCATTTGATACCCATATCATAGGGGCGATTATGAATAACGGAAACCGTCATTTTGCGGCAGCCGCCAATTTGGACTTGAATGGCATCGCTTTGCTTATTGTGTTTCTTGATCAAGCACCTTCATTTAATACCCATATCTTAGGGGTTACTACGAAAAAGATGAATCGCCATTTTGTAAAATCCATATTGAAATTAAAGCGGCGGCAAGCGTGCGTACAAAATGTAAGCTTAATTGATTAGCTGATTCAAAATACAGTTCCAATATTTGTGCCGCACATACTATCTTACTAACAAACAGGTCAAGTTAAATAAAAACTTGCAAAAATGATATCAGGGAGCTGACTTGTTGCGATCTTGTACAAACTTTCCAATAATATAAATATTGTTATAGTATAATAGGCGTTTTATGCTAACCTGCGAATTCTCGCTTAATTACAAGATCTATTTTCAGCATATGTACAGTTCACCTCGGTGTTTGGGAAGCTTTTCCTTATTCTAATAATAGCTCTGTTGGATAATGTTCGTCTCACAATCAGTTATAATCATTCTCGTCGTACGAATGATATCAATTGAAAGTCGTAGAACTCCGTGGGTTTTGTGCATGGCAATATTGTTAAAAATAAGTGCCTCATTGATATCCTGTTGGCCTCTGAATCGTAACATAACCTAGGTTATTGAGCAACACCAGTCTATGCGATGCTTTGTTGTAAGTGTTTTTTCAGATTCTTGTTTTATTCATCATCTCGCGGTTTTCAAATACAATAATTTATTATAATTGGTGACTGCCATGATGGGACAAGTAAATCCAAAAATAAAATAGTAGAAATATTTAGAGAGCAGAAACCATGTACAGTAAAATTAATAAAAATCTGAATCCTGAAATGTCCCATTACCAACATACAGAGTATTGTAAACTTCTAAACCACAGATGAGACTCGTTCAGGGCAAATTTTGAATATTGCTCAAATAATGCTGTGGTGAGATGATTTTAACCACTGTCCCCAGATTGAATGGGGGCAGTTTTAGAGGAAACTTAGTGCTTTCGATAGCCGGCTTCAGATTTACGATCGGTCAATTGGTTTTAAAAATATCACCGAAAATAGCGGATTTCGTTTTTTGCCAGTACATCCAAAACGGCTAACTTGACAGCTGTAAAAATATGACAATTTTAGGGCAATTTTTTAAGAGAAATAAGATAGCTTGTATGACATGTCTCAATCGTCTTTTGTTTTCCAGCAACCCGCCTCGACTTTCATTTCTGTTGACGTTCCTAGTTGTGCTCAAAATTCTTTGTCTCATGATTTCTATCGTCGCAGGAGGTTCAATTTCATAGACCTCATTCTTTCTGTGACCCCAGATGTAGAAATCCAAGCGTGAAAGGGACTCCAAGATATTGAACCATTTAATGATATTATTCTTTCATTAAACTGCTCTCTGAAGAAGTTGCTGCCTTGAATGGTGTGTAATATTTTATGCACTTGTGGAACATTACTAGGCTGGAAATTTTACGCTCTTTTCAAAAATCCAATATGGTGGCCATGAGAAAAATGAAAGTTGAGGCAGGTTGCGGGAAAACAAAAAAGATTGAGACATGTCATACATGCTATCTTATTTGCCTTACAAAATGTCCTAATAATGTCACATTTTGACAGCTGTTTTGCAGTTTCGGATTTACTGGCAAAAAACAAAATTCGACATTTTCGGTTTTTGGCCGATACTTCCAAAACCAATGATCGATCGTAAATCTGAAGCCGGCTATCGAATGCACTAGGTCTCCTATAAAATATAACAGATTTAACCTTTGCTGTAGGTATAACGGGAGCCCTGAATAGAGAAGCGAATCTAGGACACACTGTATAACACATGCAGTTTTTAATGTCAAACTTAACTAACCCCCGTATAGTTTCAAAGTAATTTCGAATTGAGTAATTTGTATGGATTATACCTCAAACATTCAAACGAATTTTACTGCAAAAGTTATGGTCTCGACAAAAAAATTTCAAAAGTGACGATTCGTGTAAATTTAAATGAATTGATGATCCCAGAATTCATGTTCAGTAATATTTCCGGGGGATGAAACAAAATGACGGGTTTTCATGAATAAGTTCATCCTTGAGAGCATAACTATAGCGCCACCCAAAACTTTCGGGTTTCTTTCTTTCGGTCCAATTGTTACTTAATACAATAAACAAAAATATCAACTATGGAGCTTATTCTAACTGATTTAACAATAAATTCATCGCTGTAAATTATAATATTAGATTCAAAGCAACTCTAGAAAGAACGAATATTGTTGGTGGGGTTATAGTTATGCTCTTCGGTATATTAATCATCATTTGCTTTAAAAAAAACAATGTTCATCCTTACATACCGATCGATTTAGTACGCCCACTGTGCTCTTCACTCCCGGCGAATACATTGCGATTCAATTAAACAAGTAGCTATTCTGCATCCTCCCTTAATCTGTGTCACAGTCTCTTTGATAGGCTTGATAAACAATTTTGGCAGAAAATGAGAAAATGTAAATAATGAGTTCCATTTACAATATCTGACAGGAAATGATGTCCAATCAACAGCCAATTTCCTTTCTTGTAATTTCAGGATATACTGCTTGGGGGAGAGCAAATTCCTTTCAAAACGAATCACATCATATAATTTATATGTCTTGCTAAATGATTCGCCAGGACAACTGTAATAAGAAGCTTCAACGTAATTGAAAGTGACAGAGGAACAATTCTAAATGAATGGTGTTCATAAACTTTCCAATGAATGTTGTTAGGGTTAGTGTTTTCATAACAAGTGTGACAGAATAAGTTGAACTGCTGTCCTGGCCAGTTTGATCCCCTGATTCAACTGCGAAAGGTTTATGACGTTCTACGTCAGCAGTTATTTTGCTCCATCCTCTACTAATAAAGGCAAACTTTGCAGCAAAAGTGCCTAAGGAAAATCGCTGAAAATTATTTTCAGCTTCCTAAGATTGCTACTAGGGTAACTTTAAGATCAAAACTAAGTGCCATTATTCAACAAATACTCGTGATCTATATTTAAAGTAACTCTTTAGGTTACCCGTCAGATCTGCCAAGCATCTTAACTAATTTTCATATATGGAATGGTGTCGGAAGGATTGTATGTCGGTTCAGAAAAAAAAGGCGTGAAGTAGAAGTATAGGTACTTTCCACGTCTTCGAATCCACTTCCAGTACAAATTTTCATGTACTGCAAGGACATCTAAAAAACTTAAGTTTTGTCAGAACCAACAATGCACTTTTCATGTTAAAGAAATCCCCCAGATTGCAATGAGCGTGTCCATGCACGGTAGCCTCAATTATTTGAAGCTCTTGTGTGGGACTGCTTGTCAACAATGTTTGATAACTAATTATGATAGCTCTTGATACATGCTTATATACTATATAACATTACGTCACGAAATCAGATAACTACATTGAATTTGGCGTTCATACTTATATGCTGCTAAAGAAAGATTTGCTGAAAATATTTTAGGATGTGAAATAGGTCCAACAGTACTAACATAAAAAATTGAGATATACCCCTAATTTGTTTTTTAATTATCAGGATCTCCTGAAACGTCGAAAACGACGTTTAAGTGATTTCTATTTTTCTCGCTTTTGGCCTTTTTTTTTGCGGCTACCGGACCGCCACGATAGTATGGCAGCCACAGCCGACTCCAAAGCACATACACCCATCAGCCATACCACAACGTATGTATGTCCAGAGGAGTATCTGTTGAAAATAGTCTAAAATACAGGGAAATGTGTAAAATATGTCTAACATGTATGTAGAATTACAGGGGTTAGAATTGTAAAAGCATACTAACGTCAAGAAAATTGAAATGTATCCTCCACCCCCCAACTACCTATTTTTTGACACCTTCAAACTATCTTCTGACAATGATCTGAATTTTGGGCACGTTTTATATTTTCGTTTTTGCCCCTTGGCATAGAAGCTACCTTGTGTGAAAATTAGATTGAAACCCGAGCGGTATTTTCGAAGTTGCAGATAGCTCAAGGATCAGCGGACAGATGGACAGACCGACAGAAAGACTGAGCGACGGAAATGAGTGGTATGGTTTATCGTGAAGCACATTACATATGTACACTGCTTTTACTTTGTGTCACAAATGCGTTCAAAAAATAATAATTATAATAATAATGTTTATTGAGGAAAAAATACAATTTAGGACCAAAGGAAAAAAGAGGCATAACCCGCAATAAACATACACAACACCACAAGAAGCAAATGCTTGTGCGTGGGGGGAATATATTCATTGAGGTCGTACACTTTCAACTTATCATTGCCCTGCTAGCACATTTTTTGCTACATGATGTTGAATATTTACAAAATATAATAATAAAGGCTACTAGAATATACATTTTTTAAAATTTTAAAAACCCTACATTTAAAAAACAGAGACATAAAAGTATTACCTAACCAACGGTTTACCAATTTGTTAAAACATCTATAATTTTTTTTAAAAGATACAAAAGACAAAGAAATAGTAATGAACTTTATCAATTAAAAAAACAATAGATAAGTCGTGAACAAGTCGTGACAACGTTCTTCATTCTTATATAGCTTGTTGCCCCAAGCTTTTCAATTTATCTATGGGTTGATGTGACACATTTTGTCACTTTATGTACTAGTAAAAAATCGATTTCGTTTTTATCTCGTAATGGTGCGACCTTTCGATCCATCTCAGCCGAATCTCATGCTTGCCTTTTACCGTGCGAATAGATTAATGACTCCCGATACACTAAACAGGCTATCGATTGTACTTTAGAGCTTGATGAAAAAAGCTCGGCTGAGAAAAGAGAGGTGAAACCCTGGCCTGATTGCACCGAAGAGTTTGAATTAACCCACTAATGGAAGAAGAAGGAAGTAAGATTATATTGTTGTTTAACATCGACGAAATAATCGGCTTCACATTACAAACAGATACACACAGTAAAAACACTAGCATTAAAATTTGGGAAGGCTCTTAACGATGTAAAACTATGTCATTCAAAACCACATGTTCCAAAGGCTCTCGAGTTTTTATTCATAGCCTGTAGGTATACGATCATATATAGATTGATCATCCGGGATGTTGACATAAATGTTTCAGTGCTAAAGTAGCTCGGAAGGTGATACTGCTTTCGGATATTTTTTTTAGTAAACCATTTACCTACTTTCATTCGTTACAGGGATGTAGGCGGACCAAGGTGGCAAACACCCTTTGACTATTATGAGTGAATTGCAGTCAACTATAGAATTCTCTGTGGAATTATTCAAATTTTATAATGTGGACTTATTCCAAAGAGGGTGAGTATACAAAGGATATTTCGATCGTGCAGTATCCGTAATATTACTTATGTATTCTCAAGGTTTTCTCCATTTTTGACACGTTCTTTCCAAATATAGGTATTTATATTTAGAACTAAATTGATACTTTGGATATTATTTATAGCATTAGAAATTCAAAGATGTTAGTTTCATTATTACTTATTTAATGACATTACTCCATAAATAGCAATTAGTTTTCATCTCCACAAAAATGAAAGCTTCGGGCATAATTACACAGGGTGATCCGAAGCACCCGGTAGGGGCATGGTAAAAGCTAGCTTGTTTCAGGGTACATCAAAAATGTCTGCACATCTTCCACACTTGCCTTCATTTCGCGATAAAGAAATAACTGATGATGAATTCCTCGAGTACTAGGAATTCCGGTCGCAAGCTAACTCCACTCTCGGAATATCCGGGTGGAGGGTAGACTCGAGGGGAGAACATCGATGATAAAATCTTGACTATCTGCAGTCAAATCGCCATGTTTTTCTTCGTGGAGACCAAAATCTCCGAGTCTGCCACTTCTAACCATCTTAGCTTCCCGAAGTACGAGGTGCACTCCAATTTGAGAAAGAACGCGGGACCTTCAGGCATAAGACCGTATGACGGGTGGTCTTATCCCACGACATCAACAAAGCTTCTGGTCCGAACTTGATTCTTGCTGTTGTACTGATAATATTTGCAGCGTCTCTCCCAGAAAACTGGAAATTTCCAGTATATCTCCACATAATGATCTAAGACCCACCCTTACAACTACAGACCTATAGCTCTGCTTTCTGTCATAAGTCAGGTCATGCAGATGTTCATAAATCGGAAGTTCTTGGAGTATCTTGAGCGTCACGGCTTGATTAGCGACAGTCAGTATGGTTTTCGGCACGAGCGATCTACGGGGGACCCCCAAGCGTACGTCACAAAACTGTGGAGTAAACTCTTATAGTCTTATACTCGTAGTGAGGCTCATGTCGTTGCTTTTGATATCACGAAAGAATTCGATCATGCTACCCTCTTACGCAAACTACCATCCTACGGTCTCCCAGAGAAGCTTTGTGGATAGATGGCTAACTTCTTCTCTCGCCGCAAGATATCCGTCTTATCTTACGGGTTCTACCAGAACTTTGAATAATTACATCGAAACAACCCTCCATTGTCATAGGCAGACAATGTTAAGCGACACCTGTTTGTTGAAGCGCGAAGGATTTAATATCTTCGGGATCGCGATGAAAATCTGGGGCACTTGTATGGCTGTTAGCGTGTGCTTGTAACCAGAACAGAAGCAGCAAATAACCCCTCGCCACGGTGAAGTACGTGTCTTTTTTCCTACGTGAAAGGTTACACTGCCAAACAGAAAAAACTCTTTAGTATCAAGTTAATGGTTATTATACGTCATTCCAAATTTTTAGTTGTAAAATTGTGGGCTGGTTGAATGTAGGGGCCGTGGGAGAGGGTTATATCAATTTTTTTAAGTTATGTTTATACGATCCCAACTTTCATAGTTCTACGCACCTATTAGACATATTTCAGACATCATAGATTTGCCCGTACATTTTCCCTTAACACTGATTCTGCACCGGCCTAAGTGTTCTGGCATTACTGCCGTGCTGCCGCGTCTAACGAGTTGTGCTGTCAGGTATCGGAGAAGGGAGACGTTGACAGATAAACTACTGGTAGGGCAGGGAAAGAATGTCTATGGATTAGTTGTGTGGGCCTATTTGATTAACTTGATCCCTTCAATTTCTCTGTTATACATGTTCGGAAGTAACTTTCTTATGAGAGGGTCTAACTTTTGCTAAGCACAATCTTTTATAAACTGATGACGGCGCTGCATGGGAAGTGCAGAGTCAACCTACTTGACGCCATTTATCCGTTATTCCTCGTGCATCTTGTTTCTCTAGCCTAACAGCGGTGCTGGCCGGAAAAATTTACACACAGCACTGCACCCCCTGATTACAACAACAACGAGAGTCACGAAAAGAGAACATCTGAATAGAAACTTCAGTGTACATAGGTGATGTGACACCGCTCGCCGTTATTTTTGATGTGCGAGATAATGCGTTGTCATAAAGAAAAATAACCAAAGGGAGGCGAGCATATGTGCTCTAATTGTTTACGTACACATGTACGAAGGTATATAATGCGTCCTACTTACGAAGGCATGGCAGAGTAGGTAGTGGTTACGAGAAAGAACAGTATTTAAATTTAGCTAATTATTGAAGGACAACTACTCCGGATGCTTTAAAAGAAGAAATACTGAGTTGGTTTAAAGAGGGCAAACATACACATTTAGGTAACTAAGAAAATGTTACTTAAACTTCGGGAGATCAAGGGAAAAAACGAATTTGCCCAAAAATGCTTTTATTTTTGCCTCCAGTTTGAAGTGAGATTTCAAGATGCTCTAGAATGCATTTTGATTTTGAAACGTAAGTTTTGTGGATCAAAACCAACTTATTATTTTTTATACGATCAACACTCTGAATTCATACAGCACTATCAGATTCTCTAAGGTCGCTAATAAATTTCAATACCATAGTCATAGTGGGCCAGTGCGTCTTGACTGGTTTTTGGGTAACTGCTGCTCATTAATCAATAAAGAAACCAGAACAGAGTGAAGAATATATGTACCAATATTTACGTAAGCATGAGTGGGGAGCTAAGAGGCTTGCTTACTTTTTCTGACGAGGGGCAAGCGGGGTTAATAATTGCAAAATATCTGCTTACGCAATACTTGAACCCATTGGCATAATCTCGCAAACGAAAGTAGATATGAAAATATCGTACAGGCAACTTTTGTAACTTATCCATCAAGCTACAAAATTGTCTGAACAACTGTTTTCTATATATCATATTTACAGGACCATAACAACAAAATCAAATATTTTTTTAACGTTTTTAACTTCATGTCTACGGTAGGATCTGGCCCTTTTCGTTATACTAAGCAACACTATTTCGGTGGCCTAAATCCAAATTTTCATCCATTATAGAATTTTTGTGAAATATTGGAAAAAACTGTGTGTTCCCTTACCGTGCTATTATACAAATCGGTGCCTCAGCAATCGTTAAAATTACGTGATTAGGAAGGGAGATCAAGTAGCAACACGGACAGAAATGATACATGATGATTCTTGTGATGTAGACTTCATAGGTAGACCATTAAGAAACGATTTTTCTCTGATGCAGGAAAATTGTGGAACATAGACACGTTAGCTTTAGTCTAGTCTGGTTCTCGCTAAGACATTGTAATGAAAATACCGTTAATTATTCGTCTGATTTATCATTTCTACACTCATTTATAACAACACTTGCAAAAAATTTATGACAAATGTATGACCATGTTGACTGGACTATCGCGTTCTGGGCTTTTGCTGACTCATCGCCCGCTGTCGACTGTCTCGGTCCCCCGTCGGCGCAGCATATTAAAGTTCAAACTGACCAATAAAGAAACTTCCAGCGCTTCCTCGTTGCTTCTCGATGTGGGCCGAACACCCTAGAACGTTTTTGATGTCGCCGCGAACCTTCCCAATGAGTGCACTACAATATGAATTAACAGGATAATTCATTAGTAATGTAACTTTAGTTCGACGACAGACGGTCAACTATAGACAGCTGTTTTGTGCTATTTGGTAGCTCGTCAGCATGGTCTAGGCTTGGTCTCAGACAGGACAACGAACGTGATCTACATTACTAATTTGTTCAATGGTGAGTAGACCGTATCTACTATACCGCCCGAATCCGCTGCATCTAGCAGCCACAGTGGTGGCTCGGTCAAACTCGGACTGAGATATAGTTCCAACAGACAGCTTGCTGTTTTCACTCTCGCAGTGGTCGATTCTGGTGACAGATGGATATTTGTGCTCAATAATTAAGATAATAATTTATGTTGTAATGTTGTAAATCATTTATAATAAGTGATTCAGATTCAGAATTCGAAGTAGACTGACACATATTTTTCACAGTATGTACCAAGTGCGCTGCGCCTTACGTGTTACTTCAAAGCTGAGCGTTGAAGTAGAAGTAACCACACCAGAAGTTACCACTGGATTAGGCACTGCCATCGTCCTGGGCAGTTATGGCGCCTGTAGGCCTTTCCAGATTCTCTACAGGAACGAGGAGGTTACTTTAAAGGACGTTGTTCTATTTAGGTAAGTAAAACATTGACTTCAGTTCATCACTAATATCATAAAGCCGGGAACTAATAAAGTAGCCCTGCCAGGGGCCGTGGCGAAGGGAGAGATAAGGATGTAAAAATTTTGTAGGTTGCTAATCCGCCATCCTTAACCCGACCAATAAACTTTTGCCTAAAATACGTAGAGGCAACATGTACAATATATTTGAAAATAGAAAACCTACATTGACCACAACACTTTTTACGATTTTTTGACTTAGAGGTACGTGATCTCTCTCGTTTGTCAAATGAGAGATCAGAGAGGCAGGGACATGTAGGCAGAGAAATGATTATGATGACACCCACAAATGCTATGTATTCTCTATTCTTCTTTTTACGTAGGATTCATGGATTTCATGGATAAATAGACTTGTAGCTTGATTTTGTCTGGCAATTAGATACATCCCCATCTTACAAAAATTTTATGATGTTTCTGTAGTTCAAGATATATTTTACAAGAAATGGACTTTATTCATTAGGTTCATCAATTCAAAACGCCTTCTGATTGGTCAAACTCGATCAGTTGGCACAAGTGTTGATTCCGCGGGTCAATAGTAAAATCGGGCCTTAGAGAAATACTTATGACAGCAATCTCATACGTTGGCGTCTAACAAAAAATGAAGTATTGCACTTGGCTTAGAAATCGTGAATCGTCTCGAAAAATAAAAATTATATATTAAAAAGCTTGGCAACTCCATAATTACGCACAAGTAAAGTTGACATTTTCCATGGACTAAACAAAATTGAAATCACACTCATTGCTCTGCATCCTCAATACAAATATGGGTATGCCAGTTGATTCAGAGATGAATATCGGAATAGTTATACCTTATCGTCAACCCTCCTTCTCATTTCAGGTGCCATATGTTGGTCGATGCTACTAATCTTCGAGATTCCTTGGATAAGGCAGAGTTCTCCCTGATCCTAGAGCTATGGTTCAGCGATTCCTCACCTGCTTCCATGACCTTAGTTTCCAACAGGACGCTGCAACTCAACATGTCTCCTATAGAAGGTCTACATTACCATCTACCGGTGCTTTTCGATTATTTTCATCTTTCAGCTATTTCTGTCACCATACACGCTGCACTTACTGCCTTACATCAACCTTCTATGAAGTAAGTCATCGACAGCGTTAGTGTTCACCTGATGTTAGTTATTAAAACCACTCACTATTTTCACTTACAAATTGTTAGGTACTAAATTTTGAATAGTATGTATTCTGCTAACATTTTTTAATAACAATACATTTTGTTTTGATTGTCTGATAAGAAGCATGGCATAGAAAAACTATGATATTATATATATTACTAACAGCCATGTTTAAATTTAGTTCTTAACATAAACATAAATATAAAAATCTAGCTTAAGAGAAGTTATGAGTACAGGTCTGACATCGCGTACCACTGACGTACCGTTGCCGTAGTACTAATTTGATTCATGATATTGTCGTTAAACTGTGACAAATCGGCTGGCTCCTACCATGTTTCTACGCATGCTTCTCGCTCTTTTGACATTGCCAGGAAAGTAAGGCCTGCTAACACTTCTTGTTGTCTGTTAGGCAGAATGATCTGCAGACAAGCTTGGTCTAAAAATATATTAAAAATAATGAGATATCAGGTTAGCAATTGACTTTAACTACCGGTGACAGTGTCACGCTAACATAAAACATATCCAGATAGAGGCCGTATGTCGAGCATTGTTGATTGAGACTATCTATGCTCGTCGTGTGCATAAATGGGCACTTACATTAATTTTTTATCGACACATATTTGTGTTTAATATTAGCTATTCAACTCTTGAGCCTTTTTCTGCTATAGAAGTCTCATCGTATCAGAATGATCCAGGTTGTATTCAATAAAAATTATAACCTGCGAATAAATGACGCTTGAAGGATATGGAATAACAGCTACAGCATTGAACTTTTTGTTTAATATGATCGACTAACTACGAGGGACACTAGGAAAGTCATATACATAGACATGAAAACAAAAATTAAACGATAGTCTAATCATATTAGCAAATTTCCCCGAAATAATTGTAAAGTCTGGTTTTATTGGTGCAAGTTGTTCAAAGTTGTATTTAAAACATGGACGCATAAAATGTTCAATAAAATAGAAGTGATGGCCGGAAAGCAGGTGTTTTGGGATAAACAATTAGAAATTCTCAAAAAACTACTTGACCAATCTATTCCAATTTTGTTGTGGTTATTTAGAAGTACGAATCCTACGAATTTGGAGAATTTCAAATATCTGCGAGAAACCATCGTCGGATTACCAACAAGTGCCAGAACCTACAGTTTGCCTCGGTTTTCGGCCATAACTTTTTTGCTATGAGTCGGATCTTTTTACGTGTGGTCTCATTCTGTAGGTCTCATAAATGCCTAAAAAGAGAGAGTTTTTTCGTTCCTGACAACACTTTCGATTGAATCCCAAAAACACATTTTTTCGTTCTTTGTTGTCGAATAAGAACATTTCCTACAAAAATTTGTTCACCCATTTTATGCGTCCATGTTTTGAATACCCCCTTGAACAACCAGACTTTACAATTATTTCGCTAACCAGGGGTATTTTCGTCTAATATGATTAGACTACGAAGATGTTAAATTGTGGCAATAGTTGACTTAATTTTGATTGGTCTCCAATTTATAATTTATAAAGTGAATTATGAGGAAAAATGAGCTATCTAAAATTAGAGTATCTAAGTATCTAGAGAACACTTGAGAGAATGGTCGTTGTCTTGGGGTCGATGCACTACCATATAACACAATAAAATTTTTGTCGAAACAGTTTAGGTGGGGGCGTGAATCCACAAAAGACAATCCCAGAAGTGGAAGGCCCAACAGCAACAAATGATGGAATGACTCAAAAAGTTGAAACCATGATTCTCAAGAATCGTCCTGAGAAGGTTTCTACCACTAGTATAGCATTGAATATATCGGAATCCAGGATAATACCTATTTGTATCTTGCTCAACAATTTGAAGATGAGTAAGGTATCAGCCAGGTAAATGCCACGACTGTTGACACCTGAACAAAAATTGCGCAGGTTGGAAATTTCAGTCAAGTCTTTGAGTAACTCTGACTTTTTTGAACAACTTTTGATGGGAGACGATACTTGGGTGCATCATTGCGATCCTAAGACAACAACAGAGTCCAAGCAGTGGGTTCATAAAGGGTCTCCCTCAAAAAGTCATGGACGCAATCCCCTACTGGAAAATTGATGGGAACAGTTTTTTGGGACATCAGGGACATCCTTCGTATTGAATATAAGCTAAAAGGTGTTGCAAAAAGTATGAACATCTATGCGAACACGTTGAAAAAATTACCGTAAAGCAGTCAACCAGAAAAGATTCGATGTTTTTTTTCAGTAGTCAAGTGTTTCTGCTGCATGACAATGCGACCGAGCGCATTAGGCTGCCAAAATAAGACCAATTGTGGTCATGACTTGGCTCCGTGTCACTTTGGATTACTAAAGAAAAATTTTCAATGAAGCCATTTTGACTCAGCTGATGGCCTAGAAGCAGTCGTCGACGACATTTTTGAAATTCAAGAGGAAACGTTTTTTTATAAGGGTAAAAGTTCATTGGAGAAGAAATGGCGCAAGTGCGTTGATGTTCGGGGACTGTATTGAAAATTACAACTTTCAAAAAAATTGTACTTATCTCGTTTCATGCCTAGGTAGTTTTCTTTTCCAGTACCCCACGTAAATCCCAGCTTGAGAAAAATATTGCAGTATGTCGGTTTTTATTTTACAAATTGTGCTAATTATTATTTGTTATTGAGTTTGTTATTATCATTATCGATGAGGTAGCTAATAAAAACTTATTTCTGTGCCAACAGGAAGGGGATACTGCGATATATGCAAAGCTGGTAAGTATATTACTGTGCTTTAATCAATACGTACGTAATCTTTATCTTTTTGCAAATGTCTATTGAATAATTTGTACTGGGTGACTGACAGTGTCGTTTTGTTCAATGTTATAATATGATTTTCTATGCACGGTTGACCTCGAGATAAGTAAAAATATGCCAAAATGAGTGTTTTAAAACTTATTTAATTTAGCCCCCTAGCACTAGCGTAAATACAATAGATTCATTTACAGAAAATGTCTGTAAGTGAGGTGAATGTATATGTATTTATGCAAATATTTTATTAAGAGGAATTGTTAATTGCGGACCAATGATTTGGAGAGCATGAAGAGCCTATTAAATGCTAATTGTTTATCGCCGATCACCAACTTTGGACCTACTTCATACCGTCTCCAGATTATACGTCTCCTAGGCCCCGAAGAGACCGACTGGGTTGACGGAGAGAACGGCTGAACAGGGACCTCCTATGGAATATTATTGTCTTTAGTGACATTTTTTCAACGACTGGATTTTCTTGAAATTTTAATCAATTGCTAACTTAACCCTACGAGACATATATAAAAATTTGTTGCAATAAATTCATTATTACTGGGTGTTCTTACAGGTTAAATGACTTGACGGATTTCGAGACTTGTCTTGACACCACCGAACGCATTCTTTTCGGCTACCGCCTTCAAAATTTTTGTTTTTAAAAAATGTACCTAACCGAACTGATCTATTGCTAAACTATTTTCAGTGCCCCAAAGAGCTCTAAGAGCTGGAGCAAGATGAAGTCATCCCATCAACAGTGCAGCTCTTCAACGGATCCCGTCCTTTCAATGAATAGTAATAAGATATATAGCCGTATTAACGGATCATCGCAAGTACAACTAGAAGCCTATAATGTTTTATTGGATTCCAGTTCGTGTCTCAAGCAGACCATCAAAAAGTATAAAGCGTTACTCCTGCAGAGGGAAGAAGTTGTCTCGGAGAATTATGATACTTTGATTGTTAGGCACAATGATTATGATAGCACAAAGGTAAGCTTTTGTCAATGACTTTGTATATTTCTCGCCTCCCTGAACAAAAGTTCTTGTGGGACCAAAGCAATCCTAGTTTCTGAGCAATAGGCGGATACATTTTGTCGATTTACAAAAATGGTGAATGTACACATAAAATCGATTATCAAATTTCTCGAGAAAACCATTTATACAGCATGTACTGAATCTAGGAAATCTTTATAAAATATCTGCTGCTCTTAGATGCCATGCCCAATTATTATTTATGGGAGGTGCTAATGCTGCATTAGCGCTTCAGCTGTTAGTAACAGTGCAACAGTTAAACGTTGATCTGGCGTTAGATAGAAGTAGGACAATTTTAATATGTGTGACTGAGTTATGTAAATCTGGCGCCCGACCCCTACGCACACGTGGTTTCTCTGATACGCTCTACACGAAAAAGTTGACCCAAGCCGTTCGATATGCCGGAAGCCGACCAAAACAAAAAACAAATTAATAGTCAATAAAGTACAATACCTTAAAGCAAGGGTCGGTAATTTTTGAGAGCCAAGGGTCACAAGATGGCAACATACAGAAAGGAGGGCCATCAATGAGGAACTAGTACAGTGAAGGGAACACTAGTCGACGAATGAAAACTGGACTGATAAGGTTTGATTAGGACGGAATTATTTTATTATTAAATGGCAAATCATACCTATGTTTTTTTATTTTTGAAAAGGTTTTTTACTTAAACGTTGATTGATTTTGGAAGAAATTTGAAAATTTGAAAACTATCAACTACGAGTATAAGTTAAGGCAATTAACTATAAATACTACGAGTATATATATATATATATTTTTTCCTATTTTATATATATATATAAAATAGGAAAATAATGGACAAAATCCGCAAAAAGAAGGAAAGTGGATTCGAGCAGAAAATAGGATAGGTAACCCGAGCGATTATTTTCCTATTTTTTGTTATGTACCTTTCTCCGCATGATCATTTTCTAAACTTCCTTCCTGAAAAATTTCGTGTTCATAGGTTAAATAGTTTTCAAGAGTTCGTAACTAATGGGTGAGAATGTCACATAATTAGATCTCAGCTGAAAAGTTCTGCCCATAAATTCTACCAAATTTCATGTTCATAGGCCAAACAGCGTTCGAGATATATTTCTAAAAACTTGAAAAGTAATAAGGTCCCTCAAAGAAATATTCAACCCCTCCATCGCCATCTTGAGAATATAATTTCTGAAACCCTTTGTTAATAATAATTATCGTAAAGATAAATTGAAGACACAACTTACTCCTATTTTTAGGCTGAATTTATTTGAAATATTCTGAATTTTCTACAAAAACTTGAAATGTGAATTCCCAATTAGGGGTGGAGTTTACCGAAATTCTTTGTAAGTGCCCATTTACTCTGTGTCAAAGAACCGAGCATATGAAACTCATAACTGGCTTTAAAAATAATCGTTTTCCCATAGTAGGTCTTACCTCTTGTTTCAACCCCTTCAAGTCTAATTTTCACAACAAATGTTAGCCTAGCCTAGCCTCCAATGTCTAATCCATGTATTATGCCAAAATTCATCAAAATCGGTTCAGTCGTCTTGGCATGAAAACGGAACCAAATACACAAATATAAGGCTTTCACATTTACAATACTCGAATTAGGAAAGGTATTATCCTGTATATTCTTGTTTTAGCTAATGAAGAAGAGACCAGCTACTCAAAACTCAGGCCTCGCAGAACTGTGCGCGGACAATATTAAGCTGTGGAACTATTTTCTGCTAACCTTCAGCTGCAAGATAGCTATTCAGCAATATTTGAGCAGAAAACACCACAGCTTGAGGGTGAAAAGGTTCGCCGAGTTGTTTTTTTCTGATCTGTAATCCACGAAGATCAGCATTCGGAAGCTACGAAACTAATTATCATAATTATCTGCTTATTGCTGAAGTGGCAAGGAGGTAAGTGCACGAATTATGATAAATACTAAAGAGTAAAAAGCAAATAAAATAAAAAACAAGCTTTTATTTAATCGCAGCTGTTAACACAGTGAAATAAAAGTTTAAACATATTTCTTTCCGATTTAACATATTTAAGTGATATGAAGCTCCTTCATCTCAAGTTTTCAAAGAGAAGCTTATTACGTTTTGACAGCAAGATGGAAAAACAATTGATATGATGTCGACATATATAGCATTTTCTATCTTTGCCGGACACTGTCATGTAGCAGCAGCGTCGCCGTCACTGATCTGTGATCCAAACACTTTGTGCGCTTTATTCGGACAGTGTTGCCGGAGGTCTAGGAAATTATCAGATATGCTACACTTTGAAGTATCATCAAATTAAATGTGTTAATATATCATATCATACATACCAAGAATGCTATTACTGCTCCAGAAAATTATGGCATACTTCACAAAAGTATCTAGTGTATATTACATGTTACTGACACCCCAAAAACAAAACGACCGATATTATTCAGTCTCAATTTACAAAATACTTCTAATAGTCTACTTCGAATATGTTAGTAACCATCAGAATTTTTGTTTCTCTCTTGGAGCTCTGTAGAGTTTTGAGGTAGTTCAATTGAGCAGTTCACCTATTCGGATTATTAGTTAATTCTTATTTTCTAACACAGACATTTTATTTTACAGGGGAAACCAAATTTGTCTGACGGCTTGACTTGAATCTGTATGAGAGAGAGAGAGTCATTGTCAATATGTTACACCAGAAAATGTTCAATAGGTTTGATACAAACATTTGTTTGCATTTTGATCAGAATTATTTATTTCAATTTTGCTTCCAGTTAGAATTATGTTTGATTTTCACCGATGGTGATGAAATCAACACCTGCTGAGCTATTGTTACATTATGCGAAAGCGAGTGGTCAGGAAATGTAACAAATACAATTACAGAATACAAATTTTCACAGCCTGTGTGCTCGCAGTTGAAAACCATTTCGAATCAGGACGACACTCCCCAGCGAGCACTAGATGGGTACTGACCAAAATCACTCATCTATGATCACGGAGGTGGAAACCTTGCCTTGGAATGTAGAATGCGGTGTTGCCAAGGAAATAAATGATTCAATGTTGCAGAATTTGTGGCAATCTTGACCTTTCATTTTGACGTAAACTTATGCGCCATTACGACCAATCCGCAATCGAGTCTAAGCAGATTCGACTCAATTCACAATTCAAAAATATGTACGCTCAAAATAAAACCATTATTTGGGCGTATAGAATAAACTTACGCATCTTAATTCAAGGAACTGGTGTAACATGCTGGCGCAAATTGCGGCGTCAGCGATGCTAGGCAATGCGGTAATGAGCTTTGTTTTCCAGCCGGCTTCTATATGTTTCTGACATATGTGTCTATACACACTCCTCTCTCGTACACATTGAACTCAAGCCGTCAGATAAACTTGGTTTTTAGTGTATATTTGAATCGGTGTTTTCTCTTATTTATGATGATTTTTCCGAACTGTAAATTTTCAGATCAAAGTACATGCAAATGCTGCCTCCTCTTCCTGTACATTGCGTTGCCTTAGATGGAGATAGTTCAACAATGCCAGTGATATTCGAAGATCAGTATCAAGATCCATTTGAAATCAAAACTAGGAATTATGATTCTGGTCTAACATCTAGACAAGGTGAGGAATGCTGGACATTAATTTGTCATGTTGCGGCTACTAATCCTTGTGGTCATGTTATCATATCTCATTGCATTCCTTTTCATTTCTTACTGCACTGGGCGAGGAAGTATTGTAATCGCGAAGAATTTTCAAAATGAGATATTACGTTTTTTGAATACTTTGACACCTGTACACTACGAAAAACCAAATCACTCATTTCCGTCGGTCTGTCTGTATATCCGCTAAGCTTTGACCCCTTTATAACTTGGTCAAACCGGTCAAATTTTGATGAGATTTCGATACTATTATGTCAAGGTCGAAAAATTTTTGTAGTTTTAGAAAATCGGTCCAGCGGCGGAGCGTGGGGAGAAAAAGGAAAAATCGCTCAAACTTCGTTTTTGACGTTTCAGACGCATCTGAGCATAATCGAAAAAAATTATATAGGGATTGAAAATTGGGGGGTTGCAAATTATAAAATTAATTAAACAATAAGCCTGATGTAAAATGAGCTCATAATTTGAAATATCAATCGTTGGCGGTGCGTGCACGGCGCGATGCTGCAACGCTGCATTGTCATGGAGGCAACTGCCGAGTGTGGCAAGCGAAATAGGCGACTAACTCCAACTGATCTACTGCGGTGATGTTGACACGGACACACTCTACATAGGGGGATATTCATATATTTTAGAAATGTGTGGGTATTAGGAGTATGTACTACTTCAGCGTTCTGGCACGCTTTTGTAAATGATGTAAATTGGTTTTATGTCTACAGATGTCTTTTTCTGAATTTTATGATCTTTAAATGTACCCATCCATTTTGCCTAACCTTTGATTTGTGTTGCTAAGTATATGATAGTTCTCTGAATATTTCGGCAAGAATATTGACTCACTACTTATTAAGCAATGATATACAACAGACACGGGCTCACAAACCGACATAAATGGGAAACACCAACTTGTGAGATACAGTTATCTTTAAGCAATAGAAGACTTGTGAACTGAAGGATATTATCCCCAGTTCAATACTTCCATCGTTTAGGTAGTGGCAGATTTTCAAAATTGATTCGTGAACGTTTCACAGATTCCTGCTCATTTTCAGACATTGTTTCGAGGGGTTGAATATTGCAGGTTGCAAACTGTATGCAGTAAATTGTTGTAGATTGTTGCATGTTTGGTGTCACATCTGCCATGGAAATATGATATATTTATTTTATATAGTTTGATATGTAGAGGTCGATTGCGTTTCTTGGAAAACTCCGTCAAAGGCGTCAATCTGCTTGATGCCATTTTTTGAAATTGGAGAAAATGTCACCCTTTCAGTATGTTATATAAGTTTTCTTTCAAAAGGGTCTATTCAGATATGTAATCAAAACTAGGGCATTCCGCAAGTGTGCCTTGAGGTTCCATATACCATAACCCATTAATAGTTGTCTTTGAAAAGTTTTTGCTCAGAAGCAATATCCGGTCTTGACATGGAATGGACTATCCTGTATATATTAAAAATGTGATCCATATTTATGTGATGTAGGGGTAAATGATCCATGGATTCTAAAGCCATCAACAACGTTCGACTTGGATGACACTAGTTGTTCATGTGGTATCGGTAAGCTGTGGGAGAACAGAAAAAGTTCTGAAAAGTTATTAGAGAACACCGACATTTACATAAATCTGGAAGAGCCTAGTACGTTTACAATACCAGCCAGGCACAGCAAGTCTTTGGACCAACTACAACTGTGTTCTAGAAACAATTTCTACTATTCTCTAAGGTAAGCACATAACCTCCTTTTTTAAAATGCGCGTCATTCAGTGGGTTTATGTCGAAGCGGAGCGCCTAGTGATCTGGTTCGAGAGGCGGAAGTATAAAGTTTTGTCCGGACACAGTCAGGACCATGCTTTTGCCGTTTAGGCCTAATTTTCGAACGGATGTTCTGTGATCCAACGCAGCGCACTTTCGGAACCGCTCTAATTTACCCCCTTTGGCCCCTGTGCCGGATTAGAAATCAATTGTTTTGTGGGTCACTACGTTCAAATAAACTGCAAATGCGACAGGAGGAAGAACTGAAGTCCCTCGGCCCATTAGATCACCTGAAAGCATTGAGGCAGTTGCGCGTAAACATGCGCCTGGCCTTGAACTTTACCATCGTTTTGTGAGGAGAATTCTTCATGACGATCTTCATTTCCATCCATACAAGATGGCAATTGTGCAGGAACCTTCTGAACGTGTCTTCAATTCTCGGACGACCGCGTGTAAGCATCTTCTCGAAGTCGTTCCTGAGGACGCTATTGTTTTCTTCAGTGATTATGCTGATTTTTATTTGTGCGGATCTGTCAGCAAACAAAACATGCACTACTGGGCTGCAGTCAATCCTCGAGGAACTACATCAAAGGCGGTTCCATTCACCTAAAGTCACAGTGTGGTATGCGATTTCCTCAGCTGGAATTGTTGGTCCCTGGTTCTTTGAGGAAAATGAGGTCGCAGTGACAGGAAACACGGACCGGTGTGTGAAAACCGTACAAGAAAACCTTTTTCAACTGTTAGATGAGTTTGACTTAGAAGATATTTTGTTCCATCCAGACAATTCAACGGCATACTCTTCAAGAGCATCGATGGCCTCATCTCAATTAGAAGAGATTTAATATGACCGACCCGTTCTCCGAACTTAACGCCTTGTGATTTTTTCTATGGGTTTTTTTAAATATCGCGCTTATGTGAACCGTCCAAGAACCATCTAAGTTTTGAAGAAATTGCGGACATAGCGCCTGCTATGCTGGCAAGAGTTATAACAAGCGTCAGAAATCAGTTTATTCAGTGCATGAGAATCTGATTTGATCTCCAAAAATGTGAAACAAAGCTTTAGCGATGCGCCTACAATAGAAAAAACAAAAATTACCTAATTCATACAATACGTTTAATTGAGTTTTCAGAAAAGGAAGTTATACTGCCGCACGTTGCATATAGTTTCTTCTGAAAAGATTCAAGATGTTGAATGGTCTCTTATACCCCAATACATTCCTTAGACGAGGTCATTCAGAAAGTAAAGCAAAATTTCGAGGGCAGAACATGCGTTCAAAAATAATATAAATAATAGACATGAGTGTAAATTGCTTCCCTAACTAGGTGCAGATAGATAAGGCTATACAGGATCTTTCAAATTCGACCCTCACTATTGAGATTTCAGAAACTGTAAGAGATACGAAATTGCTCAAGTGGAAGCAAAGTTGCGTATTTAGGTAATCAACAAAATGCCGCTCTAAAGTTTGTAAATTCTAAGTGCATCCCGAGAGAGACGGAAAAAAATCGGTTTTTAATAATAATAATAATAATAATAATAATAATAATAATAACATTAATTCTGCTCAGTACAATTAACTGGTCTGGCAAACAAAGAATAAATGTATAATAAACGTAAGACAGAAAAACATAATACGTGACTTTGACAGAATCAATTTTGTTTTTTAGATAAACATGCTTAATAAGCCAAAACATTTTTGAAATACCATGTAAAGCCCGTTGAATCCAAAATGGTTGGTTGCGCACGTGCAGGTTTTTTTTATTATTTTGTTACTAGGCTTTGCTAAGAGAAAGATGTTAGCACATACAAATTTTAACTTGCATATTAGAAGTTTGGAGGTAAGCAGGAGTATCATTAGCATGGTACGATTATTAGTAAGCAATTTCTACTAGCTTTCTTGTCTCTTGTCTACCAATTAATAAAATATATTTTTCAAATAAAGTTTTTACCAAAGACGATGAACTTATGTTATCAACATACATACGGTACATGTATGGCAAACAAATTTAAATTTTACATGATATGTAGGTGTGGCTTCGTGAGTTTACATTTCTTTGAAAAGTTGTACTTTTAAGTTTTCATTTTCATTATGTCTAGTACTATAAGCGTAACTTTATTGAAGTTGATTTTGAGTTTAAACATGTATTGAATTAGTTGATGCAGAAACAGTTGCCTTAAGTCAAACAGCCCACTCTCTGAAAATAAAAATTTTTTTTTGTCACATTTTCCCCAAATCGCTTTATTTTATTTGTAGTGGGATTTTAAAATAAATTGAACATTAACATTGCCACTTTTTCTCCCTACAAGAAGGCATAATTAGAATTTCAATATGACGTTTCGTCTGTTGTCCTCCAGGATCAACTTTATTTTGTCTTATAGACGCCATATTAGATTTTTTGACTTGTATTCGAAAAATTTTTGATTTTCTTGGAACCCCATTTTGCAGCGAACTGAGTTTTCAAGAAAAACAAATATTTTGTGAAGAGAGAAGCGATAAGAAAAAAGTAATTACCTGCGCAATTCCTCCATTAAAGTGGAACAATTTTAGAGCTGTAAGTTTGAAAAAAATGCATAGAAAATGCAAAACATATTTTTTGACAAAAAAGATACTGATAACATTTTTCTGACGTCTCTATACACACCATGGAACAATCGACGAAAAGTATTAAGAGTACTCCTCCAGACAGGCTGTTGAAACAAAGAGACATGAGACGTTAAGCCTGATCGATTTGTAGTATGAACTTCATCGTGACCACGGACTATCAGATTTTACAAACAAGAACTTCTTCTACTTAGTCTTCTCCTTCTACTAGTCTGAATTCGTTGTTGGTACTACATGTACAAAATAAGTCATTGTGTTCATCAACTCAAGGAATATAGCTTCTTCTCGGTTTCGAAATTTCAACTACAGTACCCTGTATCTCGGTTAGCGGGCATTTTTGCACCTAGTAAAGTAAAGGAGTATCACCACTGTTTTGACCACCCTGTGCAGTAACCATTTATTTTTTGTTTCAGTAACATGCGAGCTCAAAAAACCATTTGCGACGCTAAATCCTGTTACAACACAAGCAAAAATCAATGTACTACGAAGTTGAAAAACGTGGCTAGTGAACAGAACATGCGAAATCAAAAGTACCTAGTACAAAACGAATTTAGTAGAACTAATAGAGATATATGTGATTGTTCATTGAATTATTATACCTTAAGCTTACGAAAACCGAAAAGAAATACTGAATATGATTTAAAAAATGTTGAGATGAGTTTAGATTTTACTAATGGCGTTATAGAAAAAAGGTATAAGCAGTTCAATATCAAGAGTTTATCTAATGTTAAGTACGAAACTATAGCGAAGATATCATGTAATGACGAAAAAAGTATTCCACGAGCTAGATCTGTACAAATGTTCTCCGATCAGACAAAAAACCATGAAAGACCAAAGAAAAGCAACACGTTGGGTACAACTAAAAACAATGAACACATGCAGGTAAGGCTAAACTTTCTTAACCTTGCTTTTTTCCGTCTAATGAAATACTTACGGCAAAGATTATGAACTTTACATAAGTTAAAAATGTATCAAAATCACTTCAAAATCGTAGTTTCTATAATACTATGGATACTAGAAAATAAATCTACCTAGCCAGGAAACAAAAGGCTTCTTAAGAGACCTTAATTTTTAATGCACTTGGCCCATTTCTCCTCTAGTGAACTTATAAAAAATGTTTCCTCTTGACAAAAAAGTCGTCGTCTGAGTCAAAACGGCGTCCTCGAAGATTTTTCTTTAGTAATCGAAAGAGATTAAAAAGTCAAACGAAGCCAAGTCCGGACTATATTGAAGATGGTCTATCCTGCATGATTGGTCTAACTTTGGTAGGTCGCCGGAACACTTCTCGATTAAAAAAATTCACTTTATAAATTGTAAATTGATTATCAAAATTAACTGAAATTTTGCAACTAAGTTTAGAAACACACGCCACCATTTGACATATTTACTTGTGCATTTCAGTTATTTTTTCATGGCTAGGTAAACTTCTCTTCTAAAGTCCCAAATACTTCACAACCAATTCACACAAGTCAAACATCATAGAGAGTATGAATAGTAACACTGGCTAGATATTGCCTACCTAGAGGCGAGACTAAGCACCGAATCTTTGGAAGAGATCACCTCTACACAGTTACTTACAATCAAAAGTAGAATATAATTGTTATAAATGATGTTCCAAAATAGAAGGGCTCTAGTTTTCATAATCAGCGGGACCAAATCACTATCACTAGGGTTTACGTGAAGACAGAAAAAATGGAAGCGATGACGGTGTAATAGGTATATAAACAATCGTGGGTCCACCACATAATATGTACCAATTACTAGTTCTTCAAAATATTGAACCTAGTAACAGACAAGTATTAAAGATTCTCAACTCTAAACAGGCTACAAAGGTGGATGTGAAGACGAAAGTAGAAAACAAAAATGGTATAAATGAACATCAAATGAAAAAGTCACAAACAAAGCAAAATTTATTAAATGGTAGTAGGAGGTTATTTGAACTAGGATCTAGTAGCTCCACAGAAGGTCTGCCCAATAATATGCTAGAAGCCAAGACAGAGCGAAGCTTGAGAAGGTGAGTTGTTTTGAACACAGCTGAGAAGTTATTCATTCATGGCCGCAAAGGGATTGTTTCCAGAGCCCTGGCTTGATGGATAGCGCTCCTCAATTTTTCAATGGCAGAGTAGGGCACCGGACATTGCTCTGATCTGGGACTACCTAGCGAGCCTTTCATGGCATAAGACGGCCCTAAGTAAGGCGAAGAGAACCGCGGCGACATTTCTCGTTCGCGTCAAATGTTGTTTCTCTTGATTATATATAAAGAAATCCACCGGATGAGGTTCACTTTTCTCCTCTCCACTTCCCTCTCCTTCATAGTGCGTGCATCGTACATGAACCAAATGCACTCATAATCATAATTATCAATTTTGATTGGGATGTTGTTTCTCGGGCTTCCATTGACTATACGTTTGATTCACGACATTTCTATTGATGTGATCTCCAACCATCATCAGGTTAACTGAAGGACATGCTCCTTTCTTGACAATTTATACCGTTTGATGGCGTGGCCTGTGGTTGGTTGAAACTTGTCCCACGTTCCGGTTGGTTGAGTTACAGTTGCTTGATGTTTCTTACAATCATTTGTCATACTGGTTTAATTTCCACACTTGGATAACTGTAAATATTTCCATTCATCATTGTCATGCCTTCAGGCCACATCCTTGATTTTTCCCCGATGCTAGTGTGTTTCTTAACATGATCCCAAAGTATTCTGTGAAGCTTTGTCCACGTGTGATCCGATATCCCCCGTTTCGCGTTAGATTTATGGTCTTGTATTCATACTAAGAGTGCTCATTTTGTTTCTCCTATGTTTATCTCTTCGCATTCACATGGCATCTGGGATAATCCTTGGTATTCTGGTTTTGTTCATAGGTTTCGTCTTTGTGAGGATACTGCGAAATGTGGTTTTTATGATTCTTATTCTCTCAACATATGGTACAATTAGTGTATGCTGGGTTCATTCCGCCTGTTTCCACTGTTATTGGTGTTGTTTTTTTTCTTTTATAACTTCATTTATCAGTCATCTTGGATAGCCGTTACTTATTAGATCTTTTTTGATGCGGTTGATTCCTGCCTGGAGATTTCTTTGCGCGTTGCAGTTGCTCTTTGCCTGGCAATCAGGGTTTTAATTACACCTTTCTTTGCGGTTGCTGGATGTCTAAAACCGAAATGGGAGGCAGTTGTTATTCTCTTCTTCCCTTGCAAACTTTATCGATGATCTTACATTGCTTAGGCGTAAGAAATAGTCTTGTAGCTTCTCTTCTCCATGACTCCAGTCTCATCCACATATTAAAGCCAAATCTTCTTATAGACAATGGAAGTCCGAGAAACAACATCTCAATCGTCTACGTTGCCATCAAAATTGAAACGACAAATCAATTTTGATACTACTGACATGTATCAGTTGTTAACAAACGGTAATTCCATTATCTACTTTTAGCATCATTCATTAGCATGAAATGCAATCAAAATTTTCAGGGCTGCTAAAATAAGAAAGGTTCGAAGCGCCACACTCATATTCCAGCAGACCACACCTCAGATACTATCAGGATCTGAATCGCTTCCGAACATATCCGCCAAATTAGAAGAAAGGCTGTTTCCTGAAACCAAATATTATAGCAGCTCTACGTCATCAACAAGTGAACAAAGTGGCTGGATAACATCTAGGAGTACTTCCATAGGTAATAACCGTAGCATGCAGTATTAATTTTGTGTTTACTATATCAACTAAAATTTATTTATCTTACATACTTAACATTACAAAGTTATTTTATTTTTCAAAAACTTTTTTTTTAGCGGCTCGAGGCTGTCCGCATGATTTCACTCAGCTTCTTCTCCTAAGTTAGTTTTCATTGGACTCTCCGAAAGAGAGTAATAATACATATATTATTTGTGTTAGATATCTAGCAGGAGCGATCTCATTGCATTTGTACGAGCATCTGATGGTCATGAGGTCATGCTAAAGCCGAAGAAATTCTATCTTCAGTCCCTGTAGAGTATTGTAAGACATTGCGTTGTCTTCTCCTTTGATACCCTGGCTGCTGAAGGGCTAAGTGGAGATAAGTGATTGGTTGAACTTGTAGCTTGACTAGTATTTTCTGTTGCAAATCTGCCACCCTGATATGGTAGGGATTCTTGCCTAACAGTCCTCAACATTGTTTTGATGGAAGACAACGCGGAAAATCTTCCTGCTACCTTATACACGTTCTTCAATCAGATCTCGAGTGAATTCAAGCTGGTCCGACTTTTCTTTGTAGAAGTTGCACAGTTCCATTAATCCAAAATGGGAACAGTGCACCTTCACATCAATGTCGACATTTGATTTATAGGGTCCAACATCGCAAGATTTGCTTTAACTTTACGTAGACGAGCGTTGATGTGCAAGCCGGATACCCTAGAGACTAAGGAGCGGTCGAACCGGCCAGTTTTGAATGTACGAAGTTTGGCACGGTTACGAAGCCGAAGTCAGGCGGATCTGTCTAGCAGGCACTTTGGGTGGCGGTATCATGAAGGAGAGCTCTGAGGAGCAAAGCCCGTTGACATAGCAGTAGAAGACAGCCACCTACCGTTTATTAGAAAGGAGTCATCTATCAGTCGGACAACCCTGCCCTGAACAGCATCGAACATGGATAACGTAGTCGGGGCGACGCCTCTTAAGCAAGTGTGCAGTAGTCGAGGCTAGATCTTATTTGAGTCTTGTACAGGGTGAGGATATCATGCGGAGAGAAGCACTTCTAAGCTCTATCAAATAACCTAGTTTTTTCGAGAAGCTGCCGCTATTGACAAGATGTGTTCGTGCCAGATCAAGTTCTCTTTGATTTGGACTCTGATCAGCCGAAATGATCGGCACTTTGATAGATCTCATCCATCCATCCAAATCAGATAAGCGCTAGGGTGCTTCTTGTTGGTTAAGCTACGTACTGTGTTTTGGAAGCATTTAACTGTACCAGATAGTTCACTGATAACCTCCAGGTCTCTCAACAGAGAGAAAGTCGCTGCTAGTCTTCTTTTCTCCAGCTCATCGTCAGAGATCGGTGTCATTCTGAATTCCTGCATGTAGAGCGTTGTCATCAGCAAAGCTGTGGATCGGATTGATCGTGCATGAAAAGAGGTTGTTGGCTTCTGAGGCCACCAATGTCGCAGCCAAGACCGATCCCCGGGAAACACCCGCGTTGACATTGTGTCAGGAGTGTTATGCTTGAAGATTATTTCCTGCATAGTATATGGAACCCTTTGAATCGACGCCGACGGTACTCGGACATTGGAGAGAACCTCCATGGTAGAGTTGGCAGTAAAAATATTCGTAAGCACTTCCCGCCTTAGCCTTTGAGTCGGATACAATTGTTCCATCCTGGCATGTAACAGGTGGAAGACCACTCTTTGAGACGTTCCTTTCAATCTGCTTGGCCAGCGTCCAGAAACACCGACTGTCATTGCGCTGCGACATTACCCTATCCTAATTTTTACATCGTGCATTGTAATTGCGAACCGCTTCGTTATTATTTGCTTCTGGACTAGACATCGGCTTGTCTGTTCTCTACAGTGGAATTTTGGATGAAATTTTCACGCAACAAGATGTCATTTTTGAATTCAAGGTCGATCTGTTTTGCAGTTTTTCATCAATATTGAAAGATAACGGATTCATCGAGATTAGTGGTACTATTTGCTACACTTTCACCAAAATTGCAACTTGGTACGGATTAAAATTTATGCGGAAGTACACCAGTTTCCCCATGTGGAATATTAATATAATGTATATATTGTCAAACCGCCAAAGTCAAATTCAGGCAATAGGAATCGTATTGTACTCAGACATAAGATTGAAAAACTGAAGTACTGTGCTTTTCTCTGATTTCATTTATTAAGATACATACTTTTTTAGCTTCTAGCATAGACATCACTAACGTTCTACCAAGTTCAATCGTGATAATAGAAAATAATCAAAAAAGGGTAGGTAGTAACTCAGAAGGAAAGAAAAGTAAAGAGAGGGACAAGGATATCTGCGATAGAGGTCATACGTTAAAAATACCAAAAAGTAGAACATTTAGTAAAAGTAATAGTTCAAATAATATTAAGTCTAACAACGTTAACGATAAAAATCAAGAAGATGACGATTCATCTAAAGGTGAGTGATGTTTGTTTTTAATCATACCGTATGTTGAGATTAATGCTATACCATGATGAAGATTGAATACTTGATAAGGTCATTCTCAATTAGGACAACTTAGGTGGAAAGATTATATTTATAATTATGGATCCACAAGTCACTAGTTTTGATGGAATGAGGGGTATGGTAAATTCATTTTAATTAAGAATATTTCTAAGTAATTTTTGGAATAGTGGATATACATTTTTATACCAGTTTTATCGTTTTATGCCGGTAAAAAAATTCCTCCAGTGTTTCAAGGATTCTAATAGCTTTACGTGAAATTGATACGATATTTTTTTGTTTACATAAAATTTTAATTTCTGATGTTAACAATCTCGAATACAATACGGAAATTTAATATAACTCAAATGCGAGGGGATAAGGTGAAGAAAAGTTCTCAGCCTGACACTGACATTGCGCTCCAGTTAGCGAAAAGGTTATAGGCGAAACTACATATGAGAATTCAAATCCAAATCAATGCATATATTTACGGGTGCAATTTTGCTCAAACAATTATGAAGAAAATATCGATTTATTATTATAGATTTGTGGAACTTATAGGTTTTAAAAAATATACTCTGATTTCTTGGTTATGTAATGAGAAGGCCGCAGCTTAAACGTCCACTGTGACAAAATCATGAAGTTTCGACCGGAAAATCGCCAAAAATTAGGAAAACTGCATTTTCACAGATGCATTTTTATAGTAGGACATCATAACTTGATGTATGTATATTTCCAGGGAAATAATAATCCCATTTTTCTGATGACTCAAAATATATATGGCATTTACTCATTTGTATCCGAGATCGAACTAGTTGGTATCTTGCCGCTTATGCAAACTTGTATAGGATCGGAATATATATGATTAAATGACACATAAACTTCAAGTTTTCGACTGAAGTTATAAAAGGAAGTTTAACAAGCCATATATATTTGTAATCGGAAAAAAGGACTATCATTTTTACTGACAATATGCAGGGTGTTCTATTTATAGAAATACAACTTAGTTCGGTAGCACTTTTCTGAGACACCCGATGTATAAAAAATATTACTCGAAAAACTTCATCTTAGACCCTATAACTTTTATGTAGAACTTTTTCTGCATATAAAAAACTTAACGGGGTTAAATTATTTATAGCCGTACATACGCAGTAACTTTTCTCATCTCTTAATGGTAATATCTTTCTGACCACAGAAAATTGACGTTAGCAATTTCGTTTTTCCAGGCTGTGAGTTAAATCAAACAACATTCACCGAAGACTTTCCACTACCACCTCCTAAACAGTTCAGGGACTTAGAATCCCCATGTAGTTCAGTAACCAATGGTAACGGTACTATCGAGGAAGAAATCAATGCTGTAGATAATCTCCTCTATCATGTGGTTGACACACGGACCACTCTAGAAAGAAAGCCTAGTCAGTTTGACTTGAAGTCGACGTCTGCAAATGATAGTAATGACGAAGGTGGGTTAAAGCAACTCCAATCGGCGCTGCCTGCGGTTGGTTGTGTCTACAGAGACGCAAAGCAAACATGTACATTTCAATAGAAGCGCAGTCACACGTCTATATCTAAATCTTTGTGCATTCTTGAACGGACCAATTACAAAATTTTTTGCTCCGTAAAACTCAATCAATCTCTTAGACCTGAATCTACTAATCCGGTGTGTAAAAAAAAGCGTGGGTCACAAATTCAACGAATGAGAAGACGTCTTTGAAGTAATGCTTCTCAAACTTGATAATAATTATAAGATGTGCACCTAATTCTATATTAAATTAAGAAATACATCATAAATTACTTGGTTTAGCTACGAAAGCCTATTTTTTCATTTGCGTCTAGACACTAAATTAGGGACCATGGTAATAAAATGCACCAATAAAAAAGAAGCATTTGCGCTATACTTAAGGCATAGTTACAAATCTGATACAAAACCTAGATTGATATGACAGCAATGAAATGAGCATTTTACTGAAAATAAATAAAATTACAGAATGCTCGTTCTTTAACAAGTCATCAAAAATTAAACATCGTGTAATATTCAATTTATTTGAATACCGTACGAAAAACCCTGTTATTTAAGCCAGCCCTGTTATCACGGAGCTTTCGCGCTCTCTACTGAGGAGTAGGGAGACTACTTCTAGCCTTGCCAGCATCACCGTGGCCCGGCGTGGTCGCGCAGTCGTCCTGCCGTCTCGGTTAACAGTTACAGGGCTGGCTTGAGGAACATGTTTTTTCGCACAGTAGTCAAGCGAAATGATTATTTATTGGATGTTCACTAAATAATAAGCATTCTGTGATTTTATTTATGTCTTCAAAGAATTTATTATGCAGAATTTGAAACAGCATTGTTTTCAATAAAATGCTCAGTAATGGTATCATGTCAATCTACTGTATCAGGTTTGATCCATCTTTTGAGTAGTTCTTTTTGGTAGAATTTGGGCCAAATGTTTTGTCCAGACACGAATGAAAAATAAGTATTGTTACTGAATCATGTGATACATGATTTAATGTGAGAATTAGGAGGCCATCTTACACAAATCGTATAGTTCTTCTCTAGTTTGAGAGACAATCTACAAGAAATCCACCAAACTCATTAAATCCATTACTCCAAAGATCTTGGTTCGTTGGACTCATTGATTGAATTTGTGACCCAGGCACTTTTTTCCGTATAAGCTTGTGAAATCGGGCGTTTGTTGTTGTGGGGTAGCCCCGTGTTGTGGGCATTTTTTTTAGAAACGTCTCACTATTTGTGCACTATAATGCATTCGGACTTATTCTGTAAAATCCTGTTTAGCCATTACTCCTATAGAAAGAAATTTGATTTTAGATTTAGGCACGCACCACAAGGCAACCAACGAAATGACCAAAGCATTTCTAAAGGGCAAGCAGGAATTCAAACGTCAATTAAACTTCCCCGGAGTCTTGTACTCAGACCTGGATCCATCGGTATTCGCATCCTCCATTCCGTATTTCCACATCAGCGATGAGTTTCGCATATTCTCACCAGAGGGCATGCATCTCATTGTTTGTGTTCATGGATTAGATGGGAATGCAGCAGATCTGCGACTGGTCAAGACTTATCTAGAATTGGGACTACCAGGAGCGTATTTGGACTTCCTTATGTCGGAGAGAAACCAAGGGGATACGTTCAGCGATTTTGAGACCATGACTGACAGGTAAGATCTACTGACGTTATGAGAAGAAAATGAATAATATGATAATGATGGTTTGGTAGAACTAGGTAGTGTCAGATCATAACTCAAATACCACCTGGCAGTAAATTTAGCCTTGAATATAATTCACGATCAAGAGGCATATTCCTTTTAGGAGGATCGAGTGCCAATCCTTAATAACAGAGCTACTCAAAGAAGAATAAGCAGAAGTAATAAGTAATGTATATTCAGTGACGATGCCTGACTATTATATCCTAATAAACCATGATTGTTTATAGATTTGTGTAACGTATAGGTTCGAGGAATTTTTTTTAAATCCTTGGAAGTTCTGGTTAGGTAATGAAAATTACGCAACGTTAAAAATCCATTGTATGTCAGTGCTTCCTTACCTAAACCAAAATTTTGATTGTTTTAATATCTTTCTGACTACAATTAAATACAAATTTGGTATTATAATATTAACAGAAACTTGGAAAATTAATGATGTATCTTTGTTCTATTTGGATGGTTATGATACGCTTTACAATAATGGTGCGTACAATTAGAATGATGGGGTGGCAGTATATGTAAGAAATGATATCAACTACAGATGTGATTTTGTTAAATTTAATGACGGTATCACAGTGTTGGATTTGATATTGAGAATTAATAACAAAGGTGTAAAAGTCACATCTGGCTATCGTCCACCATCATCAAACCGTTATACATTTGTAGAGAATCTTGAAAAATTTGTGTTAGATAACAAACATGCCATACAGTCAAACCACATCATAATAGGAGACATGAATATTAATATACTGCAAGACACCAAATTAGTAAACAAATATCTCACTGTAATGCAGAGTAACGGATTTATATTACATATAAATTTACCAACAAGAGTAGTCAATAATAGTTCTAGTTCTTGCATTGATCATTGTTCCATAAACAAAATTTCAAATTTCTTTCGGTACATACCATTAATTCTTGAAAACTATATAACCGATCATTTACCCACTGTAATACGAGGGATGAGTTTTAAGTTTTGCATATGGAAATAAAACAACACGGTAGGTAGTTTTATATGACTTTATTGTTTTTCGAAGATTAATACACATCTTCATGCGCTCGAACCAATTTGCGAAGCAATTATTCCACTCGTTTGCTGGCAACTGCTTCTTCTGGTGACTGGAACCTTTGACCACGCAGTCTGTTTTTAATTTTCGGGCAAGTAAAGAAATCGTTTGGACTTAGATCGGGACTATATGGAGGATGGCCCAATAATTCCACGTTTTCTTCCGTTAAATACTGCCTTGTTTTTTGGGCTGTGTGCGAGCTTGCATTGTCTTGGTGGAGGATGATTCTTCTTTCGGGGTTGATTTTTCCAAGCTCGGTGATGACTTTTGGCAAACAAATGGTGGTATACCAATCCGCAGTAACAGTTATTTGCTCATTAAGAGGAATTATTGCAATATGACCCGCTTTTGACACAAATGTCGCGACCATCTTTTTCGAAACACTTCGAGAACAGATGACTTTTGTTGGCTTTTCTTCACCTTGGAACACCCAAACAGCCGACTGTCGTTTATTTTCTGGTTTATAACAGTAAATCCACGATTCATCACCACTAACAATGCTGTATACATTTTTTGAGTTTCCGGAATTGAAATGGTCAAGCGTTTTTTGACACCAATTAACCCTGGCTGCTTTCTGCTCTTCAGTCAACAGGTGGGGTATCCAACGAGAAACTAATCTTCTTCCTCCTAATTCTTCATATACAATTTTTTGAATTGAGGTCTTTGAGATCTTCAAGGATGCCTCAATGTCGCGATATGTCACATGTCTATCTTCAATGATGAGTTTGCGCACAGCATCGACGTTTTCCTGGGTGACTGCCGTTTTTGGTGCACCCACACTAGGATCGTCGCTAAGACTCACCCGTCCACGTTTGAATTCTCCATACCAACGGGAAATTGTCGACTGATGTGGCGCTTCGTTGCTGAAAACAGACAGAAACTCAGCAAGGCATTCTTGTGGCGATAATTGTCTCTGAAAGTTGTAGTAAATTATGGCGCGAAAATGTTCTTGGTTGAGTTCCATTTTTCTAAATACTTGGTGACACTTAAAAATTCACTGTAGTGAGAACACTGCACGTATTGTTGTGAAACTTTGAATTTAAGTTTACTAAAGAGTGAGGTTAAGATTCAGTACTGACGTTCTATCCGCGCGGCCTTCTATGTTTCTATATGCAAAAGTTACATCCCTCGTACTACGGCGCCACCTACTGAAGAGCGCGTATCAAAAATGGCGCGCAATTTAAATCAGTCAGTTATGTATTGGAAACCCTGTACTTGGGTACACCCGAAGGTTGTGTTAAGTGTTTTATGTACCGTCCCATAGATCTCAGGTGAGGGAATGTGTGTGCTCGATGTGATGCACAATCTGAATCTATTTTCCATCCGATTTTTTACGAGGTACTACTGCCTTGGATGGCAGAAAATCGATTACTCCTTGGAGCAACATAAGACAGCTGGGAAACAGAGCTCTAAGTAAATCCATCTGAGACTGAGCTAGTCATCTTCACCAAAAATCGGGAGATTCCAATCCTCCATGGTCCACCATTGACTCTCAGTCGCTCGGTGTAGTGCTGAATAGTAAGTTTTCATGGAAACAGCATATCGACTATTCTTACAAAATGTCGATAGCGACCATGTGGCAGTTGCGTCGAGTGGTCGGTAGGACCTGGTTGGCTCTTGCGATGAGGGCAAGTGGGTGGTGGTACGAGAACTAGCGGTTGGCCACAGGATCAAGGATGAGTTGGAGCAGAATCTCCCCATGAGGTGAGAGGGTCAAGAACAACACAAGTACAGATTCGAAATTCTCACTCATCATTCCTGCAAGGGAAGAATGGGTGGGTGGGAAGATTGAATTTTCGCCTCAAAGCTCACTCTGTATAATATGTCGATGTATTCGACCTGGAAAAAGAATATTAGGTAGGACATTAATAGGTGAGAGAGGTATATGGAAATGGCGAAGCCCGAATTATGAAATACTGCCTGAACTGGCACGGCCAACGGTGATGTTAAATTTTAACGGAGCCAGACCCTAAATGACATTAATCTCGCTAACGTTTCCTGTACATAGGACAGTCACAGTGGCGTAGATAAAACATTTACGTTTGCTTTTGGAACGTTCGAGAAAAGTTCCGCTACAAATGACGCAATAACCATCATCTGCTCACATCTCCGCCAGGCACGGGAACTCATTGAAGGGCCCAGTGCTAAGGATGGACGTTTCTGCTCTGGATAGAGCCAACCTAAGGTTGCTGGTGGGACTGTTGTCTGGCCATAACACGTTAAGGCGCCACCTGCACGTGATGAGGATCCCTTGTGTGAACGCTGCGGGGTAGAGGAAGATACCTCGGCGCACGTTTTGTGTCCCTGTGAAGCTCTGAGCTACCATAGGCAGACTATACTGGGGCCCATTACTTTGGACTCTCAGGACGTCAATGAGCTTGGACTCAAGGCGATTCTGAACTTCGCTCAAAGGGCGGGGCTTGTGATCTAAGGAATGTAGAGGTGCCTAAGGGCCCGCCTAAGCGGCCTATGCACTGGCTCCTTATGGTGGCCGGAATACCCGTAATTTCAAAATTTCAAGGACACACACTGCACGTATTGTTGTGAAACTTTGAATTTAAGTTTACTAAAGAGTGAGGTTGAGATTCATTACTGACGTTCGATTCGCGCGGCCTACTTTCTATATGAAAAACTTAAGAGACATCCCTCGTACTTATATTATCACCAGAAAAAAATAATAGTAGATCCACCTCCAATAATGAAACAGTGAAATTTAGGTGTTTTGTCGATAATAAAAAACTACTTGCAAATATCAAATTAGAATCGTGGACAGTAGTGTACTGTGCAACAAATGTTATTGATGCTGCAAACATACTCATTGAACGCGTAAAGCATTTAATTGAATGTAGTACTAACCGAGTTAAAATTAAACATTTTGACAGAAGCAGGAATCCCTGGATAACTAAAGGTTTGATAAAGTCTGCCAACAAAAAAGAGGAACTATACAAAATAATGAAAGCATCACCAGGTGCAGATACTTCCCGTAAATGTTACGAATATAAAAATATTTTTATCCCTCTAGTTAGAGAAGCAAACCGCGAATTTTATCTAAAAAAATTACAACATGCCAAATCTGATCCAAGAAAACTGTGGTCGGTTGTCGATCACTTAACTAACAATGACGTTCAACAGAAGCCAAATATTGATGAACAATATTAACATATAAACGACAAATATCCGATGCAATTATAAATTTTTTAACTAATGGAGAAAATTTAGCAGCCAGTATTGAAAAAAAATGTTTTGAATCATGTTCCCAAAAACCCAACTTCCCAATTCATTCTTTTTAGAAAGCGTTAGTCCGATTGAAGTACAAGAAGCTGTCCTATCACTTAAAAAAAAGTCCTGGTGTAGATGGTATCAAAGCTGAGCATTTAGCATTTAGCCGAACCACTTTCTTACGTCATTAATAGGTGTTTCCAATCTGGAATTTGTCCTCATGCATTTAAAACAACAGTTATTACTCCTGTTTATAAGAGCGGTGACAGAATGGAACCATCAAAGTATAGACCCACAACAGTACTATCGAATGTAGCCAAAATTTTCGAAAAATTACTACAAGAAAGGATATTACAATTTTTGGACAAAAACAAAATTATATGCTCTGACCAATATGGATTTAGAAAAGGAAAATCTACTACAGATGCAATTTTGACTGCAATGGATTAAATTAACTCTAATGTTAACAAAAAAATACCTACTATTGGTATCTTTGTTGATCTAAAAAATGCCTTTGATACGGTTAACCATGTCGAGCTTCTGAAAGCTATGATGGAAAGATTTGGATTTAGGGGAACGTCATAAACCCTTTCAAGTCGGGCACAGACTGTCAAAATCACTAACACTTACAGTAAAAAAATGTACATCAAGTGTGGTGTGCCTCAAGGAACAGTACTAGGCCCACTATTATTTAGTCTCTACTTAAATGACTTATTCAAAATTCACAGTTCTGGAAAGATTATATGTTTTGCAGACGACACCCTCATATTATATAAAGCTGATGACTAGAGCACAGTGAAGCTTAAGGATTTTATAAGGATCATTGACTGGTTTGATACTAAAATTTTAGCAGTTAACTTAAATAAAACAAAATTTATTGCATTTACATCCTATTGAAAATTTTTACCTAAGTTCGAACAAATTTCCGTTAATTATCATGGCCAAAAGACCAAAATCGATAGGGTTAACACTTTGAAATATCTTGGAATATTTATAGACTCGCATCTAAGGTGGGATAACCGTATTAAATATGTTATCAAAAAAATTAGAGATGTTGCCTATAAACTCAAAATGCTTGCTAACATTCTTACAGAAAGTTATCTGCGAATCCTGTACCATGCCTTAGTTGAAACGCATATAATATACGGCAACACAGCCTGGGGTGCCTCCTGCGAGACATATATTTCTGACCTGAATATAGCACAAAAAACGGTTTTGTAAGCCATTTTCCATAAGCTAAGATTATATCCGACGAACAACTCATATCAGGAAACAGGGATACTTGATACAAGGCAACTTTATTTCTTACATGCCACCACCTTATACCATAAGTATTGTAATGAAAAAAAATCCTATAAACACGAGCATAACACTATATCGAATAGGCTCATCTAATATCCAAAGACCACACAAAACATTATTCAAAAAATCAATTAAGTTCGTAGCAGCTAAATTATACACGTATAATGTAGTACCAAACGAAATAAAAATACTTTTGGAAAAAAATTTAGACGGACATTGAAAGACTGGCTTTGTACTGTGCAGCGAATGTCTATACATAATTATATAGAAAACTAAAACTACAAAATTCCAATTATATTAATACTTTTTAGAATTAACAATAATTGTATTTTGGCGAATCATTATTATTCTTATTATTATTATTTTGTTCAGACTCGCTAACTAAATCATGGAAATCAGCAAAAAATGGAAAAAACGCATTTTCACCGGTTTTACCAATTTTAGACATTTTTAGGGTCATAACTTAGCCAACTCAGAAACTCAATCCACGTGTATGTGTATGTTTCTGCTTTGGTCAAGCATTATCTTACTGACCCAAAGATGTCAAAAATTGAAGAATAGCAGTGAAAATACGGTTATTCTTTTTTTCACAATTTTCCGAACCACGATTCACAATTTCGACAATGGAACCTGAAAAAATACACAAAAGCATATATGCTTATATGGGTTTTTGAATCAGCCAAGTTTTAATATGCTACTCAGAAAATGTCAAAGTTCGACAATGCAATTTTCGCCATTTTGGCGAGTTTCCAGGCAAGAAATCTGATTTTGACAACGGAACGTAGAAAATGCACCTATACAGTGGGTTATGTGTTACCTAACTATTATTGACCAAACGCGTCAAAAATTGAAAAACACCAGCAAAAATGCGGTGTCTTCTATTTTCACAATTTCCCGTAAAACAAATCAAAACTTTTATTGTGGAACCTCAAAGAATGGATAGAAATACATATGTATGTTGAGTTTTTGAGTTACTCTAAAAATATCGTTGATTTTTGGCAATGTTCCGGGCATGATTTTGTTAATGAATCTGCAAATATCGCAAGAGTGTGACGCACAGGGGAATTTTGAGTTTGTGAAGCTCTCTCAAAAAATATTCTTTTGAGCCTATAAGTTCCACAAATCAATAAACAGTTACAGTTATATAGGATCTAACAATGTGGAAATGGTAATTTCTGAGCTTTTTTCGAGCAAAGTTGCGCCCGTAAAAAAATATTTTAAAGAAACACGAATTTTGGGTTAGTTGCCACGAGTGTTGATCTAACGATCTGAAAATTGACCGAAACCATGTATCTTGCTGATGGCACATTTTAGGGCGTATTTTGATAGGCTTATTTTATGTTGGGTAACGTAGAGTTTCTAAATATTGCCATTGTTCCTTGAATTGGCCTGTTTTATCAGTCACTAAAATTTGTTGTAGATTGATAAGTGAGATTTTACAATACCTGGATACCAGTAGTATACGACCAACAAGAATAAGTTTCGTAGGACATTCGTTAGGAAACATCATAATACGATCAGCGTTGACCAGACCTCAAATGAAGTTCCTTTTACCTAGACTACATACATTTCTATCTCTTTCTGGGCCTCATTTGGGTACACTGTACAATAGTAGTGGCCTTGTTAACATGGGTAAGTACCCCCACTTATTACATATATTAAAAAAAACTGAGAAATTCATCATTAAAGCCTGTGATGGTCTCAATCAATGTATTGTTTTACTGGCCGCCAAGTTAAACCACAAATGTTGAGTCAAAAGGTTTACTGACATTTCGAATAGCGGGGGGGGGGGCTTCTCAATAGTATTCAATTCAACATCTGTTTTATTTGGCGCCCAGTAATACCTAGAGATTCATCAATGCATTGATTGGCTCCCTCAGAAATTATTCCAAGGGGGAAGGTTTGTGAAATAGTAGTAATTTTGTCAATAGGGCAAATCTTGAAAATCTCAAATATTATACACACAACCATATTAAATTAGCTGAATTTAGAGGGCACCCTTATATTAAACCACATATCAATTGTACCATCAAATACCGAACGATTTGCGATTAATAACAATTTATTGCAAATAACGATCTTAAAGAATTTTATTTTGTCATTTGACAAGACATTTTTAAGATGAATCTCTTTTCTCCCTGAAGTCCACTGAAGCTACGATTAAGCATCCTTTATTCATTCATTTTTTGACTGCATCTAGCAGTCTAATTTTCAAAAACTATGAAGCTTTCCTCATTCGCCCTTGAAGATACGCTCCAACAATTTTTTTTAGAAAACCACTATACAGAGTGTCCCATTTTAATCTCCCCATCTAAATATTTCGAAAACTGTGCATTCTAAGAAAAAGTTCCAAACAAGAGTTGTAGGGTTTTGAATGGGAAAATGATGGTGGTCTTGACTGAAAACTTTAATGTCATTTCAATGTTAACTGAAAGAGAAGGAAATTCTACGTCCGAGTATCGCTTTAGCCGTGACCTTGACTATGGCCTTCAAAGCCATTTTTAGGTCAAATCAAGTCATCGAAAACAATTTTCACTAGCAAAAATGTTCGACAACACAGTCGTGACCTTGATCACGACCTTGGCAACAAGATCTTCAAGATCTAGTCATTTTTATATCGCGAATTAAAAAAAGCAGGAAATTTTTCGTCGAAATGTGACACGACCTTAACTTTCAGGTCAAAGTCACATTGAGACATAAAATTTCTTGCTTTTTCCATTTCCAGTCCAAAAGATGAGAGATTTTCTTTGGAAATTACGACTTGACCTTGAAGGTCATGGTGAAGGTCATGGTCTAGGTCTGTTTTGGGTGATCCACACAAAAATCCTAACTGTGCCGTTAGTCAAGATTATGGTGATGGTCATACACATATTCACACGTAACAAAGAGGGAATTATATTTGAAATTATTCACTTGACCTTTGAATGACCTTAAAGGTTATGTACAAGATCATTCTTAAATTCATAACAATTTTATTCCCTCGAAACCTAGCATGCTTGTTTAATTGTTTTCTGGGATGAGTAGCTTTTGAAATAAATAGGTGGGGAGATTAACAATAAACGGTATAATTATAAAAATTCACTCATGTCTAATTCTTGTCAAAAATTGCAGGTATGTGGTTCATGCAGAAATGGAAGAAGTCCGGGTCACTACTTCAACTATGTTTGAAAGACTCGACTGATCCCAGACAAACGTTCTTGTATCGACTGAGTCAGCGAAGTACACTGCATAATTTCAAGAACATACTACTTTGTGGATCTGGACAAGATAGGTAGATATCTTGCCTATGGCGGAACTGTTTCTTGGGTGTGTGACAAGCCAAGGCTGGCTGAAGGCAACCCTTCACTAATCCATCCAAGTGTATTGCTTGCTAATAAAGGCAACACGAAATTATTTCCACCCTTCTAATGGAAAAGAGCCCTTTTAATAAGAATCAACAGTGGCATAATAATTCACATAATACAGGCATAAGAGCGCAAAATTAACTAGTAACCTAATCTGCGAACCGAGTAATATACTAAGTGACATATAAATCCGAACACCCAGTTTAAATGGTTTTATTTTAATAAAAGTTGGTGAATGTATTTATCTTACTGTAAACAACAAGTGAAAAAATTTTCAGACTTATCAGTTGGACATTCCGGTTTTTATACTGTTTTTTTTAATTCACTAACGCTCTAAAAATGAATATTTTAGCCGCAGTAAAGAATCAACGTTGGCGGATTTTGGTTCTTGACATCCTTTACGATCGGTTACGATGCCTAGAGTACGGAGACCTGTACGATTTCAAGAACATTGGACTTTCTTTTCGGGCAATTGCAGTTAGAGTGCAAAGAAGTGTAGACACTGTGGTTAGGTGTTGTCAGGCATGGCTTCGAGAAGGCCGTACGCAAAGAGCAAGGGGCACTGGACGCCGCCGTAGAACAACAGACCGTGAAGATCGCCGCCTAAGATTATTGGCCTTAAGGGACCGTTTCTCCACTACCAGGTCCATTTGCAAAAGAATGGTTTGCAGAACACCGAAGACCTATTGGCATGCGAAGTGTTTACCGACGAATGAGAAGTTTTGGCTTGTTTTCATACCGGCCACACTGGGTCCTCTCTTTAACTCGAGAACACCGACGTAATCGCCTTGTGTGGTGCAGACAACGGTCACTCTGGAATCAGGAATGGAACAGTATTGTCTTTAGTGACGAGTCTCGATTTTGTTTAGGCATGCACGATGGTCGTGCCAGGGTTAGAAGGCGACGTGGTGAAAGGAGGAATCCACAGTTTTTTGTTGAAAGACATGTTCATCACACTGTTCGAGTTATGGTTTGGGTGCTATAGCTTATGGTTCCAGGACACCTTTAATCTTCATCAGAGGTAACATGAACGCGCAGCGTTATATCCACGAAGTTCTAGAACCCCATCTTTTACCCTATCTTGACACCCTGGCAGATCCAACTTTCCAACAAGATAATGCCCGATCACATGTTGCAAGAGTCACAATAGACTTCTTTCAACATAATGATGTCACATTGTTACCATGGCCACCAAGATCTCCTGACTTATCTCCAATTGAGCACATGTGGGATATGATGGGTAGGAGATTGCTCAATTTGCAACGTCCTCCTCAGACTCTAGAAGCACTTCGAGAGGAGTTGGTGCATGCATAGGCGCGTTGGAGAATGCGTAGCACATCAGGGTGCATCTACAAAGGTCAAAGGGCTTTAAAGCAGTGCAATCATTTTGAAATTTTTATCATTTACTTATTATGCTTCATTAAGTACTTGTACAAAATTTTATTAAAATAAAACCATTTAAACTGGGTGTTCGGATTTATATGTCACTTAGTATATAATCCGCCTCCTCTTCGGTACATCTCCGAAAGCAACGATAACTTCCTCGTTTAGTACCCTGCTATATGTTGGCCTTGGGGATTCGGGCTGACCACCTGTGCACTATTCGTAAGTACATCTGTTAGTCGAGCCGTTTGAACTGACCAATCAGCGTCAAGCTGTCTGGCACAATGTGTGATTATAATGTCGTTGCAAGAGTTAAGGATTGCTGGATTAATATGAAAATAACTTTACAATGAGGATCATATATTTTGGTGGAAGTGTATATCTGATACACAATGCACATTCACCATGTTTGAAGCAGTAGCGAAGGCCTGAGTGCCGAAGAATGTGTCCATCGATCCCCAATCAGTGATGGGCGCATTGAATACATCATGTATGATACACCATTGTATACACGTATACAGTGGTGAATAATATATACGTCTCGATATTAACGTATACAATGTATATAATGTATACAATAGCAAATCATAGTTCAACTACTTGCATATAGTGCTGGCGAAAGTCCCTTTCCCTTTTAGATTTCCATGTGTACGAGGAAGAGAGAGAGGGGGAAAAGAGGGTACTACTTGTGTAGGAAGAGTGCGCCACACACCACGTTGCCTGGCACAACAGTGATGAAGCAACATGGCTGTAACTTGCTGTTTTCTACGCCCAAATACAAATTTCTATCGAATCTGTTTAGGATCAATTCCGGATCGATCCTAAGGGTTCTCCAATTTTATGCGAAACTGAAAGTTCATGTTGGCTACAAATTTCGCAACATTGCATTATCAGTTTGACTGTGAAAGCAGTTTATAAATAATGAGAAAGTGTATAAATATATGATATTTATTTATGTACGTATACAAAGATACAGTTTTTAATAAATTAGGAACATTTCTTGAGTAAAATAAAACAAAATACTTTCTGGAAACAAAATCCACGCTGAGTGAAGTCAGCCAGAGCTGATTTCACTTAGCGGAATTGGACAACTTTTTTTGCAGACACTACACTCTACGGAATATGTCTTTCCATTTTTAAACAAAATGAACCGTAGTTCATCGATTTCTTTGTTCTTGGGGCGACCAACAAAAGGAAAAAACAATCGTAGTTACTCTCGTGTCTTTAAATGTAACGCAAAACATTGACGTACCCTAAGCATCATAGCTGGTCAATAAACGCCAATGAAGAGGTTTGTAATAGAAGCTATCCAAATTACCTGAATGTACATAGCATCCTTCGCATAGAGCCACCGACAAAGGAACTTAATTTTTAGCATCCTAAAGTCGCAATTGTCCCATGATTTTGCAATTTTTTACCAGTTGATAAACAAACGATTCCAGACACATGTGGAAAGATTCGATTTTAGCGACCCAAATTAGGTACGATATGTCATTTGAACCGCATTTAAATTATACCAATTTTTAATAACTATGTAAATGGGCCTAAATAAGTCAGTCGGGAATGTAAGCTCAACCATCACAGGTTCAGAGCACCACACGCACATAGCCACAATTAAACAAAATTGATTCTTAGCACTCTGAAGTCGCAAATATCCCATAGTCTCACAATTTTTCACTAGATGATAGATAAACGAGATAGATACATGTAAAACGACTCCGGATTTGGTTTTAGCTACCCAAAATAGATTCAATTGAGGTCATTTAAACCCCATTCGAAACATTTTAATTTTTAGAATTGTTGTGTCAGAAACGTGAGTCCAACCATCCTTGTAATATGTTTTTTGGGTTGCTGAAACCAAATCCGGGGCTCATTTTGTCCAAAAATGTCCCATTTTAGAGATACTCACAATAATACTACTTATCAATAAAGGATTAATACAAAATTTCACAAAATTGTTGCGCGTCTACGATCTGGATGGAGGCTTGTCCTACATTCCGAATTCAATTTAGTGCTAAGATTTACGGATGGTCTCGAGTAACTAGTTTTTTACCAATTTTTCATCCATACTTTCGAATCACACGAGGTCAAAATGATACGAGGTAATACTTGAGTTGGAATGATGGGAATATTTTCATATTTCAGGTACGTTCCGTTACATTCAGCACGTATAGAGCTCTGCAAGGAATCCCTGAAGGACACATCGCACCTGGGTGTCATCTACAGAGAAATGGTGCACAACATTCTGTCTCCCATCGTATCCGAGAAAGACGCCCGCCTGCTGAGGTACGACGTACACCACGCACTGCCCAACACTGCAAACGCTCTTATCGGAAGGGCCGCGCACATCGCTGTCCTAGACTCGGAGCTCTTCATCGAAAAGTTCATGGTAGTCGTCGGAATCAAGTATTTTAGGTAGAAGGCGAGTATAGGTTAGCATTCTAAAGTCACATATCTGCACCGTGATGGTTATTAAATATTTTTTTGGTTAAAAAGGACACAGTTGAACATGGGATATTTCAGAAAAATCGATCTTGAAAACTTGATTAAAAGTGCTATTTGTATTTTCAATTATAACATCAAAAAGTCGGTATTATTCTTTGAAGAGATTTGATAGGATTCAACATCTTTTTGTTTGGATGGATAATATTATCAGAAGACGGTGTGAGATGTCGTCCAACTTTGTTAGACTCAAATGGTCTCCAAAATCCCATTTTTAGATTTTTATGATTCTCCAATTTTTATTTTTATCATTCAGGATTCAAATAATAATAATAATCGTCTTTATTTGTAATGACCACACCATAAAATGATTTCAAAAAGTTGGTTACATGTATGCCTCTGGCACATAATGCCTTTTTGTGTACGAAGTCTCGTGAACGTATTTTTTACATCATCAGCAAAACTTTCTCTGTAAATCGTACACATCAAACTGTCATTTCCATCTGACCACAAAAACATTTGCTGAAATATAAATAAATAACGACTGATTAAGTGCATACTTGCCGACTGTTAGAAGCTTGAGCATGTGGAATTTTTTGTTTTGTGCCTTATTTATCGTGGAAATACCTTTTATGTTTTTGAGATAAATGGAGTATTTCTTGAATAAATAAATGCATTTTCAAAATTTAGCTAAAGAGTTTGTAAATAAATTTTGACCAATTTTGATAAGTTTGGTTTACTTGTAGTAAAGCATCTCCACACCTGACACCATCTGTGTAGCACTGTGGTCGTTATTAAATTGACTCATATTACATTATCAGTATGATGCAAACTAATATGGAGCTAATGGTGTGTGAATCAAATTAAACTCACCTATTGTTGGTCACTATAAAAACCCAAAAATTCGACGAAAGCTGTGACTTGGCCAGATTTACCTATAAATGGAGTCAACGGTTTATCGCTACAGTGCAGATATCGGATGAATGATGTATCGAAACCGTAGAGAATGTTACTTTTAGTACTGTCCTTTATTGTGATATTTCATAAATTTTGTTATAACACTTACGAATTTGTATGGCCTTCTGTCTTTTCGCTTTATACTATATTTTTGTCTTATTATGTAGAGAAATTAGTTAGATTTAAGCCGAACATATTATGTTCAGCTTCATGAATTCTAAAAGTATGCAAGGTCGTTTTAAAAATTTTGTAACAGAAAGAAAACTTGCTGCAATTATTTCCTCAATTCGAAATCATGCGAGTAGCTCATACTGTTACGGATATAGGAGCAATAAAATTATTCCATTACGTCCAAGGTCTAGGTAATGAAATAACTTTCTAAACAAAATTATAACTGGTAGGACTGTAGATTGGCACTTCTTCGAAGAGTTGCTTTTGCGCATCACCAGAACAAACTAAAACCGGCCTAATAACTTTTTGTTCTCTATGAAAATTTACCATTCTGATAACGTAGATATCAATAATTTGGAATTAGACAAAACTAAATAGTTCAAAATATCTATCGTAACATACATTTGCACGTATTTCGAACTTTACAGCTTCACAAACTAATATCAGTGAAACAATTACTATCAGATGTGTTTATGTGACTCATGCAAACGCAGCTTGTTGTGCTGGAGTTTGCTAATACCATTGTAACAAAAACGCTATAGGCGCATTGTAAACGGTAGGAAAATTTATATTCTAGAGCCATACAGTACTCATAAGGAGCTTCAAAATTGCGGATCACATGTTACCATGTCTTGGAATCTGCCAGCGTTATTATTGCGCTAAAATATTTATGCCGCAATTACATCATACCCAAAATTCAATTTCTGACTTAATCCTTCCAAAAAATTCATGAGGAACGTCCAGGGAAAGCACAGTTTATACAGGATGAATGAAAATCTTTCCTTTCACTGCCAGTATAATCTCGGATTTGGAATTCGAAACGAAGAATTAGGTAATTTGACAAAATTCAGTGAAGCGAAAAGAACATTTTAGTGATTCTATAGGTCCTATATTTATCCAAACGCGCCTAAAAGGAATTGTAGATAGATTTACGATGATACTTGGTTTATAAGAAGCGCAAAATTCATGGACTGATATACAATATCAAAATCAATATATTTGGTGTGTTTGACAGGGCACCTGATTAAATATTTCAGTTGTCAAGCAGTTCTTTGGATTTATGCCTTATTTGAATTTACTTCTAATAGAGCTACGAGGTGATGACAGAATGTTACTGTATTCTCCATATTTAATGTTTCTTAATGTTTTATAAGAAAATACATGTTGATGGCAATGAATGTGTTTTTCTTCATTATCCTTTCCATATTTATTTCTTTATATCAAAGCAGCCGCGCTGGCAGATGCCCCAGTACCAGGACACCCCGGCTGCTATGAGGAGCTTGAAGAAACTGCGTATATCCAATTTTTGTACTGTCTAAGGTTAGTAGAACTGATAAAAACTTCATCCGGTAGATTACCGGCCAATGGTGGATGTACGAAGTTCGAAATGTTTAGGATGGGAAGCCGAAGTCAGGTGGGTCTGTCTGGCAGGCATTTCGCTCGGCGACATCATGGAGGAGAGCTCTTAGGAGCAAGCCCGTTGGCGTAGCGGTAGAAGAGAGCTAGATTGCCTTGCCTTTTCCCAGCAGCTGCCGCTATTATCGAGATGTGTTCGTGCCAGGTCAAGTCCTCGGAGATCTGGACTCCAAACAGCCGAAATGAATGAAAGAATGATTATTTGTGCCCTGTCTGGCGGCATTTAAGTGAAACCCGGATTGGTAAGACATCTCTGGTCGCTTTCTAGTTACACCACGCTGCTTGGTGGGCACTTATCACCGTACCACCATGCGCGGACAGTAACCTGTATACGATTTCTCGGATAAGCACATCTGCAACTGCAAATATGTCTAGTAAGGAGGATGAGGGGAAATGGGATCCCGCGGAATTCGAACCCGCATCTCTTGAAAGTGGATAAGAAATAATAACAGAGGAAGAGTTGTAGCGCGCGGGCCAATAAATAATAGAGAACGCCTGCTGTATTTCGGCAACCGCTCACCCGGAGCAATCGGTTAACAAATTTCATAATAAAGAATAAATTATCTAAAATGCCTTTCGAAGATGTGGTAGTGACAGGCAAAATAATTATAGCAGCAAGAATGAACACTTATTTTATAGACAATATAAATCAGATAGTGAAGACGATTGATGACGGTGATCCCAACTTATGTTCATTACAAGTATGTATATCATAACTCATAAATGAATCATTTTAGGAGAATAAACATCAACAATCTATGAAAAGCTATCTTGAAATTGAAATCTTAGAGAAATCTCCCAAAAAAGATTATAAATGAATGTTTCAGTATAATTGGGGAGAAATTATTATTAATGATGAATCATTGTTTAGTGCATGGCGAATTTCCATCAAAATTAAAATGTTCCATCATTACTCCTGTGCCAAAAGTCAACATGGTATGCACAAATCCTTGAATGTATCGGAGAAAACAAAATTTTGATAAAACATCCAGCTGGGTTTAGAAAAATATAAGTATAGATTTTTATCTGCAAAATTGTAATACATAATTAGCAAATTTGTATTTCAAAAGGGAATATTTTAATTCAATAAATTGAATAATGATATTAAACAGTGTTCGAATTTAAAAGTGTTTAAGGTGAAATTAAAAAATTAATCTATGAATACTCAAAATGCATTGTGATGTAATTTTAATAGATAATAATACAAAATTACAGAAAATTTATTCAAAAAATGTGTGCACGAATAATTATACAAAACTGAGAATGCAGGATTAATGCTAAATAAATCTTCAACAAACAAAAATGAAAGTGGCTAAGAGGCATTGATGGAAATTATTTTCAGCTTCCTAAAATGGCTGCTAGGCGGCACTATGTTGTTCTAATTTGCTTCCACGGCTGTATTGATAAACACACATAACATATACGTAATATGGCATCTTGTTTATACAGCACTTGAACTTCAAGGGTTCATGAAGTTGATGGAATTTCTTAATTTTGATTCTGTCAAGTTATGATTCATAACAGATATCACTTACAAAATAAACCAGTAAATGCGCCCGAACTCCGTACAATTTCGTCGACGTCGACGGTTTGAACTCATGAAATGTTATTTTGATAATAAACAAAACCATCTGTAGGTGGAAGAAAAGCTCATACCACTGAATCTAATGAACGGTTACAGTTACAGAAATGAACATATAGTAAAAAAACTTTGCTGAATTGAGTTAACTTCTACATAATGTTTACAGATTTGAGCTACATCTTCCCACTTATAATTATTTGAAAAAACGACTAGTTCTGCTGTTTTCACAAAATCGGTTGGGATGGGATAGCTTTTTTTACACCGATGGAGCAGAAGCCTAAATGCCAGGGCCCCTCCGCTGCTATGAAAAGCTTAAATAAGCCTAGTTTATCCAATTTTTGAACTGCCTAAGTTTAGTGCAACACGGCAAAGCCTTGTAATTTGTTGCACCATCTGGATACCCTAGCGACAAAGGAGAGGTCGTACCGGCCAGTTCTGGGCCTTGTAGACAGTGCGAGGTCATGTGGAGAAAAGTACTTCTTAGCCCTAGACAAATAGTCTAGCCTTTTCGGAGCAGCTGTTGCTATTGACGAGATGTATTCGTGACAGGTCAAGTCTTTGGCGATCTGGATTCCGACAAGTCGAACTGAAAGGCTTTTGGTAGAACTCCATCGAAACCGGATGAGCACTGGGACGCTTCTTCTGGTGAGTCAAGATACAGTGGAAGCATTATAGCTTATACAATAATAATGATGATAACAATAATATTAATCGTCTTTATTACTAATATTAACAATAGTTAGGATTTAGTTTAAAGCTACTCTTACACCTAACCTTAGGTAGGCGTAGTTCACTGGAAGATTTTAGAACGAAAGAGTTTAAATAGACAAATGAAATAAACAAGCTTATCTTTACACTACAAACTTACTTTTCGTACTTGTTAACCTGTTATAATGCGCTAATAATTCACCTGTGTCTATGTATAATATTGCTTAAGTGCTACCTTACATTTTCGTGTCGGTAATTGTTCAAGTTCTAAAGGGAGTGAGTTGAAACTCGTGATTGATTGATATGTAAAACTTCTATGAAAAAAGCTTGAGTGGCAAGGTATATATAGAGGATAGATGATCTCTTATATACAAAGAATCTAGAATATGTTTTGTCCTTAAGGTATACTGGAAATGAAGAATCATTGATCCGCTTATGTACAAAACTCCTGATATAATGTTGGAATGCTACTGGAATTTTTTACCTATTCAAGTCCTTAATTTTCTCAGATATATGGTCATTAATAAAGCGTCAGCCTATGCCTTGTATCATTTGAATTCTGTGTATTCATAGAAGTATGTGATCTAAACAGGGCAAATAAAATTAGAATCCATATTTAAAGATAGAGAGAACCAAGGTTTCACTTAATCGTTTTTTTCAGTATGTTACTTAACTAAAGTATTAACGTGTTGCCTCAATAAATTTCATGAAAAATAGGATTTTTCGGTGATCTTTCGGGGTGTCAACCCTGCTCTATAGGCGTTTACGCCAGTTCCGGCAGGACTTACTGAGGATATGTCGTAACCAAAAAAAAAAATAATATAAAGTATTACGAAAATAAATTTTTGAAACGGGACGTTGAAACCACTCGCGACATCTCTAACCCCAGAAACCTTCCATATTCCTTTGTGTGTGCCGCATGAACAAAATCAAAAATTAACGTTAAGCTCAGTTTATCTATGATAAATCAAAGTATAAGTCATACGTCTTGCAGAAGTTTGAACGAGATTAGTTTCGAGGAAAGGAATGCAATATTTAAAGTGATGGAATAGCTACTTTGGTAATAAGTATTTCATTCAACATTTTAATGCAACAATATACATATAAATGAAATGACTCTCCAGTCTGTCAGCCTCATAATCTGACAAGACCTAAAAATTTTTACACTAACTAATTTGTTTATTTATTTATTTATTTATTTATTTATTTATTTAAATCCACCACCAAAAGCGTTAACCAATTACTGGTGGCAAAACAACAATATAAATAGTAATCAAAACATAAAAATACAAAGAAAACTAAAAACTAAATCATTTCACTGCAAACTCTTTTAATATTCGAAATACTTGTATCAAACAAATCAAATGTACTCTGTAGACTATTATAACATGAATACCTCGAGTACAAAGGTGAGTGTAACAGTAAGTTAGTTCGTGAGGTAGGTAGGCAAAAAGTGAGTGTATTGCGAGTAACAAATTTTGGAGCATGAAATTTAATCTGTGCTAGAAATGATTGTCAATCGTAACTGTTATGCACTACTTTATGCAGGAATATTAGCAAGTGAATCTTTCTTCTGTTATCAAGCCTGGTAAACTTCTGCTTACGCTCGATCTTCCTGTGGGACCCCAAGAGGTGGGTACGTACCGTCAATTTTGAATAAAAGAAATTTCAGAACTTTCCGTTGAATCTTCTCCAGAGAGCCACAAGTTGTAACATAGCATGGATTCCATATTAGCCATCCATATTCTAATTTAGACAGTATGAATGAATTATAAAGCATAGTAATCGCATCTTTGTTACTTTTTTTATTATTTATCGGATTGGTTTTATTCGCAAGCTCATCGTCGAATTTGCCTATGAAATAGGGTGTCTATGAAATACCCGAACACCCCAAAAAACTTGGCAACCACCCATTTTGTTGAAAAAAATTGGGACAATAAATGTAATTTGTCGTCAACCAAAAAAAGGAAGTAACACTCTCTCACTAACTATGATCGAAGTAAGTCTTTCTATAACATTATTTATATCACTCACATAATAAATTTTTGTTTAGAAAAAGGATACTACCCTAAACATTGGAAACTGTCCTTTAGTATGGCTGTCCTTAAAATGTCAAACCTTACTGAATTTTAACATTTTACACCTTGTTACCCTAGCTTTCAAATATTATACACAAAGAAATACACTGAGAACCAAATGGTCTGGTGGCTTGAGTTCAATGTGTATGGGAAAGAAGTGTGTTTAGAAGCCGGCTGGATAGCAAGGCTCAGAACTGCGTTGCCTAGCAACGCTGAAGCGGCAATCTGCCGCGTTGCCAGGCCGCGCGGATTGAACGTCAGTACTGAATCTTAACCTCACTCTTTAGTAAACTTAAAATCAAAGTTTCACAACAATACGTGCAGTGTTCTCCCTGCAGTGAGTTCTTAAGTGTCACCAAGTCATTAGAAAAATGGAACTCAACCGCGAACATTTTGGTGCCATAATTTATGACAATTATTGCAACAAGAATGCCTTGCTGAGTTACTGTCTGTTTTCGTCAACGAAGCGCCACATCAGTCGACAATTTCCCGTTTGTATGGAGAATTCAAACATGGACGGGTGAGTCTTAGCGACGATCCCAGGGTGGGTGCACCAAAAACGGCAGTCACCCAGGAAAACGTCGATGCTGTGCAAACTCATCATTGAAGATAGACATGGGACATATCGCGAGATTGAGGCGTCCTTGAAGATCTTAAAGACCTCAATTAAAAAAATTGTACATGAAGAATTAGGAGGAAGAAGAAGATTAGTTTCTCGTTGGATACCTCACCTGTTGACTGAAGAGCAGAAAGCAGAAAGGTGTCAAAAAACGCTTGACCATTTCAATTCCGGAAACTCAAAAAATGTGTACAGCAGTGTTAGTGGCGATGAATTGTGGATTTACTGTTATGAACCAGAACATAAACGACAGTCGGCTGTTTGAGTGTTCCAAGGTGAAGAAAAGCCAATAAAAGTCATCCGTTCTCGAAGTGTTTCGAAGAAGATGGTCGCGACATTTGTGTCAAAAGCGGGTCATATTGCAACAATTCCTCTTAATGAGCAGAGAATTGTTACTGCCGATTGGTATACCACCATTTGTTTGCTAAAAGTCATCACCGAGCTTCAAAAAATCAACCCCGAAAGAAGAATCGTCCTCCACCAAGACAATGCAAGCTCGCACACAGCCCAAAAAACAAGGGAGTATTTAATGGACGAAAACGTGGATTTATTAGACCATCCTCCATATAGTCCCGTTCTAAGTCCTAACGATTTCTTTACTTTCTCGAAAATTAAAAACAGACTGCGTGGTAAAAGGTTCCAGTCACCAGAAGAAGCAGTTGACGCATTCAAAAATGCCGTTTTGGATCTGCCAGCAAACGAGTGGAATAAGTGCTTCGAGAATTGGTTCGAGCGCATGCAGATGTGCATTAATCTTCGTGGAGAATACTTCGAAAAACAATAAAGTCATTTAAAACTACCTACCGTGTTGTTTTATTTCCACATGCAAAACTTAAAAGACATCCCTCGTATGTTACATCAGTTCCTCGAATTAAGATGTATATTGGAACAATGCGTTAGTTTATTTTTCACGCCCAAATAATGGTTTTATTTTGAGCGCTCACATTTCTGAATTGTGAATTGTGTGGAATCTGTTTAGGATTGATTCCCGATCGCTCCTAGCGGCTCTCCATTTTAAGCCAAAATGAAAGGTCCGGATCGCCACAAATTCTACAATATTACATGATTGGTCATTTGATAACACCGCGTCCTGTTTATTCAAAGGCAAGATTTCGATCTCTATGAACATAGTTGAGCGATTTTTGTCTGTACCCATGTAGCGCTCGCAGGGGAGTGTCGTCCTGCTTCGAAATAGCTTTCACCTGTGTACACGCAGGCAGTTATAATTTGTGTTGCATAACGTTATTTTTTACATTTTCGGGCCGCAGCGCTGCCGCAAAATGCAACAATAACTCTGAATGTGTTGATTTTATCACCATCGGCGGAAATCAAGGGTAATTCTAAAATAAATTAAGACACTAAGTCGCGTCAAAATTGAAATAAATAATTCTAATGAACATGAAAACAAAATATTAGATTAAATAAACACATCTCCTTCTTGGCAGTAACCCACTGTATCTGGCTGTGCGAACATTTTCTGTTCTAATATATTGACAACGCGGCAGACGTTCTGCGTCACCGTTGCTAGGCAATGCGGTGATGACCTTCGCTCTTCAGCCGGTCTCTATCTCTTTCTAACATGTGTTGTTACACACTTTTCGCGCTTCTCTCTGATACACATTGAACTCAAGCTGTCAGACAAATTTTGATTTTCTCTGTATAGATTATATTTGGAGTAAAACAAAAAACCCCAAACAAGCCACCAGACGATCGCGCTAAGAAAACGAATGTCGATATGCACTAAATGCACGCTGCAAATGTCCTATTTATATAACCTTCATTCATTTCGGATGGACCAGCGACTGAGCGCTACCTTATGTCGAATTTCATTAAGCCATTTGGGCTGTAACTCGTGAACTAGGTATTTTAAAGTTAATTCCTAGGAAAGCTATTTGAGACTGTATCTCAGTATCAAATTTGATTCAAATCCGTTTATCCATTTTGAATTAATTTCTTATTTATAATATTGGTAGGGATTTTAACTGAGAGCCGAACCTAACGCTAAATGATGAAGACAGCTTGTTTGTCAGATAGTAAACAACCCCTTTTGTTAACTACCCATGTGGATACTTACCCATTTTGCATTAGTGGACAGGTCTCAGTACTTTGCCTGTAAAGTATGATGGAAATAGCGCCAGCCTTTGTGTATGCTCGATATTTATTTTCCGCCCAGTGTGGCATAAGCGTAATCATAGAGCGGAGTCCTTACATATGCATCATGTACCGCTCTAAAAACTTCTCTTTGTCGGCGTGATTTTCCGCTTATATAAGCGCGGCTCAATGCTGATGAAGCGAAAACTGGACGCGCCAGCGCCAGCGATGAGGTCCGCCTTTGGCCGATATAATTTTAAAACAAAAATTTCACGCTACTAGCAGATCGGCTGTAAGGGACACTTGATGCGATTAAGGGTTGCTACGTATGTATGCGTTTACGCACTAGGTGTCAAAGGGATGCTGGAAACGTGCATACGGTGACACTAAGGTGGAAAAGCGGATCAGGCTTGTATAAATTTATGCTTAACAGAGCGTGATTAGAAGTGAACCGCGTTGGATTATATGGCCTTGGAGGGAAAATATAGGTTCTGAGGGATAACGATGTTATTCAGCATTCTAAGCTGGCGTATAGGCAAATTTTGAACAATATGATAAAAAATGGCACCGAGTAGGTTGACTCTGCATTTCCTACGCATCGCCGCTACATAAAGGATTAAGTTCAGTTAAAGTTAAGTTAAACCCTCTGAGAAAAACAAAAAAGTTTCGAACTTGAACAATAGAGTAATTAAACGGGTCAAGTCAGCGCTCACCGCATATAGCAGAAGGAAAGATTTCTCTATAAGTTTTAAAGACAAATGTACGGGTAAACCTATGATGTGTGAAACATACGAGATCTGTAAATTAAGTGATTAGACTGGCAACGTAGCGTCCAATCTGGCAACACTGGAGGCACCGGGCTAAAAGGCGAGACAGCGGAAGATGTAATCTACCTTCAGTTCAGTACAAGTTTAAACTTGCTCAACTCATTTGGTTGTCTGAAGCCATTTTTTGTGATTCAGTTTTTCCTATTGTGTTCTAAAAATGAGTGACATCAATTTCGTGCAACGGTGTCCTATCAGGTCTTTCTTCAGACTTGGGCACAGTGCAACGGTATTTCTTGATAAACTTCAGTAGGCCTACGGAGATAGTGTTTCGTCAAGAGCCAGACTTTTCGGTGGTTTAAGGCTTTCTCAGAAGGGAGAGAGTCGATTGAAGATAAATCACGAAGCGAAAGGCCTTCATCTTCAAGAACCGATGGAATTATTGACAGCATCCGGAATCTCGTGCGTTCAGATCGTCGGTTGACAGTCAGAATGATCGGGGAAGAGCTATACACACACCACCGTTCATCAGGTCAAGAGCAACTGGGTGTTGCGTCAGGATAAAGCTCCTTGTCACAATAACATCCAAAAAAATATCTCATTTTAGAAATATTTCGTAATTACAATATATATTATGAGTCAAATACAAAAATGATTTTTGAATTGCTAATAAATCTAAAGCCGCGTACAAACCAAAAAATCCAACGCAGAGCAAACGAATGCAAGCACATGTAATGTCGGCGTTTGTTGTTGAAAATTAGTGGAATGCGTTTATCTATACCTGAATTTAGTTTCGAGTTGGACCGCGTTGGGTTAAGTTCGGTGCTAATGTTTTGACAAGGAGCAAACACAATCGAATGCCAACGCCGACCTTGGAAACCGTTGGCTTATTTTGGTTCGCGCCGTACACACCGATTCGAACACCTCCAAATCTGTAACCGTATGTGCCTTGCCTTGCGTTGGAATCTCGGTCTGTACGCGGATTAAGATTTACGACCGGCATCTTTTACGCGTTTCCATCAAACATTTTGTACCGCTGGAATGTTATCTATAATCCGCCAGATTGTTACATATACTGTCACAGTTTCATACCATTTTCTTATTATCACCGAAAAATAGGGTCCAATTAGGATGAAACGCCGCTAGCTCGATATTTTTGGCCAATTAATTTACGTTTTGAAGAGGTAATAAGGTAAATACATATCATCACGGGCGGCAATTTGGCGTAAGTCTGGATTGTTTATTTTTATGGGTCTCGGAAACAGTCTTCCAGCGCCGTTACTAACTGTTGTCATAAAACATTAATTGCGGGTATCTAAGTCCAGCATCAATAGGAAAAAGCGGCCACTGATGTCATCGACTGACATATATCACACCGTAAGGTTAGAATATGAACAACATTGATATATTGACGCGCAGTAAATATGCCATCTTCTACCCCTCCTCCAACAGAACTAGTGAATGTAAAATATGGCAACAAAAAGGACACGCATAAATGTACCCTCAAAAAGGATCTAAAATCAGACTTCATGCCATTGCCTCCGAATGCAACAATATCCAAAAAGCTCCTCAAGTTCGCACGTAGTTTGAAGCTGTGCGACCCGAATAATGATAAGTGCAAAATGTACTTCAAGAACAAGTTATCTATTATAAAGGAACAGAAAAGGCAGCTTAACACGGCACACTGGTACGTTAATATATATGTTTGTATCTTAAATGTTGTAGTTCGTAAGTCAAAATTTTAAGTGACAAATCTTTCAGGAGAGCCATTTGAATTATTTAGTAACATGAGTGGAACTTTTCAACATTTGAGATAGTATTGTGGCTTACAGTATATATGGCACTGAAAATGCTACCCATTAGAGAATCCAATACTTCACATTCCAAATAGCACAAACGCCTTTTTGAGATATTAGAGACGTCGCAAGGACGTGTGTGTTAGGAAAACTGAGGATCTTAAAGTCGTGTTTATACTACGTAAGGTCTTTAGTGCGGTATGAAAAAGACGTAATAAAGAACATGCGATCCGAAGCTCGCCTTAGCCAACGTCCAATTGCTAACTTCATCTCGTGGTGGCTTTTTTGTTTACCAGCCTTCTCACCAGACACTGAAATAAATAAGTAGGTACGGGTTGTCACATAAGATTTATTAATTTTGAAATCCAAAATGTCTAGTTCTAGAAGACATAAGAAAACATCTTTAAGACGTTTGGTTTACATCGTGTCGGAATGTCCGTAAACCGACGCACTAAAGTTGTCTTAAAAACGTCTATTTGATGTCTAAGGCATCCAGACACTATTAGTGCATAAAACGGACGTCTCTAATGGCCGTATAGTCAGTCGTTCCTAAATTGTACTACGCCTTTATGACCTTCTTGATTTTCATAGCCTGTTCTCTCCTTGCGAACGGCTATATTTCTAGTGTTTTGTGTCAACGTCAGCGCTCACCTACTGTGAGGCTATGCTTTCTTTTTGTTTCTTTTTGATGTGTAGAAAATTTCAGACTGATATAAAAGATGATATTAAATCAAAAGCATGAACAATTTGATGCTAGATATTTGTAACATAACCTCAAAATAGAGCGCTGACACGGAGCACTAGAAAACGATGAAAATCAAGGAGGCCATAAAGTCGTCCTACAATTGTAGGCGCGGCCCTAAGGTCCCCTGCGTTATCTGCACTTTGGCACTTTAATTATTTCAGGTTCACCATCCATCCATTTAGCCGGATAGCAAATTTCCTGGAATGGTTCTTTTGTGCAACAAGATCATTCACCTACCTTTGGTTGCCTGTATGTGGCCTGGTACCTCGTCAAGAATGGTCGCCATTCATTCAATTTGTCCGACAGGTGATAAAAGTAAGCGAAGTTTTAACAACAACAGGATTTTTCGTAACAGGATATGTGGATTCTAACACTAAGGACATCATACTGGAAGCAAAGAAAATAGCATTAGCATACTTAAAGTTTTATTTCACATTCGACTTCCTCGTGTTCATGGGAGATTACTTACTACTGAGAGAAATAATGAATCCAAATGAGATATACGGTGTGTTTGACATACTTGCCAATACGCTCACGCATCTAGGACTGGTAATGCGAATAAGATATTATTTTGTCCTCCAAGCACGTTGCGTAAACCGTTTAAGAGTGAACAGAAGATTTTTAGCTCTACTATACCAGCTGACACTTTGTACAGCAATCCTTCATCTGTCAACTATTTACAATGTCCTGGTACCGAAGTATGCAGTAGGTGGCGACCATTTTCTACCAAATGAATCATGGATAAGTCAATCAATCGGTGTCGAGAGAAGGGAGGTGACTAAGGTGTACTTTGAGTCATTGATGTTGGTGTCCTGTTATTTCTTTGGTGCTTCTTACTACACATATGAGATAAAGTTTATGCCCGAGCAGATTACATTGTCTATAATTTCCCTTATTGGAAGGATATACACTTTGTATCTTATCGGAGATATGCTGGTAGTATTTGGGATGGCGGCATTCCCAGAAAGTAGGTAAGTTGTAATTGATCAATCGGAACAATTTCATATCAGCTTCAAAAAAATGTTGGAGTAGTTCAATTCGTTATTACGGTGGGAAAGGTTGAGTAAAAATATGAATAACGATTCAAATATATAGCTGATTTTCATAATATATACTTTGTGGAACATTATCACAAAGTAATATTCAGCACCGTCAGAAACTTCCCGTCGGTCATAACATCTGCCTGACGCTTCAACCAAAGTGTACCGTGTATTATTTATCAAAAATGAACTGTATTTTGATAAATTAAATTATTATGTTTTACGTTTTTCTTATTTAGAACAATAATTTAATAGCAGTTCTTAAAAATATAATTTTTATAACAGAATACTTCTCTTGGTCTAATAATTTTATAGTAGACAATTTTTTATAACTTCGGTTGTCCGTAAATACGAGAGCTGAAGGTGACTTGGTGCTATTTCCTGTGCTCTCCAGTTGTGAGTTTATCTGGTTGTGAAGATTTTTGGTGAAATTTGTTGTCGGAATCCTTATCTCACCCTCTTGGGGATTTATCCTTTGTCACAGCTACACTAAGCCATCGAGTTGGTAAGTGACCATTTTCTCCAAGCCACGTGTTTATTTTCACAACATGATTTCTAATTTTATAGAGGGGAACTGTCTGCATTGATACTCCAAGGCAATCTTTAAGTAGGTCTTACGTCTGTGAGGAGCAGTCCCTCATTTCTGTGAACCCTCATTGTTAGAGGGCATCGAGTTACATCTGGGACTGGTGATAGCCAAGCACCTGCCTAGGTGATTTTTTTATTTTAGTTTTTACTAGAAACTATTTAGCGGGGGGGGGTAGTTCCTTTAAATAATTTTCTTCTGGTTATCAGTACTTCTTTTAATTGCTTAATTGCACCGTTACATTCTTTCACCAAATTATAACTGGACACAAGCGATATAACAACAGCTATACATTCCTCTCGTTCTCACTAATTTGTATGAACGTTTTAAAAAATGTTCTATACCAAGTTGTAGAGTTTAACATGCATTGTCTTTTATGTATATAGATTTTCAGTGACACGTTTAAAAAATACAACTCAATTGGATAGGCCTTTTCTGACACATCCTGTATACAAACAACCAAGCGTGACTAACTTTATATTAGACTCTATAAATAATTTTTAAAACAGTTTTTTTTTCACCCGTCATACAACCACGTTGGAGTGACGCGAAATTATAGCAAGACATTTTGCTTAAAACGTCTGATCGACGTTATGGCTGGCGAGAAGTAGCTGGCATTGCTAAATACTATTACTTTGTAATTATGTTTCACATAGAAGTATAGCAGCAATCAGAATTTAAGCTAAGTTGGTCTTATTTTTACTTAATTTTTCTCACGCGGTATACGCTGTATGAATCTAATGCCATCTGCCTGCTACTACGTCCATGGCAAATAATCAAATTGAAAATGTCTCGAATCACTCAAAAGACGACATACTACGAACAACATCAACTTTTCATAAACGGCAATATAGAACATAGAAATGTAGGTCAACTTGATTAACAAGCTCCTATCCAGAAGGGAGGGAAATATTGATCCTTGAAAACTTTCTTACTTCAGGTTCTAATGCTTCTACCTTTATCTTCTGCCCGTGCTTTTCTTATCCTTCCAGATTTACAGCTCTTCCGCAGTTCACTTTTTCCCTGAAATTTGAACAATGCGTTTTTTCAAAAAATGGCGTTAAGGTTGAGTCTGCACTTACTACCCAATGCCGTCATCAGTCCATAAAGAATTAAGTTCACCACAAGATGGACCATCTGAAAAAAAATAGTTACGAACATGTGCAATAGAGAAATTAAACGGATCAAGTAAGGCAAATAGGCCCACACAATTAGCCCATAAACAGTCTTTCCCTGCCCCGTCGGTAGTTACCATCCAACGTTGTTCATTCGTCAGATGGGGCAGCACCTACCGAAGCACAGTCGCAGTACGAGCAGAACACTCAAGTAGACTGTTACGCCGGGCGCTGAGTCCAGATAGCAGAAGGAGAAGCGTACTGAAAACATTTCTCCATCATCAAAAGTTTATAAGAAATAATTAGGATCCTCTGAAACGTTAAAAATGAAGTTTTTGCAATTTCCACTTTTTTCGATTTGGGCCTTTTTCTCTACAGCCACTGGGCCGATTAGGTCCATAGCTGGTGCCTGGTTTGTGAAGTGGTTTAACCAATAGTACTTTCAGTGATGAAGGATAAATACAGTGGGTCAAAAAAGTATTGATACAAAACATTTTTTTTTAATCTCAATAACGAAAAGATGGTTATCTTTATAATTTTTTTTTAAATCTGACATCTCAATTGCCATTTTTGATGGCGATAGATTGAGCAAATAAAAATAAAGTAAGATTAATAACAGAAATTATGAAATTCAAGAGTCAAAAAATATTGGCTCACTAACAAAAGCACGTAAATAGGTGTTTAAAACATTTATTTATATGTACAGTTAGTTCACTGTTGTTATCATACCATTTGCATCAACTATGGCCTGAATCTAACGTAACATGAATATTCTGAGTTACTTCTGGTCCAGTTTAATCCCATTCCTACATAATAACATCTTGGAGCTGCCGACACACAAGTCGGTCTAAAGCAGGAATGAGGAATGACAAAAAATAACTCTCCGTGGCTTCATGGCTTCAGATCATAATTGACATAAATGGTATGATAACACAGTACTAACTGTTAAACTTTTTTGTTAAACCTTGTTTACTCTTTTGTTTTTTTTTTTTAGTGCGCTAAAACTTTGTAGACCCTTCATTCTCATAATTTCTATTATTATTCTAACATTATTTTTAATTAGCTCAATCTATTGCAATCAAAAATTACTAGTTAGATGTTAGTTTTCAAATGAATATAGTAACAAGAGATCCATCTTTTCGTTATTGAGATTCAGGAAAAGATATGGTGTGCCAATACTTTTTAGACCCATTGTTCATTTTTGAATATATTCATTGCTTAGATACGATGGTAGATAACAGAAATATTATGTTTTATCTATTTTAGGGTATATGCGCTGATAAGTGTCTAAACCTGTTGCTTCATGATTTTTTAGTTGATGAATAATTTGTTCAGTTTTGTTCGAATCTGTTGGCCTGCGGTAAATGGAATTGGTAATTCTTGTTTTATCTCTAGTTTTCTATGTTTGGCTAAATTAGCACCCACTTCAGGAAAATATTGGCAAAACTTATTTACAGTGCCGTTTGTTGTTAGTTGATCAATTGTTTGATTTTCTGGTTGCAAGAAGATAGCGCCACATGCAATGGTAGCTTATTTCAGTCTAAATAGGTTAAGGCCGTGTATCTGACGCACACTGGTCTATACAGTGCTTTTCTTTAATGTTGCGCTCCCCTTTGATTTTTTGAACGGATCAATTCAAAATATTAAAACTTAAGGTAATGAAATTGATGCGTGGATACCATATTTTAGAGTAAAATTGACAGATGAAAATGTCTTGATGGCCGTTGGGCGCCATCTTGCAAAAAAATTATATGAAAACGGGGGTCTTGTGGCACATCCTTTTGAAGCACCTGGCGAGTACTTTATAACCCTGGAATATAAAGTCAATACCTTTACCTGGTACAAAATGGTGGTACATTTAATAATTACCTGAATACATTGACATTTAACTTGATAATTCGAATAAATACGTTGAGTTCAGTTTAGAGGATGCTGAAAATGGTTGCCTTGAACTTCTTGACACAATAACAGCTGGTCCGTAATTTCGCGTCGAACATTTTCAAACATAGTAACATCGATATTTCTACAAATATTTGTTATTCTCAGCCGTATATCCAATATTGAAGCAGGTTTAGTTTCGTACACCTTTTGCTTCAAATAGCTCCATAAAAAAGTCTAAAGGTGGCAAATCTGGGCGAGCGAGCATTGCCATTCTACAGGACCTCGACGGCCAATCCAACGACCGGAGAAATTATTATCTAAATAATACCTAACTTGTCTGCAGTAGTGTGGTGGAGCACCATCTTGCTGGAATACAATATCAGTATCGAATTCATTAGGACTCGCTTCGACGATTTTGGTGATTAGAGGGTCAATAGTATTTTCCACCATATCCAAATACAGTTGCCAGTTAAAGTTTGTTCGATGAATAGAGGCCCCATAATATGATTTTCCAATATCCCAGCGCAAACGATAATTTTTCGTGGATATTGAGTATGAGTTTCCGGGAAGGCGTGAGGATTGGTGTCACTCCAATAACGACAATTTTGTCTATGCACATTACCGTTGAATAAAAATGTACATTCATCACTAAATATGATATTTTGGATATAGGTAGGATGTCGTGCAATGGTTTCCGCCATAGTGTGGGAATTTACTATGATCTCACCATTTATTTGAACTTGCTTTTCTTCCGTCGTGGTCGGATGATCTGAGGGCTACAAGTTGCCTTAAATATTTTCTACAGATAGGACGATTCGGGAAACGATCATCAAAAATCCTTTCGGTCTCGTGAAAGTTACGCGTCGCACCATAAATAAAAATCGCTTCGATTTTTTCTTCCAACGGACGAGAATTGACCATTTTAAAAATAGTTCAAACAGTATCTAGCACTAAAACTGTAAACTAATAAGAATATTTTAATTGTATAATGATGTTTGTTTTCGTACTGGTATTCTTGTCACTGTCAACAAAAAATAACAAAACAAGTTTTTATCATTGTTGCTGTGGATATGGCAAGGAATTACAATTATTTGTAGAGATATGCATGTTACTGGGTGTGTGTTCAAGTAATTATTAAAATTACCACCATTTTGTAGTAGGTAAAAATATTGACTTTATATTCTAGGGTTATAAAGTACTCGTCAGGAGCTTCAAAATGATGTGCCACAAGACCCTCGGTTTCATATATTTTTTTCCAAGATGGCGCGCAGCGGCCATCCTGGCATTTTTATCTGTCAATTTTACTCTAAAATATGGTATCCACGCATCAATTCCATTACCTCAAGTATTAATATTTTGAATTGATCCGTGCGAAAAAAATGTGCAAAGTACACACATTATTCACAGTCTCACGCAAGTTTTTAGGCTGTATGCTAAATTAAAAATTATCAAGCGCTTAACCTCAGAATTTTTTTTATATATTTTAAACCCTTTAGATTACATCTGCAAAAGCTGAAAGAAGCTTTTCGATATTAAAAGTAATTTAAATATCTTAGAACTTCTGTCAGGCAACTTTGACTACCGAGCCTGGTATTGTCTTCAGAAAATTTCGTAACACTAAAATCATCTTCCGCTATGGAGGGCTTAATAAAAAAAATTGGAAAGAAATAGTGGCACGTAGATTGACTCGATACTACCTATGTCTATTTTGAAATTTTCCATGAGTCAAGATGAGCCTTTTGTTAAAGAAACAAAGTTTTTCAGTTCAATTTTTAAAAATTGCAAACTGGCTTATAGCCATAAGTCTTATAACATTATGGTATGAGAAAAATCTTCCGAAATTAAAAGAGTACTTGCTGCCAAAAAAAGAATCGTCAGATTAAATTATGGAATGAAGCGACTCGACTCCGGCGGAGAAAGTTTTAAATCATGAGAAATTCTTACCTTTAGACTATATTTTCATTTTGAAATGTGTAACTTACGTTAGGACATATAATAGCCTGTTCCCAAATGTTAATGCTTATCATAACTATAATTCTAGAAATCATAATTTAAAAATCATTCATACAATTACCACAACACATTTTTGCTATATAATGATTATTTATGATTTAAAAATCAAGTTAAACAACTATTAGCATCAAGTGCATTTTATAACATAAGTGAATATATGGAATGTGCAACCATGAGTGCGTAAAGATGGAATTGAAAATTTATGTATGAGTTGTTCTATTTATATCAATTATTTTTATCTATTTTGTTATACATTTTAATTATATTATGTAGCTTATTTATATATTTTTTTCACCACATGTACTATTCTGTATCTAAGTGGTAAATAATAAAGTGACCCAAGGGGTTTTCCCTAGGCCCTAGACCACTGTGTGATGCGCTTACTTATACATAACCTGTGTCCTTCATGATTCGCAATAAAAACATAACAATATAAAGAAGAAAAATTAATTTGATTCAAATTTTTCGTGGATTTTGGTTAACCTTTTAGTATGTGTACCTAATTATACATTAATAAATAGGTACGAACAATTTATGGGCGAGGTAAAAGAGTATATGATGGCAAAGAACTTACCACAAGACCTGAGAACGAGATTAGAAGAATACTACGAGTGCAAGATGCAAAAAAAGTTTTTCAGTGAAACAAAGATAATAGATACGTTATCAGAACGCTTAAGAACTGAAATGTACCTGCATTTCGCTAGAAAGCTGATTGAGCAAAACAATACCCTGAAAACGTTGCCGTCCACTACCTTAGGAGTACTTATATCGTACATGAAGTCAGAAACGTTTCTGGCAGACGATGTTGTTTGTGCTGTAGGGAAACCCACTGATATGGTAAGACCAATGAATTTTCCAGAATCTGAACAGGTCAAGAAATAGGGAGATTTTGTATAAGGAAATTTTACAATTTGGGCGACACTAAGTTTTCTTGCTGGTATCGTTAGATTATTGCTTCTTAATGATAAGAGGTCTGTAAATTAAGTGATGAGACTGGCAACGTAGCGTTCGATCTGGCAACACTGGAGGCACTAGTCTTGGACGGAAGGCAGGGGCACGTGTGCTCCGCCTTCAGTACAAGTTTGAACTCGCTCGAGTCATTCGATTGTCCGTAGCGATTTTTTTTGTACAACAGTTTATTATATTGGGTTCAAATGAGTGACATTAATATCGAGGTGTGTTATCAGGTTTTGCTTCAGACTTGGGCATAGCGCAATGGCAAATCTTGCTTAAATTCAGCAGGTTACGGAGTGTTTTATCAACAGCCCAGATTTTTCAGTGGTTTAAGGTATTTTCAGAAGGGAGGGAGCCGATTGAAGATGAAGCACGAAGATACAAGACAATAAATAAATTATAATTATATTTGAAAAAAAATAAAAAATCAGTCTCATTACTTAATATACAGACCTCGTACACACCAACGAGTAGTAATGTCAAAGGTCACACAAGCCGATGAAACGGTAGAATATTTTTTGCATATTTCATAATAATAGCGAGGGGCATTTCTTGCACTAAAGAACCACCATATACGCACATTTGGCAGTGACAATAACACGTACAACCTATATTTAACTCCATTCAAAATATTTACCATGGATGTAATATACGTCCAGATCGATCAATCAATCAGATCAAGAACAACTGAATGTTGGAGCACAATAATGCTCCCTGTCACACAGCAATGTCAATAAACGGGCTTTTGGCATTGGCAAAGTTGAAAAATCACCTCAAGCGAACTCATCTGAGGATAGTCGAAAACATTCAAACGGCTGTAACCGACAGGCTGGAGGCTATTCCAGTATCGGAGTTCCATAACTGCTATGAGGAGTGGAAGAACCATGTCCAGCTCTGTGTGGCTTCAGAAAGGGTGACAATATAAAATTGTTATTATATTTGAAAAATTAAAACTTGGTACCATGATAGAGCGGGAGTATTAGCGGCAATTTTGATGAACATGTTTGATCGAAAATCTTGAAAACGATCCTATGTAAAAACAGTAATAGAAACAGTTTCTGCACTCCAAATCGATATGTTCAAATAATGTTAGGGTCAAGCGCAACCGCGAAGAACTGTCGAAAATTATAGTCCAGCAAAATTAGACTACGACAATTATTATTGAGTAGAAATAACATCAAGCATCAGCAAGCAATCAGGGGGTGTATGTGGCAAAACTGGCTCGAAATAGAATCTTGCGTAGTTGGATAGCAAACTACTGGATCTAACAAAAGCAACGGCTCTGTATTCTTTCAGATACACTATTTTTAAAAAAATACTTTCTGGATAAATACCTATTAAAATGCTTAAGTTGGTTTCACCCAACGAATTCAGACTAGGTAGAAGGAGCCGGTCAATGATTTGTTTGTCTCTATATTCTCATAATCTGTGGAGAGGATCAAAGTGCACTTGACATAAGTCAATTGTTTTACAGTTTTGTCATTAAATTCGCAGTTTAAGTGTTATTTTTTAAAAAAGGTACTGCAATTTATTGTGGTGTTAGACGATTTGGACGCATGCTCTTTCTTATATAATTTGCAAGGAGCAGCACAAGCCTAATGAAGGTATATGTATCCACCGGTAAGTATTATTAATATGTTGATACTACATGCCACTTTGGTACGCATTGGTAGACAAATAAGTCAAAAGTATGCACTAGAACGGTGCAATTTTGGCGACAAACATATAGGCTTGGCTCCTTCTAATCTATTCAAATTCGTTGGTTTAACCTGTATGCTATTGCTTCAGGTGTTTTTCCTCTCAGCGGGTACAGTAGCAGTTTATAACAAAAACAGCTTGGAGTTAGATCACCTGTACGACGGCCAAGATTTTGGACTGGATGGAGGTCGACGGTATGCATACGTTGCTGCTGAGACCAGTGAAATTTATTATATCAGGTTGGTATCAAAATATAATAGTATTAACCTAGAAATGGCTGGAAGTGTGAGGGCGAGTAAAAGACAAACTCTGTCTTACGTCGCGTTCAGACATGGGCCAACGCATTGGACCCAACATTGGCGCCAACTTGGTATTATATATATATTGAACACTTGGCCGAGTTGTAGGATATGAAACAGGCTGCGTTTGATAAATAATGCGTATAACGCTTCAGTTAGTTGGCGACAGTTGTTTTATTCATTACACAAGCCCCAGTCAAAAAGTGGAAAAATTCGTATTCAGAAAAAATCTTCTATTTAGCTGTTCATAAAATAAACCAATTATTTAAAGTTTTCAAATAAAAGAATGTTAAACCCTTTTTCCACCCTGCTGTCAAAACGTAACTCGCTTTTATTTGAAAAGAAGCTTAAAAATTATTAATCGCCATTCAAAGGCCGCCGTCAAGTTATGAAAAAAGCTTAGGCGCCACCTTGAAATTTACAATCGTTATTTTTACGTTAGAATATAGTATTCATGAGTCAATTTTATCATGCCGAATTTCAGCTTGATAACTTGACCTGTTCAAATAATAAGTTATGAAAAGCACTGTATATAAATTAGATAGAAATTAGTAAATTAGTTATTTAACATCTAATAATTCCAAAAGGTAAAAAAAACTGTTAAAAATATTTCTAAAAGCAGCAGTTAATAAAAAGAAAAAAGTAAGTGATTTTCCGATAGTCTTTAAATGGCAGATTATTTCCTTCAGTTTTTCAAATGGAAGCGTATTACATTATAAAAGTGAGAGGGAATAAATTATAGTTTAAATAAATTGAAAAAACACGCTTTAATAGTAAATCAACTAGACTACTAGACACTAGAAAACAATTTTCAAGTGTGAGTGAGTTTGTGCTACCACAATAGAAAGTCCAACAATCTCGTATCACTAATTAATGTGAAATAAGATCAATATAAAAATAAGGATATTAACAAAAATTCAATTACAGTAAAAAGCGTGGGATGTTTGATATTAAATGTTAGAATTATTTTTTTGGTTGTTATTTACAAAATTGGAGTTCTTATAAGGATATAGCTTTTTTACTGTAATCGAATTTATTAGTGATACTAGATTGGTAGACTTTCTATTGCAGTGTGACAAACTCTCCTATAGTTGAAAATTATTTTCTACCTTTTAGTTTGATTTGCTACTAAAGCATTTCTTTAATATTTTTTTGAATTCTTTGTCTCAAAATGACAGCAAAAGTAGTTATATTTAATCAATTCCCAAATTTATTCTAACTTCAAAATTTCAATAATTTTTAAAAATTTACAGATCTTTTACAAGATTTTTTAAATTATTTTACAAATTTTCCAATTATTTCCCAAATTTTAAATACTGTTTTTCCATTTTTTTTTTGAGAATTGAAGCAGTCACAATTTTCTAAATGCTTTCTCAGATACCATAAGTACTCTTTTGAAATTTTGTCCAGAACCTCTGCTTATAATTAGACCAACATTTATAGTGTAGACATTCTATTTCAGGTACAAGATATTCAAGTCTTTGATGAGTGAGCACAACGAAGTTTGGGCCAATTACGAGAAAAAGTGGGCAGAACTTCAAAAGAGATATAACGAAATAGAAAACGAAATGGAGTCTGGAGGTGAAACTATACTCTACGAATTGAACCGTGGCGCATTGCTAGAAGCACCTAAAACGAGACTTGTTATATTTGATGATTTATAAGGGGCTCAGTACGATTACTATAGAGATATTGTCTCGCAACTTCGTTGCGAAGCTCGAAATTCTGTGTGTCTAAGGCCGCGATTATACTCTGAGTTGGCAGGCGACAGGTTAAATATCAAAATTAAAATCATTTCCAAAGACTATCTACATAGTATAGGAAAAGTCAAAAAAATTTACAACTAGAATTGCAATATATATCAAATAATGCTAAATTACGTACAAAATACAATATATCAGACAATCATATCAGTTATGATTTACAACATGCATGAAAACGGTGTAAATGTTCAACATGTATACTGTTCAATTGAGTAGTATACCTTTTTGAGTTGAAACTGTGTTTCTTTAATTAGACCACATTTACAAATTTTTTTGTGTCTTGGAATTTTTTATAAGGTCTTAAGCAAATTATACGTCATTTGGTTGTTACTTCATAACGAGCGAATGGCACTTGCAATAAATCTTTTTGCCTCGTGCTGAGAAGTGTTAAGCTCCCATTTTCAGATTGTTTCTGTTATTGCTTGGCCACATAAATGTTTGAATCCAATCGTCCTTTTATTTAACACTATAAAAAACAGATCGTCAGCACAAATAGTATATTGTCAGCTACGGATTGCAGACCTAACAGTAAGTGAATTGGAATATGTTTACTGGGAGTATTGCCGTACAGGGTTGCGAGTCGTGTCAGATAGAATCAAACGATATTATTACATTACACTTTGTTCAAATGATATTTACACAGTCCTCGCGGTCTTATCCTAAATTACCATCTCGCACCTGATCTACCGATCAATAGTAACACGATCGATAGCTCATGTTTGCTTGTTTGGTTATGATGTACATATCGTTTGAATGGGGTATAAGCTACAACAGTGAAAGTTTTTGGTTACATTCGCATGGTTAAAAATGGAATAAAATGCACAACGGTTTTACTTCCAGCATGTTGCATGCTGCCGTATCGCTGGGTTACATCGCCCGGATCGGTCTCATTTTGCAATGCAAGCGGCATTGCCACGGAACCACCGCGTCGACTCCAACCGCGTATATCAAATTGAATAATGGTCGAATTTGAATATGTTTAAGGTGAAATTAAGAAATCACTCTATGAATACCCCAAATGTATAGCGATATAATTTCAATGGGCAGGAATGTAAATCTACGGTAAATTGATTAAAAAAATCAGTAAAGGAATGATTATAGAAAATTGGCATTAATGCTATGTAAATTGTCAACAAATAAAATGAAAATAGAAATATTGCAACACAATGCAAAACGGCGTCGCCAACTGCCTGTCACCTAGCACCTACCACCTCGCAGTATAACCGCGGCCTAGCAATTTCATTTTTCTTGAACCTATACCATGGCATCTTTAGGAATCATTTATTGCTACTGCTTAGTGTACACCTAATTTGTGGAGATTTTGATTATAATTATGGAATAGAATATCTTAAGAATTGATCATTTAATTGACCAACTAGGTTAAATTAGATTTTATGCGACACGACAATTTTTTGCTTCATCTCATCAGCTGACGAATATAGTCTTTAACCGGCTTTCTGATAAAATGCCATAAGAAGTAGGAACAGGAACCGCAAACTGGCCTATTAAGAAAATATATCTCTGCATACACAGATGGCCCCAAGACCGAAGTAGGTGCTGTAGGATTTTCGTGCCGAAGCTTAGGATTAAGGGATCAGTCAGCCTAGGAAACTGGGGATCGATTTCCCAGGCAGAGCTATACGTTATAGAACTGCGTGCAGTAATGATCGTAGAATGACAATTGAAGCACAGAACTTTGAATACTTTTTCAGACAGTCGAGCCGCGCTTCAAGCACTCCATCTACTCAAAATCGAAATTAATGTGGGATGGTAAAGAAGCTCTTGGTAGCATAGTATATGAAAATAAGGTCCGTCTAGTATGAGTATCAGGACATACATGTCTGAAGGGAAACTCTGGCAAATGATGAAGCTAGCACATCTTTCAAAGGGTCTGAGTTGACGATCGGGATCGCGTCCACTATGGCTAAACAAATATTATCTGTAGAGAGGGAATATCCACAAAAGCTGGGAGGGATTAACAGGGCTAGTGCATGCTGAAGCAACTACACATGTATAGCAATCCTAACAAACAAAGGTAACAGATTCACTGCTACGGCTATGCTGGAATAGCCTTGAAGCTTTAGTGGAACGCTGAGTACAGACTGTACATGAAGGAGCCGAAACGGTTAAGCATGTTTGATGCAGATGCCCTCCAACTGCCAGAGTCACCAATCGCCTCTTGGGGGAGGAAGTACTCCTTGTAGAAGACCTGCTGGATATTTCTCCAAATAAGTTAATCGACTTCCTCAAGAGGTCGGAATTACTGGGGTCATATAGATAGGTGTGTGCCACAATAGAACAGTTAGTCGCAGTAGAGGATCTTGATTGACCCACTTACAAAAAAAACTAAACCTGACCACTCAGGTTTATCTTATGCCATGTTATTGGGTCCAAATGCGCAGTCGACGTTCTGCAACTTTAAATTCGGATTAGTGGATAATGCAGAAGCTGAAAATTTTGTAATAGTCCTCATTAGACAAAAATAGCTCTATCACCTCGAAGACAGATAAATAAATGTTAATGTCAATATGATTTTCAACTTTATATGTACTTTACACACAGCTGAATCGTCTGCAATGGAATCAATGCTACTTCTTCAGTGTTGAAAATTCTGTAGATCAAATTGAAAGTATCTCATCTAAGTCTAGTTTTTTCTGTAACTTACGACTCTCCCCATAATAATATCAATGAGGCAAAGGATTTTGTTGGTAATGTTCTCTTTTCTGATGCCTGGTTTCGACTGTAGTGGTCGAAGATATAAACATAAATCTTTTGATTCCAGACAACAGATTACAAAATTGAATGAATATGGATTCCATCAAATCATTAGCCATCTAGAGTAACTAATAGTTCCAGTACCTCTTGGACTATAAATATGGACCTTTTCACTGATTATTGTTTGTTGCCATGCGAAAGAATTTTGCAGTCTGAAAAGACTAAACAAAAATTTATTAAACTCAGAGAAATTTTGAAACTACATCCTTGGAACGTCATAAATTCTTCTACGAGTATTATAAAATCGTTTTCCTAATGATAGTTTTACCTTTAAACCAATTGACTGCTGAATTAATGTTTTAGTCTCTAACATCGGATGCCGGTAACGATGATGTATCTGCTGAAACTATGCTAGCATGTGATTTCAGACCATATTCTAATCTAAGATCAATCAGAGTTTTACCCATATTATCGAAATAACTCGAAAAAGCTATGTACTGCTTTGAACAAACCATTCGTAGTTAAATTTAGAGCCTTCGCAGACTACGTCGTATCGTAAGCGTATCGTAATACGCGCGTAGGACGAGAGCAAAACGAGCACGTATGTGTGCTAACAAGTCCAGGCACGAGGCGGTGAGATGTTCAGTCGTATTACGATAGCCGTAGCGGTCTGGCGTACGGCAGGCATAGAAGCAAGCGTAAAATTCAAAAGTTTTGTTTAATTGGTCTCGATATGGCTAAAAAAGTTGTAGAATTCGTAAAACTTGTTTAAGCGTTTATGTTTAAAAGAATTCTAAATGTCTCCTTATCATTCGATAAAAACTCCGAAATTTATTATCATCTTCTGAAAGTGCACGTGCAGCAATAATCTTTTTTATTATTATTTACGATGTATGGATGGATCCAATGAGCACGTCGCTTTATACTTCTAACATAATCAAACAATAAAAAATCTTCTTCGTCTGAAGAAAATGTAAGATCATCAATGCGTACACCAGAAACTTCTGGTACCGTTAACGGTATTTCAACTGAGATCTTACAAAACGGTACGAGTACGTGACGATGCGTGTGCCCTTAGCCCCACGCCTAATGGCGGGATAATATGTAATAGCTAAAATTTTCGAAAATGAAATATTATGTATTTTGGATCTTATCTGACATGCACATCAGGAAAAATCATGTCACTCATTTCCGTAGGTCTGTCTGTCTGTCCGCTGATCTTATAACCGCATATAACTTGAGAGGTACCACTCGGATACCGTTGAAATTTTCACAGAATGATACTACTATATACTTCGTAGTTGTAGCTCAATGAAAAAAATATTTAATTTCCTGTTATTCTTGTTCGTAGTTAACTTTTTTTCTCAAAAGGGCTAAGCTTGTGTCGAACGTGGTCCTTTACAAACTGACGACAGCGTTGCGTGGGAAATACAGACTCGAATTACTTGACGTCATTTTTTATATTTGCATAATCTTGCAACTGTTCTCGCTCCGTGAACAGAATGAGGAACAGATTTACACGAGCAAAATCAACACAGCGACGATAAATGCAAGAAAAGTAATTGCGAATGAATCTTTATACAGGGTGACTTCGAAGTTGAGTCATTTATTTTAACAGTGAGTAGATATGATCAAAAGAATGTTTTTTTCCTTTAACATTTTTCTGGTAAAATTAAAGTAACAAAGTTATAGCCCTTTAGAAGTTTGAGTACCGCCCTGTCTCAATAATAATATTATGTGCTCGTGTTTGGCAACAACGGATATAATCCGCCTTATCGGTTCATCGCATCGGAAACAAAAAAGCGAAAGAATTTGAAACGCTTATCACGATGTTTTTACTACAATTTTTTTCAGTTGTATTCAGTAAATGTGTCAGTCGGTAACGCGAGAGTGAATAGTGGTGTTTGTTGCGTGGCTCAAATGAAATAAAAAATGGCACGTGTTTACGAAAATGCTGAACGTGTGTACATGATTCTTATTTACGGGGGGGGGGGTCTTTACAAAATGCTGCCGCGGCATCACATTTTTTTTTTAATTTTTTTTTTATTTTTACTCACATATTTTGGTTTATCTTCCTTCTACAATCATTATCTGAAAATTGATGACTCAACTTCAAAGTCACCCTGTATATTGTTCAAAACAAATGTGTCATAGATGGAACTAACAAATAAGAATACACCTCTGCGGTTAACTATATTTTTTAATATTATATTTGCATTCAAGTCATGTATTCCTTATCGGAAAATGACATACGTCAAATGAGACCATTCGCAGAGATGTTGACATCCAGTATCTAAGAGATTACGTAAAATATGTAAAGCGGTGTTGTAATCACGGCGGGGACGCATTCGTCTGTTGCGTGGCTCGGTAGACTATACAGGGTGTAAACGTTATGATAATCATTCTTGAAATGGGTTACAGAAGGGGTTAAAAGAAACAAAAAGTTTCATATAACATGGCGGTCAAAACGGCATTTTTTAGAGAAAACGACTTTAAAGTAAAATAAAATCTGACAACGCCGCAATGCCAGACGCAAATTACGACGGAACGCAGTGTAAATAAAGATGGAGTTTGTTATTTTTGGCTCTTAGGTATTATTTCATTATTTGATAATTTGATAATGTACTCGTAAAATGCAAACAGTTAAGAAACGGACTTACCACTAACTGTCTCAGTGCTTCACCTGGTGTGTGAAAGTTTATTGAACGTATTAAAAAAATCCACTTATAAATGGGGAACAGAATTTTGATACATAGATCGTTTTTCTTTTTAAAACCCACACTGCACTTTTTTGTATTTAAAGAAGGTGCTCAAAAAGTCGTGCTCCACTTTCCACACAAGCTTCATTACGACGAACCCAGTTTCTTTTTACTCTAGGTCCTCGAAGTTGTCCATTTATTATTTCAGCCGCATTAAATTTTTTTTCGCGAAGTTGTGCTTCAGTTGTTATTGGACCAGCCCCATAAACCATCCCTTCAAGTTCTCCCAATACCAAAAATCCATCGGATTGAGGTCAGGAGATCTTGCTGGCCATTTTCGAGGATCAGGAGCATTTCGACCGATCAATCGATTTGGATAATGTTCATTCAAATACTGAATGACGTCTCTAAAAATGTGTGGTGGTGCCCCGTCATGAAAAAACCACAAATTCTGTCTTTGTTGTAATGGCGTGTTGCTTAAAGTCTGTTCCAAAAGTTCTGGTAGGTTATTGGCTAGAAAGCTAAGGTATCCTTCTTCTGACAACTTTGGGGGTAACTCGAAAGGGCCAGTTACCTTATCGACAAGAATACCCGCCCAAATATCTATCTTAAAACGTTGTTGGGAATGACATTCACGAATGGTATGAGGATTTTCTTGGACCCACGTGTGAGTATTATGGAAATTTAATATCCCGTCTCGCGTAAAAGTACATTCGTCCGTCGGTAGAATGTTTTTAAAAAAATCCGGATTTTCAATGTTTTTGTGCAAAAGCCACTGACAGAATGTTAGTCTGCGAGGATACTCTTGTGGTAACAAGGTCTGCACTCGTTGTACATGGTAGCAATAAAGCAAATTTTCCCGTAGGATTCTATGGACTATGGTATGCGATAGTCCTACGCGGTGGCCTAATTCCCGAGTACTGATATCTGCATTGATTTCCACGATATTTAAAATTTGTTCCTTCTGCTCTACAGTAACCTGTCTTT